CCTGTTTTGCTGCCTCATCCATTTCTCCTGAGTTTCTGTGGCATAAAAAACTAGGCCATGTCAGTCTTGGAAAACTTGCCACTCTGTCTAAACTAAGTCTAGCTAGAGGTATTCCAAAACTCAGAGATAAGGCTGAATTCTTCTGCAATGCTTGTGCGGCTGGGAAACATAAACGAAAGAGTTTTAAAATCAAGCCTGATATTACCTCTACCAGCCCTTATGAACTTATTCACATGGACCTGTTTGGTCCATGCAATGTTACAAGTCTAGGAGGGAAGAACTATGTTTTTGTTTTAGTAGACGATTTCTCTAGGTTCTCATGGGTGTATTTCTTAACTCACAAAGATGAGACCTATAAGAAGTTTAAACTGTTTCTTACCTCTCAGAACTTCAATGTCAAAAACATCAGGAGTGACAATGGTGGAGAATTTATTTCAGAATCATTTGAAAACCTGTGTGATGATTTTGGAATAAAACACACCTTCTCTGCTCCTCGTACCCCTCAACAGAATGGGGTAGTAGAGAGAAAAAACAGAACCCTTATAGAGAGTGCTAGAACTATGTTACTAGAATACAATCTTCCTAAACACTTCTGGGCAGAGGCTGTTAACACAGCATGCTACATTATCAATCGTGTCTTAGTTCGTAAGCAACTTAACAAAACTCCCTATGAGATACTGAAAGAAAAAACTCCTAGCATTGCATATTTTCATCCTTTTGGTTGCCCTTGTTTTGTTCTTAACACTAGAGAAAATCTAGGTAAATTTGATGCCAAATCAGATCCTGCCATTTTCTTGGGATACTCGACCAAAGGACAAGCTTACAGAATTTTCAATAAAAGAACCAATAAAGTGGAAGAATCAGTTCATGTGAAATTCAATGAATCTGATTTTGTAGTACCAGATGCATCTCTACAATTCGACTTAAATGAACTAACCTCACCTTGTCAAGATGATGTTAGTAAACAGGATCTTAATGAAAAAGTGGTCACCTCATCTGATTGGGAAGAGGCTTCAATCGAAAAGCAAGTCACTCTTCAAGTTCCTCAAGCTCCACCACAAATCCAACGAAGACATCCAGAAAATCTGATCATTGGAAAACTGAATGAGGGACTCAGAACTAGAGGTAAGTATACTCCTGGACAATATGCATTTGTTTCTCAGTTTGAGCCTAGAAATATTAAAGAAGCCCTTCTAGATGAAGAATGGGGATTTTCTATGATAGAGGAACTAACACAATTTGAACATCTTCATGTCTGGGACTTAGTTCCTAAACCTGAAAACGTTACAGTCATAGGAACAAAATGGATTTATCGAAATAAGTCTGATGAAGAAGGAATTGTTGTTAGAAATAAATCTAGGCTAGTTGCTCAAGGATACCTTCAGGAAGAAGGAATAGATTTCGAGGAGACATTTGCCCCTGTTGCTAGGCTTGAGTCAATCAGATTATTATGTGCTTTTGCTAGCCACCTAGGTTTTCCTCTCTACCAAATGGACGTCAAGAGTGCTTTCCTGAATGGAGTCATTCAGGAAGAGGTTTATGTTGCCCAACCCCCTGGATTTGTTGACTTTGAGCACCCTGACTATGTTTACAAGCTAAATAAAGCGTTGTATGGACTCAAACAGGCCCCTAGAGCCTGGTTTGAACGCCTTACAACCTTTCTGTTGGAAAACTCATTTACTCAAGGAAGTATTGATAAAACTCTCTTCATTAAACATGAAGCAGGACAAATCTTACCGGTTCAAGTATACGTAGATGATATTGTTTTTGGATCAACTGATCCCTCACTCTGTACTGCCTTCTGTGAAACTATGCAGTCTGTTTTTGAAATGAGCATGATGGGTGAGTTAAAATTTTTCCTTGGTCTTCAAGTAAAACAATCTAAAACTGGTATTTTTATAAATCAGTCCAAGTACCTCGAGAACATGCTAACCAAGTTTGATATGAACCATGTCAAACCCTGTCCTACACCTATGGCTGTGAACCTGAAACTTGAAAAAGATGAATCTGGTACCCCTGTAGATGAAAGCAAATATAGAGGGATGATTGGTTCATTACTTTACCTTACAGCCAGTAGACCTGACATTCAGCATAGTGTTTGCCTGTGCGCCAGATTTCAGGCAGCACCAAAGGAGAGTCATCTAAAAGCAGTTAAAAGAATATTTAGGTATCTTAGAGGAACTTCAACTGTTGGTCTTTGGTACCCTAAAAATGACAACTTCACTCTCCTAGGCTATAGTGATTCGGATTTTGCAGGTAGCCTAACTGATAGAAAAAGCACCACAGGTACCTGTCAGTTTGTAGGAACTTCTCTTGTGTCCTGGTCATGTAAAAAGCAAGGTGTTGTTGCACTTTCCACTGCCGAAGCTGAGTACATAGCTGCTGGCAGCTGCTGTACTCAACTTATTTGGCTTAAAAATCAACTTAAAGACTATAATGTGGCAACTGAATCAATTCCTCTCTTCTGGGACAACACTAGTGCCATAAGTATGTCAAAAAATCCGGTCCAGCATTCAAGAACTAAACATATAGAAATTAAATATCACTTTATAAGGGAACTGGTTCAACAGAATATCATTCATATTAGTCATATTCCCTCAGAATACAAACTGGCGGATCTTTTTACAAAAGCCTTGAATGCTGACCGATTCACCTTCCTTTGTTTTGAAATTGGATTAAGATCTCCAGATCATCTGGAGGATTTTAACTGATTTCTCGCTTAGTCTTTCCTTTCTTTTCTTTCCTGTTTAGAGTCTTGTGTGTTTCTTCCTGTTCTGGTGTGTTTCTCTTGTGTTGAGTCTGCCTATTTAAGTAAGTTGAGTTGAGTCTCTTGTTCGTCATTCAATTCTTTTACTCTTAGGGTCTTAGTTAGTAGCAACAATGGTTCTAGGGTTTTCTCTCACGTATACAGGTACACTCTTTCATGATCCAATTCCTGCAAACTCCCATCGCCATGCTGTTTCCTTTGCCCGTCGCCCCATTATACCTACTTATCATGTCCCCTTTCCTGATCTAGTTGATTATGGTCTAGATGTCTCTCAATATATGCATAACCTAGGTTGGGATTTCCTTATGGCTGATCCAGTTGAGTATGTCTGTCCTGAAGCAGTTAGACTGTTTTACTCAAACTTTCGTTCTTTTGGACTTCATACCCGTACCTTCACAACCCTAGTGTATGGAAATCTTGTGACTATCCCTCTTGAATATCTTAGAAATCTGCTGAATATTCCTAGGGTAGGAGAGGTGCTTGCCAATGAGACTGAGTTGATCCATTTCAATTTCAACATAGAGCATGAGTTTGTGCTTCTCACAGGACACGCTCCTGATGCCTTGCTCACTCTTCCCTCAGCATTTTTATTGCCCTCTCTGCGAGCTTTTCATTTTCTTCTCACTCGTAGGTTTCTTCCTAGAACTGTTCTACTCGATAGGGTCACTCCCCTAGATCTTTGGATTCTTGCTCATGCCACTGCCAATGTTCCTCTGGACTACTGTCATCTGTTGTTTGGCGGATTATACCCCTTTCAACAATTCGAATTTCTAGGACATCTTCCCTTTGGCCCGCTCATTACTCGTCTCATTCTTCGCCTGGGTATCTCCCTTGATCCCTTTCGTACCACTACTCCAAATGTCTATCTGACTGCGGATGACATTCTTGATGAAATTGCGGATGACATCGTTGAGGGGGAGGATGATGCAGAAATGGAGGCCGATTCAGAATCAACTGAGGATGAGGCAGAGGAGGAACCTGAGGAACCTACAGAGGAAGAAGACTCTGACGATTCCTTCGAGGAAGGAATCAGTCCTGATATGGATGTCAACTGGATTAGCAGTGATTCTGACTCTGAATCTTCTGGCTCAGGGTCATCTGACTCCTCTGATCCACCTCCTCTGGAAGAGGTCTTTGCTGCACTGCAGGACATTCAGGACCTTTATGGTTCTGATTGATTAGGAGTTGCTGTCTTGGTTTGCTGAATTTTAAAAACTCTAACAGTCTGCTTGGTTTGCTGAACTTGTTTCTCAGCTGTGAGGATCTCGAAATAGTTTGTTTTGCTGGTTGTGTCTTACCAGCTGGGTGAGAGTCGGTTTTGCTGGATGTGTTTTGACTGATTAATGGTTGTTAAATTCTTAGTATGTTCAGAACTCAGTTTTTCTGTGTATGCCATCAGTGTGGTGCTTTGGGAAAGGTATTTGCTCTTGCCTGCAGGTTTCAACGAGTCAATCAGCAATCATCAACTTAGGGGGAGATTGTTGGACTAGGAAATGCATCAGATCAAGTTGACAGATTGGATTGAAACACAAAAGGAAAGAAGATCAAATCAGAGCATCAATCAAGGGGGAGCCTGTCCAATCAACCATTCAAAACACAACGGCTACTAAGCAAAGACCCAGGAAAAGAAGACCATTTATACTCGAGCTCCTCTGTTCCTAGGGGTTGTCTGTTTCAAAGGGAATTCTCTGTGGTATAGGGCTGAGAATTGGGGAAACAGTGGCTTTGATCTCACTGGGGTATAGGATCAGTTTGATCAAAGGTTGTAACGAATTCCTGCGCGAATTCGGGTCTCAGAGTCGTGCCTTTTGATTTTCACATTTCCTGTAATCTCTTCGTTCTCCTCTTTTCTTCAGTGTCAAGAAAATCAAAAGTGTCTCTCGGAATAGTGGGTACTATTCCGGGACGAAGAGTAGCCCAGTGGCGAACCTCGTTAAAAATCTCGCTATGCACATTTATTTTCTGCTGCTCTTTTTCTTGTTGGTGCTGCAGTACTCTGTTCTGCAGAGCTCTGTTTGCATTTTGGTGTGAGTCAGGGAAGAAGAAGGCTGTTTTTCATTCCTGGCCAAACCGAAGTCCTTGGGCCGAAGAGAAAGGCCTGAGCCCAGCTGCCTTCTCTCAGTTGAGGTGTGGGCTCAACCGGTCGCGGGCCCAAATTCCTTTACATAAGAAATCGACTCAGCCACCAGTCGATTTCCTTCCACCAAAATTCCCAATTCGACATTTGCAATCCCTAATCGAAGCCAACATCGCCATTTCTACAAAAACGCTTATCAAAAACAAGTTGAGGAATGCTTCTCCACAAATGCCTCCATTTGCTTGTCAAGATACTAGTTTTGGCGGCATCTTTGATGGGCAAGAACACAAGAATGCGCTGTATCACATCGGCAGGAAGGTTGGTGATTCTATCAGCACCGTACTGGCCCGCCCTCTTCATCCTGCAAATACAGATAGATTCCAATCAGCTAGTAACTACAGATTCGGATAACGAAGCACGAATATAGAAATCGCAGAACAGCGCGGGGAAATCAATTCGGTTTAAGGGAAATCTCATAGAACTATAAATTGGGACAAAGCGTTTGGTTACGTTGTTGAGTGTGAGCTACTTTGAGTAATACCTGAAAGGACCCAACCCGAAATCGACTCTGAAACACCACAGTAGCAAAAATGGCGCAAAATAGCAGGAGAGGCAGCGAGGGGAGAGAGAGAAGGCGGGTTACGTCCAGATTTTCAGTCCCTGGAGATACTGAAATGGTACGATAAGCGAGAGAGAGATCGCGGGTAGTTTTACTGGTTCACAGTGAGCTAGGGTTTGGGAGTGGTGAGCGACAGAGAAGGGCGAAGGGGATTATTGTGTATTTGTGTTGGTAATTTTATCTCAATTTCAAATAATCCTAAAATGGTAGGAAATTGGCGCTAAGGCATTTGATTTGGCGCTGAAAAGAAAGCCTGGCTATATATTTTTCCAGAAATACCCTCAAGTTAAAAATACAGGGATAGGTTAGCTTGTTAACCCCATAAAGGATTGGAAAAATGACACCCCTTGATATTAAATGTAATCTATATATTTTAACACTCATATTAAATACACATAGGGAATTAAATGCACCATATTAATTATTTGTCTTTTTAATTTAAACATACATTAAATACAGTTATCTCTCCCTATCTCTCATTCTTCTTTTTCCAGCAGCCTCCGACTGCCACACTTCTCCAGTGAAATCCCGTCGGCAGACTTCCTTCGGCCACCCGCAAAAATGTATCGTTACATTAAAAAAATGTACCAGTGCAGTGATACGTTGTACCACTGCACTGATATTTCTACCACTACATTTAAATTCAGATATGATATTTGTACCAGTGCACTGATATCGCTAGCAGTGTAGTGGTATCTCTACCAGAGCATTGGTAACGTTATCAGTGTAGTGGTATCTCTACCAGTGCATTGGTAACGCTACCAGTGCACTGGTACAAATATCATATATGAGTTTAAGTGCAGTGGTACAAATATCAGTGCAGTGGTACAGAAATCATAACTGAAAAATCGAAAAGTCGGATCTGAAAAATCATAAATAAAAAAATCATAACAACGGAAGCATGATGAGAGTGAGGAGAGAAGAGGGATTATTTGCTTTTTTGGAGAGAGAATTGTGTTTAATATAGGTTTAAATTTCAAAAAAGCAAGTAATTAATATGGGGTATTTAATTCCCAATGCGTATTTAATCTGAGTGTTAAATTCTACAACTTTCATTAATACTTACCAAATGATTGAGGAAAAATGGACCAATAAGAAAGGGGGTGTCAAAAATCAAACCCTTTTGAGCGTAGTCACCCTATCCTACCCCAAAAATACATATCTCATATCTGGATTCTGGTCCCGGTTTCAAAATTATCTTTATCATTTTTTTTTCCTGAAAGTATAATTTTCGTTCGTTTATCTTATTTTAACAATAAAAAAAATAAAAATGTTATGATTTAATGTAAAAAAGTCTAACTACATCCATTTTGACTACTTTTAAATTTTATGAATTTTTATTCATATTTATATTAAAAATATTTTTTAATCATTTTACAAGGCTTCTTATATTAAAAAGTATTTCTAGTGATTTTCTAACACTCAACTACTTTTTTTTAAATACTTTCCAAAAATTTACAGTAAAAAAGCTACTGCTACAAAATCTATAGTAGGACCAGATTTAAAAGACACAAAAGTGAGACCAGTGCACGCCACATAATAGGCAGTTCGATTTGCTTCACGAGGTGTGAAAACAAATTCTACTAACGGTAAATCATACGAAAGATGGCAGACTGCTCGTAAAATTGCACCAAATCAATCGTTGTGATTGTTGCGAGTCACCATAACAGTGAAACCAAAAGTTATTTGTCCTCTCATGACTCATATAGAACAAACACTCAAGTTCCAAAATAAAAATAATTCATCATTATATCCTTTGTTTCAACTACATTTCTCCTTAAACATATTTCTCTAGGACGCTACATAAGAAGATCCATTCGAAGATATGATAGTACATCAACATATCTTTCGAACTCCGTGCCTTTTGGAACCAAGGATCTTCGAGCATGCTACCTACGATTAGCCACGCTGCAGTTATCAAAGAAGAGATATGCTACATTACCGGATAGTTTTGTTCCAATGAGTTGCATATTTCAGCCTAAAAAAGAGAACATAAGCCCAAAATGATGGATCAAAGTTCAAATATCAGACCTAATGGTGGTCACAACACTGCCATCAAAGTTGGCTATCTGCATAAAAGGTGTCACTCCTCCTCAGCGTCCATACATAACCTTAGCTTCTTTAGAAACACGCGTATATTGCATAGCCTCCTTCATGAACTTAATAATCTTCTGGGGGGACAATTTATATTCAGGTGTAACATGAATCAACTGTAGTAGTGGCGCAGTGGCTAGTATGAACCTCACAAGGTCCAGCTCAACCTGTGTACCATGACTATGGTCAATTCTGAACTCTCTTAGATGCCGAAGACAATCCGAAGATCCAGAGCAGTCCTCTACTTCCAATAGCCTACGTGTGCCAGTAGTTCCATTCTTTGCAGGCTGATCATACAGTTGATTAGCATTCAACTACAAGAGCATTTGTCAAGGAGCCTAAGTCAGGCTATATGTTAAAATATCAAGCCTCATTATTCATCAAGAAAAATGATTATAAGCTCCGTAATCCTGCAAACAGAACACTCAGTTGGCAAACAGAACCAACCTGAACTGTGAGCCTGCGCAAGTTGGGGGAACTCATGATCAAGCAAAAAAATATATGTTCCGATCCCTGACCATCGAAGGCGATACATATCACATTGAGGACTTCTAACAGGTGAAGAGGGATAGGAAGCCTGGTGGGGACGTTTCTATCACCTGCAGCAGGTCGCTAAGAGAAAATCCAGCACAATTCAAATCAGGAATGAGTAAAGCAACCCAGCAAACACTTTGAAACGAATGGATACTGGTTGTGACAAAGTTACTTACTTTCAGGAAGTTATACTTAACCAAGAACTGGCGGAGTGACGGGAGAGAAGCAAAAATAGCTCCCATTTCGTGTGTGTGGGTATCCCACGCATTTAGTGAGACAAATGACAGAAGTGGAGTACACTTGAAGCAGATATCCTGGAAGGATCCCACAAACTCGAAGGATTTGAGTGAAGGAGCCACAATCTCAAGGTTAGCAGGACAGCCACAGCATACAACCCTCAAAAATTCAAGCATCGGGCACTTAGAAAGGAAATTCTGGAAGAAATCATCGGGCAATATAACAAGATCCAATCGAAGATGGGTAAGCTTACTAAAGCCAACAAACCAAGATGGTGGTGTGAGTTCACAAGACTCGAGTGTCAGGGACTTCAGGTGAGGAGCAGAAAAGAGGGAAAGATGCATCCGATAATCGTCTATGTCGCTGTCAAAAGCTTCAAATACAAGAGTAAGGTCCTCGACACCTTTACTAGAGAGGTAAAGAACGACGTGGTCCACCTCAGCATCGCAAGAGCATAATCCAGGGATGGAAAGCACAAACTTGGTTATTGGCCCATCATGAACAAGCAGGCATTTGTAAATGTCCAACATGATTTGCTTACTGGTCACTTTTAGTTCAGAATCAGTCAGATGTTGAGGAATTAGGGCGAAATCATCATCAAAGACGAGTTGATGAATACTTCTCCGAAGATACCTCCATTTCCTTGACAAGACACTAGTTCTGGCTGCATCTTTGATGGGTAAGAACACGAGAATGTGCTTTATCACATCGGCAGGAAGGTCGCCGATTCTAATGCCACTGGACTTGCCAACAGGCTCCATCCTGGAGATAAGTAGGCAGTTCAACCAGCTAAATAAATACAGATAGTGATTGTGATAAACAACCGTATAATCGCAAGGCATAGAAATCGCAGAATAGGACCAATTCGATTCAAGAGAAAGCTCGAAGACCAATAACTCGGGAGACAGCGGTGGATTGATTACCTTGGTTGAATGTTAGCTACTTCGACTATGACCTGAAATGACCCAGACCGAAATCGAAACTCTGAAACAGCAGAGAGTGGCAAAAAAGGCACGAACTTGACGAGAGAGACGGGGCGGGCGATTTGCAGAATTACAGATCCTCAGAGAAATGGTGCGAACTGCGAAGCCCGAAGAGAGCTAGGGCTTGGTGAGACAGAGGAAGGCGAAGACAACTCTTGCGTTGGCCCTTTTGGTAATTTCATCTCAATTTAAGCAATCTGAAAATGGTTCGGAAATTGGCGCCAAGGCATTTGACTTGGAAAGAAAGTCATGTGTATTTGCAGAAATACCCTCAACGTAAAACTACAAATCTGAATATCTGATCCCCTTTTTTGTTTCTGGGTTCGAAGATAATCTCTCCGCCGGCGCACTGCCAACTGCCAATCCCTGTTCCACTTCTTCACTCGTTCCCACGTTCTGATTTCCTTTGGCTGCTTCCATTGTTTTCCTTGCCTTCTCATCTTCTGCCTATGCTTTCTCCCGGACTCGCACATTCATCTTGACATCTCATTGCAAAGCCCGCAGGTTTTTCTCTCTTTCTCGCCTATAGTACTACGTACCTTGATTAGAGGTGGCAAATAGGATCCAAATCCATGAATCCAATCCAATCCATCCACCAAATTATCCACTTAATCCAATCCATTTAAATCCAATCCATTTGATCCAAATCCAATTGGATTGGTGGATTCATGGATCAATCCATTGATCCAAATGGCAAATTACAATTTGGTACTTATATTTTTTATAATTTACATTTTGGTACCTAAAATTTATATTTTTATACAACAAATATCATTGAAAAATTACATTTTGGTACCTAAAATTTTTCATTATGACATTTTAGTACCTAAACTTTTCAAAATTTACATTTTGGTCCAAGTCTTGGATGTCATTTGGATTCATGGATCAATCCACCAATCCATTGGATCCAATCCATGAATCCACCAATCCATTGGATCCAATCCATTTGATCCATGGATCCACCAATCCAATCCACGAATCCACGAATCCGATCCAATTGCCACCTCTAACCTTGATGGATTGAATGATGGGTTCTTTATTTCTTCACTTTCTCATGGAGCCTGGTATCGTTTGTGCAATGAATTGCGGAATTCCCATTTTGCTTTTAGTGTCACTATTGAGTATTTAGGGTTTACATTTGCTAGTGCAGCTGGCCGCCATTGGTAAATATTTGATTCTTTGAGGTTGGGTTTCATGTGTTGACTAGAATCAATACCCACGACTACGTCGTGGGAAATATATCGACATTTATGGCTACATCATGTGAAATGTTTCGACAATGACATGTTTAGTCATTTTAACATGTTTAGTATCTTTTGAAAATAATATATTGCTTATGAGAAAATAAACCCACATCTCCCCATGAAAAAAAGAACCATTGAGCTCAGCGAAGTGAGGAGAAATCATCATGGATTCAACTACAGACTATTGCAGACTCCATATATTATATATACTTCACATTCGGAATAAATTTTCTTCAACAGCATTCCGTACCATGAGTCAGCGAAAGCAACCTGCACAAAGACAACAAACATATTGCCAAGTAAAAACATACAACCATTCTTTCTATATATAAAAGCTGGGTACGCTTTTTGCTTCTTACTGTATCACTTTCTGTCTTTTAGCGGATACCAAGCCTTCGCGAGAAATCTTCCCACCCAACTGCTTTCTCTTGCCGGTTCTTCCCCAATTCCCGCTGACGACCATGCCGCTACCCTATCGGCCGTGCTCTGCTTGCCCCTTATTGCAGCTCTTCCACAGACCCAGCTCTTCCACAGACCTATGGACCTATCACCTATGCCTCTCCCACCACGCGAGCGACCATGCCGCCCCCTTATCGGCCGTACCCGCACCGCTGCAGTTGGGTCTTTTCTGCATCTTCCCATACACCTATCGATTCCCTCATCTTGCCCGGCTTCTACGGCTTTGCTGGCACACGACACCGCTGCAAAACCTTTGCCACACACGCCAACACCATGCTTTGTACTGTCCTTTCCCTGCTCAGCTCGAGGGGAGATTGATTTCCTTGCTTCTCCTCGCCCAAAACGTTTCAGATCCAAATTCCAGCTTCGGTTTCACCTCCATACCATTTTCGGTCCACTTCTTCTCCCACCTCTCATCCCAGCTACCGCTAATCTGCTTCCATACATGGATGGCTGGAAACCCCTGCCGCCTCAACGACTTCTACGAGCACTCAACACTGTGGACTAATGAATTGGTGAGTCCTCTTTCCTTCGCTTCCTTCTGCATTGAAATTGCCCCTTTCCTCTCTTGCATCTGATTTCCCTTCCCCCGAAACCGCTCTTTCCGCAGATCACCACATTGGGTACAACATGAATTGAGAAGCAGATGTATTTTAGCAGCTTTAAGATGAAAAGGGTTTCTTAAGCATGTTGATTGTTTTTTTGACTTTGTGCTGGTTTCAGGAATCGAAGCATTGGCCAAATTTGCAGATGGATGATAGTGGCCAATATCGACGCAACGCAAGTGAGTTGGGGCTGCTGTTGGTACTGCATTCCAACCTCACTTCTACGGCAGCAGATTCTTAAACTTCATTAAAGGGTAATTATGGTACATAAGAATTCATTTGTGTATCTAAATCAAATCTCTACATGAGAAATTCTGCACACTCTGTTACTGATCTGCATTGCTCTCTTGAGGCTTAGAACTCTGCTGTTGGATATGTCAATTTTCAGATGTGAAGTGCTGAAATCCAAGATGAAAATTTATGGCCAAAACATCATAGCTTTCTCTATAGGAAGCGGTGGCTAACCAAGTTGAAGTCATTTGCGTTGGGAAAAATGGAGACAAGTTTTTTTTTAATGTTCATCTTGATGTTACCCTGCAGGTCACAGGAGAGGAGAGGTGAAGAAGGTACTTCCACGCTAATCCATCTGATTCTTTCATTCCGGGAAGAACTCGCACCAAATTGCTTTCCCTCAGTTTCTGCCAAGTATATTTATTTTTTTGAAGACTAACCAAGAAAAAGTTTTGTTCTTTGATGCAGCAAACGGAAGCTAGAAAAGTTTTGTTCTTCCCCTGGTAATAATTCCTCAACATTCTGAACTATATCAAAAGTTGCTGCTACAATACCATATCAGAAAGGTTTACATATCTGGAGTAGGGAGGTAGTCTTCTTATGTAAACCTAATTGTTCCTTTCAAACTCATATGAAGTTTTCCCATATACATATTCTTTGCAAATTTTCTTGCTGCTGATAGTTTCTGTTTTCCTCTGTTGTCTGCTTACTTCACTTGAAACTTTGACATATAGATGTTATAATTTTCAGTTGATTTATTTGTAGATCTGTGCACTTGGTTTGCTTCAAATCCAACTGGGCTCCCTTTTATCTCTGTTTCCAGATTGTAGAATCATTGTCGCTCTATGGAGAGGGTCGAGAAAGCTGCTGCAGAGCCAGATGTTGCGTCGGCATCGACTGAAGGAAGAGACTCAATTCGAAGGCGGGGGAAATGTGAGCAGGTGACTTTTGGGTTCAGGTATCGGAGTGTGGGGGTCAGGATAAGAATGAAAGAACCTGCTGTGAATTTGTTCGGGGCAGTTATCCGCTTTCTTTTGCTCCTTCTTTTATAATATCTCATAAACAAACAGATTTCCTATGGGCAAGGTTGAGAAGGTGATGGAGGTGCCTGTGCTGATTCCAATGGTGGAGAAGGAGTTGTTGAAGGTGGTCGGTAAGGGGATCAGCCGATCAGGCAAGGTGGAAACGAAGAAGTGGCCAAAGGTCGAGAGGACAACGAGGATGCAGAATAGGATAACGACGACTAATTCTCCAACCATAACTGTTGCATAAGCTGTGTCAGTTGAGCTCCCTTCTCCTGTGTCCTGGTTGGTACTTCTCTCATAAGGGGAATCCACAAGGTTTGTTTCCCCTATCGTCCCATTTTTTGGAGGCAGAATTCTTATCTACTACGGAAGCCTAAGAAAGTTGCACTTACTAGCATTATGGCCTTTGCATTGGTAGCATTACCATCTCCACATCATCTGTGGTGTGTCTCAAATTCCTCAGTTGCTGAATAGATCCAGTTGAGGGTCCTGCTCATGCTCTGAGTTTGGGAATGTTTTTGGCCCCAGAATTCTTATACTGGGTTTGAATCTGTTTACGAAACACCCTTTTTCTATTAAAATGTCAGCTACTTTAGTCTTTGAACAAATTGGCTTTGTGCAGGTTGCTTAAGGGTTTTGCTTCTCTGTAGTTGACACGCTAAAGGGAGATGTGTGATTTGAGCGTTCTAAAACAGCTCAACCGGAGTTCATGACAGTGGGGAAGAAGACCGATGCAGGAAGTGTGGATTTCATGCTGCTTTTATGTTGGATCTGTGATAATTTACTTGGGCCTTTAAAGAGTGCTCAGAAGATCTTCCGATGCTCAAAGCTACTCTGCTCCATTTCTTACTCCGGTATGACTCATTCTCTCCAATTTTTGTTTATGTAGTTGATACAATGCTGTGGTTTCTTTGAATGATTCATGTACTTTGACTGGGTTTAACTGCACTGAGTTATCTGTTGCTCTTATTTTATGCCGGAACTCTGAAATGCACTGAGCTAATTTGATTACTTGCCCATCAAGCTTCCAGCTAAATGAATGGAAGTTACTAAGTGCAAATCAAGATGACTTTCTCCCTCCCGCTATTTTTCTTTTGTGTTTCTGATTGTTACATCAATTTAACCAATGGAATATAGTGAACTTGATTGTTAAGCCAGATTAGAACTATGTTGTGGAGAATAAATAATTGAATTTTTTGTACTTTTTAAAATAATGTTCTTGATTCAAGATCAAGATCAGAGGAACAGGTATGGCAACGTGGTGGGAGTGGAATAGTCTTAAGTTTGGGTGTATATTTAGCCACATTAGAGTTTGGAACCAGTTAGCCTAAGCTAGCTATCTGCTAATCCTTGCTTTGTCTCTCTTTTTGGGTTCCACGGCGACTTGCATGGGGATATGGTCTCAGGGCTCAGATACATATATGGGTTGTTCAAGCAGCAAATCACCAAGGAGGGCCAACTGGAGCTGCTGAAGATTGGCTCGAGGTTTATCCACTCGAATAGAATAAACAGTTAAAACGTTGCCACTGCCATCAATGCATTGTTTAACCCTGTTATCTTATTGCCATTTGTGCATAAATTCAGTCCTTCGCCAGTAGAAAGCATTACAAATTTTGCGGATCAGACATTATACCTGCACATGCTATATGTTTTTGTTCCATGTTTGGAATGAAATCTACCTTCTTTGTGTCAATCCCTTCTGTGTACTTGGCAATAAAATTGGTTATATTGTAGCCATGTGTTGTTGATTATGGATTGTGTTTGTGTACCCTCTATGCTTGCTTAATTTACAATGTGACACATTAGATTTCATTTCTCTCCCATTTATGTCTTACATGGTGTTGTCGCTTTTTGTTTTTGGGAACCACTTACGGAGTTCGAATCCGTTGTTCTTAAGAGGATGCTGTTAATTGCTGTTGTGTAGGAAAATATATGCTTCTTTGGAACATTAATCAAGATATTGTGAACACTAAAAAATATATCTTGGAATTATGTGGTTTGTGGGTGTGATTCAAATGGAAGGTTCAGTGAAGCTTTGGAAAGTTAAGTTGATATGTTGGAAGAGGATTTTGTGGCTGCAGTTGTGACAAGAGTCATTTCTATTTCTTCACTGTCAGGATGCCTTTGAGTAAAGGCGATGCTATATGGTGTTTCTCAATGGGTGAGTTTCGTGTGGGTGGAGAAGTAGTTAGTTGGTATGTTGTATATTGATTTTCTAAATATTTTTTACGATTCCAGGTTACTACGGGAACTGGATGCAAATGTAATAGAATCTTCATGAATAATGTCCTGCTAGGACTTCAGGTCCTGGACACAACCTTTTTATGGGAGTATGATAGTTGTGTATCTTCAGTGATAGGATGCGTTTGAGTAAAGGCGATGCTATATGGTGTTTCTTAATGGGCAAGCTTCGTGTGGGTAGAGAAATAGTTAATTAGTATGTTGTATATTGATTTTCTAAATATTTTCTAAGTACGATAGTTGTGTATCTTTCTGATCTGGACGATTACGCATTTGAGTCGTACATGTCATATCAGAATTCAGTAGTAGCCTTCTTACTGATGGTCTTACGGCTTTCATGCCATATCAGAATGCTTCTTATATATACAAGCAATGAGTATTGTTAAAGTTTGAATCTCTGTCCACCCACTACAGTTAAGAGTTTCACTTGAAGACTTGAAGAAAGCATTCTGCCGAACTTATCCAACAAAATAAAGAAGCATTGTGTTAGAAGTTCAGATGTGTTGGTTAATCTCCTCCATTTGTTGACAAGACTTGAACATGAGAAAATGCTATTGAGAATTGGAACACTTATGGAAGGGAATGTTTGTGTTCATGTTGTGTAGTTTTATTTTCTTCCCATTATGCATCTAAAAGATATTAAACACGGCTAACCATTGATTAACTATTCTCTGCGGCGTAGCCGCAGGTATTGATTCTAGTAACACATAATACCGAGAAAATATGAACATTAATGTCGTGTCTAAACCATAACTCGTAACTGGAAAAATGAGAACATAGTGTTCAGAACAAAGTAACAAACACCTGCATGTTTTGTAGAAACAACGCTTGCTAGCAGCGCTCTTGGTGGCCTGACCCTGAATCTGGAATTCATCCTTGAAATTCTTTGCTATTCCATCATCCAGTTCTCCACCTTGACTTCCACGAAAGGATAAACCAATCTAAAGCCACATATGAACTAAAAGATCAAATCAGATTGCAGAATGTTAATAATGTTTATACAGTTATACTGATTACTGACCAGAACCATAATATGTATAATGAAGACCAAAGCTTACCAAATTTGTATTTTCCAATAAAAGGAGCATTCTCAAGCAAAAAAGCTTGTTTTCCAAGTTCAACTCCTATGGCTATTGGCCAAAGGTTCTACAGAGGTAAACAACCAGCAGTAAAAGATCAACACAGCAGCACCATGTTGCAGAATGCAGCCAATGGACCTTCCTTTCATTCCTTCAAATACATCAGTGGCCTTCATTAACGGCGTTTAAGTTGTTTCTATCCATGATGTGGTTCTTCTTGACCATGCTCGGACTCTAAACCCCTCCCTTCCCTCTACCTCTGTGGATGACACTAACTTTGTCGCACTAATCTAGCAAAGAGGGTTCATCCCAAAATTGACTAACTTGATTCATTGTAGTTACCCAAAAGCACAAACATTGAGCAGCCTATCACACTAACCTAGCAAGCTGGCCAAACATGTATTAACAGATCCAAATGGTCCCTGTCCAATAACTGTAGTAAAGTGACTTGTCGCTTCCTGGAGATCCGTGCATTGCTGTGAAGTAATGATTTTGAAGAAACCACATGCAAAGAGCTACATAAAAGACATAACAGCCATAGGTGAAGACAGTTGGGAATACACCAGCACATTTCAGTCATTACACTTGGATCCCATATGACACCAACATTTATTCACCACTACCAACATAAGCTAATTTCAAACAGAATCATTAAAGAGGAAGGAAACCTATACCGATCATGCAAAGGGCAAAGAAGAGTAGGGTAAGCTTCTAAGTTTGAGCCATACTCCAGCACATTTGTCATGACCTGAGCTGCTTGTGTATGAGTACGCCTGCACAAAAATCTTGAGGGTTCGTTAGGAGAAAGCTGATAGGCAAAATGAACAACTTTCCAGGAGAAAGAGAGAACATATTTAGAGTTTGAATCATAACAACGTGGGAATCAAAGGATCAAAACTCAACATGAGGGTTGATGGTTGTAAGTGGAAAAACGCAAAAATTTAAACTAATGAGCAACTGAATGAACTCATCCCAAGTGCCAGCTAATGCTTTGGCCTAACTGTATTGACCCTTGCTGCTCTTTTCTTCTCAGCTTTCTCCAAACACGTAAAATGCAGTGTTAGAGTTGATTTGACCCTCAAAATCATACACCAGCATATCTAACATTCCATAATTCCATCATGGAACTGTAACCGTACAAAGGAGAAGTCGAGAAGAGAATTACAATGGATTAATAACAAATAAGAACAGATGGTAACTGAATCCACCCCTCACATAGTCAAAATCAACATCTTTTGTGGAAATAATACTGCAAACAGTTATTCAAACTATTAAATCCATGCACCATTACCTCTTACTATTTCATTTCAAATTTCTGAAGTCTATTTTCATGAACCCACATGAAAATCAAAGGCCAACTTATTCGATATTCAGATCACGAAACTTACTTAACGCGAAGGTTACTTCATCTTGGCTTTTCAAACTCTCAGGTTCCTCTTCACCCTGAAAAAATGCAGCCTCTCCCTTGCCGACTGGGACGTTGTGTGCAACTGGCAAACTACTAACAGAAGGGTGAGATTTGGATGTACTCTAAGCCACTGCCCCAAAAAACCTATAGCAAACAACGCTACATTCGTCATCATCAGCTCAACGGGTGCGTCACCGTCCTGATCGCCATCTGCATTGTTGATGGACTCTATAGTCGAAAGGAGAAAAAAGAAATGAGAAACCACAGAGAGAGAAAGGGGAAACCACAGAGGAAGGAAGAAGAAGAAGAACTAACAGGTCATTCTCCACCCTGCCTCATCCCCCACGCCAACCTTCTTTGACAGCTCTTCTCAAATCTCAACCACTGGAATCAGCACAGGCACGTCCACCGCCTTCTCGACCTTGCCTATATGAAATTTGGCTGGTCACGGGATTAGATAAAAAGAAACAAAATAGAAGAGTAGAAGGAAGAAGAAGTGAAAGGAAGCAAATAACTAACTCGAACAAATCCACTTCTGGCTCCTTCATTCCCATCTTGAACCCCACACTCCGAACCGAAAAATTTACTGCTCTCTTTTCCCTCTGCCTCCCAATCAAATCTTCGCTTCCCCTCTTCCTTCCGTCGAAGCCGACCACATCATTCGGCACTGCAGCAGTTTTTTTGTGCTGTCCCTACGATGCAATGATTCTCCGATATGAAAACCGTGGTCGAAAAGGCTGGCGTCAAAGGGGGAAGAGAGAAGCAACGTAATCGAAAGTAATTGCAGACGGTTTGAGAGGGCCGAATAGAGAAGCTTCACTCCTCTAGTAATCGATGGCAGGAAGGTGAGGATTGTACAAATTATGGGTGGTGGCGTGTGTGAGTTGCTACGGAAGGTCTCATCACCGGTGGCGTGTCGTTCCCGACATAGAGCTGAAAAGATTGTGTCCCGCGGCTGTGGATTTTGAGGTAACGCCGACTGGGGATGGCGTACGGAGTAAGGCGTCGCCGTGTGGGGGTGGGTGGTCGAAGCCGTCCTCCAAGAAACGACAAAAAATGAAACAGTACCAAAGAAGTTCAGCCAATAAAGCGTACCCACATTTCATATATACAAGCATTTGCTGCAGTTATAGCAGGCTGCTAGGAGCATGATCTGATTTACTTGTCGTCGATCTTCCTTCCAACATTTGTGGATACCGAAGTCAAAACGAAAAAGAGGGGAGAAGGGTTTTCTTTGTCTCTGAACTCAATGGCTGTGCTTTCAAAACGGCCGATAACTTGTAAATTCAGATTGGCTTTTCTGGATGAAAAAGCCTCTGATAGTTTTAGCTTTAACTGTGTTTCTTCTTTGTCATCTAACACTAGAATCAACACCCACGGCTACGCCGCGGGGACTTAATTTGCAATCATATCATCTTCTTAGCAATAGATATGTCAATCAATGGTGTGTCGGTGACTTGAAATAGCAGGAGCGAGCATCACACTGAAAACATTACCAAGAAAATACTCAATAGTCTGCCTCAACTACTAAAAAGAAGAGCTTGCGCATCAGTTTTTGAAAGGAGAACTTAAGATCTGCAGCATCTGAAAAGAAAAAGATAAAGAGAGTATATCTGATTGACAACAAATGGAAAACATTCTAAATTGCCCATAAAATGTATAGATGTTTGTGTTTATTAACTAAAATGACATTAGTTTTTCAACAATACAAAGAAGTAGCAGCAATTTGACGCTCAACTATCCATTTAGCAGTAACAACATCAACAATAAAACCGAAACGCTTTACTTCAACAACATCATCACCAAGTGCAGCTTTAGAGGACACAACCGATAGAGCTTCCATTGAATCCACCTTCCACTTGAAAGCTACTTGGGCCAGAACTCGAACGCGTGCACTTGGATGGTCAAATAACAAACAACATCAGGCCCAACTTCAGATGTATTAGCAACATATGTAGCCGAGGAAAATTATGGTGGGGATGAAAGGGAAAATAAGAATGAGAAACAACATGTTGGTGGTAGGTTCGCTAGGGCAAGCAAATAAAACATACAAAATGATGGACGATAAGAACCTCGTATGTGAGAATAGCTAAAGTGGATACTTGACAGGATAAAGAGATGCACAACAACATTACCATCCAAGTGCAAACCCATATATAATCTGACTTCAGAATCCTTTGAACAAACAATTCTCAAAAGGAAACAAAGGGATATAAATGAGAAAGTACATACGAAACTTAGAGTAAACCAAATTAACGCGCAATCAAAGTTCAACCGTCTGAGGTCAAAACTCAAGACTAACTCTACAGAATGTTTGGATCTCATGCACTCGGATACCATAAGCTGTAAGGAAACAGCCTGGGAAGTCCAATATCCCCTACGCTATCATCTTTAAAAGTTAAAATAGCAAGAAAGCCCAGCACTGGGCAATGCATGTATTCTCTTAAGACATTTAAATTAGAATCCATAACAGAATCACAATACCATCATCCAAACAAATCCTCAACAGAAGGACAAAAAACTAATAGATACTGGTGTAGTCAAATTTCATTCATTCATACTCTTAAAAGTTATGGCTGACTACTCTGCTTCCAGTTCAGCTGGCACAGTTCTGATTGGCCGACATCCATGCCCATGTCAAGACTAAAGGTTTCCACATCAAAGATGGGATTCAAAAGAGGTAAACATGAGCAGGAACTGACCTTGGTATGAAAACTGGATTCGTATGAACTGAGGTTTGAGGCCGAGCTGGTTTTGTTGATAAAGCCAAAGGAGATGCAACATTCTTGCTCTTTCTGCATAGGCAATGAAAGCATAAGCACTTTTTTAGTAGTGGTAATAGTAGAGTTCTTGATTTGTACTCTCATGGCATTTAAACAAATACATTGCTCCTATTCTAATAACCTGATTTGAGGTTAATTTTCTCTTGCTTGAAGAAAATGAGATTGCTCCTGTGCCTTAGGGCCTTCCTCCTTATGGTTCCATCCTTATTTTCATGCCTTTACCTGTAAAGTAGCATATCTAGAATTAGTTTAAGTTTATAAGAAAACACGATTTTGGAAGTGGTATTAGTAGGGTTCTTGATATGTACTGTAATGGCATCTAAACAAATACATTGGTCTCTCCTGATTTGAGGATTTCTCTTTCTTGAAGAAAATGAGATTGAGTAAGGGGTTCCGCCTTATGCTTCCCTTCTTCTTTTCATGTCTTTACCTGTAAAGTAGCATATCTAGAATTAGTTTAAGTTTATAAGAAAACACGATTTTGGAAGTGGTATTAGTAGGGTTCTTGATATGTACTGTAATGGCATCTAAACAAATACATTGCTCTCTCCTGATTTGAGGATTTCTCTTTCTTGAAGAAAATGAGATTGAGTAAGGGGTTCCGCCTTATGCTTCCCTTCTTATTTTCATGCCTTCGCCTGTAATGTACCATATGCAAAATCAGTTTAAGTTTCCAAGATCGAACCATCTGGTTGTATATAAAGAATATCAACAATAATATTGGAGTAACTAATACTCAGCAATTTGATAATCCTGTCTTCTAGAAGGTACAAAAGCAGCACATCAAATGATCAGTGTACAAAGCAAATAAGAAATTTCAGAAGCTCAATTGTATCAATTTTTGCAGGTTCTCTTCACGACAACTATGCCTAAATCAAACAGGGCTCAAGTGTGCTGGATTGGAGCTCAAATAACTGGTTCGCTGCTGTATTTGTCTATGCCAAGAGCTTACTGAGCGAGTGATTTGGTATGATGATTTACAGGTTCCATATCAAGTGCAAACACAGACAATGAGGACCTTATAATCAATTAGTGGAAAACCTAAGAATGGTAGTGAAACGAAAAGGGATCAATCATTGCTGTAAGGAATGGGGAACTTATAATCAATTAGTGGAGATCTCAATTAACAGTAATGGGGTTGAAATAAAAAAAAAAGAAATAGATTACTTCTAGGCTCTAACAAAGTGAAATGAATAATGAACCGAACATCATCACCAAACAACATTAAGAAATAGAGAGACAACTGAAGAAGGATGTATCACATGCTAAGTAAACCATGAAATACCAAGTGCTAAACAACTCAAGACTTTCCGCACCTTAGACAGTTTTCCATTGTTACAAACTACAAACATATATCAGAGCGAGATTATCTGAAAGTAACACCACGACAGCCACTGTAAGAATTGACTTGACACTGCATTTTCCTGCTCTTGAGTTGCCATTCCCTAAATTATAGTGCCTCCTAGCCTTTGTGAAGCCCAAACGAAGAAGCACCTAAAGATTGAAGGATAATCGAAGAAAACTAACCAATGGCCTAGCCGGAAGCAGAGTCTGCAGTTGGGGCAGTACTTGCATGTTTGCAGGGTGGTGCTGGATTCGAAGGGCTAAGAGAACAAAACGGAACCCAGTTGACCTAGCTGAATTTGGTCCTCCCCGGAGCCAATGGTGGATTCTCACTCTCGCTGTTGCTAGGATTTATGCCCCGGCGATTGGAGTCGGAAGAGAGGAGGGATAAATAAAGTTTTTTATATGAATGAGAGGAAGGCTGGATGATTGGAATGGATGGTGGTGGGAGAAAATGCACATGGTGTAGAGAGGTGGACATATGATTTTGGATGGATGGAAATCGGGAGGGATGTGACTGTTAAGGGTAGAGTGTGGGAGATGTATTTGTCAGGGGAGGAACTCAGCGGAAAGAGGCAAGACGAAGGGTTTTTTTCTTATGACACAGAGGGAATTTTGCGTGTGGAAGCAGCCCGGAATCGTGCGGAGGTGGATTTCTGGGAAGGGATAGTCAGAGGGTACGGAAGCATGGGAGTCTGAAAGGAGAAGGGCTGGGCATCTCGAACGGGGTGGATACAACCATCGAAGTTGGGAAGTTCTTTCCGGCCTCATCAGAAGACGACAAATATTGAAACAGTAATTGAGAAGTTTGGGCAATAAAGTGTACCCACATTTCATATATAAAAGAATAAAAGAATTGTGCGTAGTATCTCTCTGGTACACAATGAAGCAGCCCTGCAAATCAGGTGCTTATAGCATCAGCAACCTTCCTGTAGAAGTGGTACAGCTTATTCTGAACTTCTTACCCATCAAAGACGCAGCCAGAACAAGTGTGTTGTCAAGGGACTGGAGGCACCATTGGAGGAGTATTCCTCGGCTTGTATTTGATGGTGATTTTGCTTCTCTCCGTTCACGTGAATCCTGGTCTCGGTCCGATTTGAGGCAGCTTATGACGAGCATCTACCAAGCTCTTCAGGTTCATGATGGGCCAATAACCGAGTTTGTGCTTGCAATTCCGAGGTTAACCACCTATGCTAAGATTGATCATATACTTTGTTGCCTGTCCAGCAAAGGTGTCTTGAAACTTGAACTTCATTTTGACGATGATGAACCATTTGAGCGCGAGACCCATTCTTCCTTGTTCTCTGCCGTTCAGCTTACCTCTCTGAAGCTTGATGGCTGTAATTTGAAACCACCATCATGGTTCGAGGGATTTAGTAAAGCTAACCGTACTTGAACTGAAGATGGCAGCTGTGCTCCCTGAGTTCTTTGAGAGCTTCCTTCCAAAATGCCCTCTGCTGGAAGAATTAAAGATTTTGAATTGTCTGAACACTGAGGAGATCGAACTTGTTGCTCCATGTCTCAAAACATTTCTCATCTTTGGATATATTGGAAGTCTTCACTTCAAGCGTACACCACTTCTTTCAGTGGTTTCAATTCTTGTTGATGATGAAGCTGATGAGAATGACATGGAAGTGGTATTTGCTAATCTCCCAGCACTGCAGCAGTTGTATCTTAGCTTTGAATTTCTGGAAGTAAGTCTGTTTCTCTACATTTTCCCGATTCTTGCAAACACAAAATTTCACTACTCATTACTGTGTATTATTCCTTTAGGAACTTTGTATTGGAGGGCCTGTTCCCAGAAGACTTCCCACTCTTCTTCATTGTTTGGAAGATCTCGCACTGCGTTCGTGTGCATTTATCGACTACTACAATGGATCGTTTGGGGATAGTGTTCTCTTTTGTCTCATCAGGAGTTCTCCCAATTTGAAAACACTCACAATGCAGGTTGGTTGATTCCTAGAATCTCAGAAGTCCTTTCCACCCACACCCAGTTTAGATGTTAGCCATGGGCTCATCTTCCTTGCTCCTTAATTAACTCATTTTTCTGTAGATGGAATCCGCAGGCAAGCTACCAGCTCTTCCGAGGAGAAATATCCCAGAATCTCAATCCTTGGAATCAGCAGGCAAGCTACCAGTTGTGGGTTGTATTCAGTGTCTTGCCGAGGTGAAGATTCTTGGCAGTTACGGCTCTCAATTTGAGCTGGACGTGGTGAAGTTTGTGTCAGCCAACGCCCCACAACTCCGCAGGATTCTCATTACGTCTGCAGATAAGCAAGGTCTCGAAAAAGGTCTGAAGTTCTTAGAGAGGGTAAGACGATGTAAACGTATTTCAAAGAATGCGGAGATCATACAACAGATATGATGCTCTAGATCTTTGTTCTAGCTTGGTTACGCTCGTGGTCGCCGATGATTTAACTTTTGAAGCCGGAAGGAAATAGATTAAGCGAGAGGAATTGACTAAACTGGTGGCCAAAGTTAGGCTCATGTATCGGTATTATTATTTAGCTCAACATGAGGTTAACTTCTTAAGCTAGATACATGGATATGAAATTCTGCTGAGGTATCTAGATTGCATGCTTATGAACAGGCATCTCCACAATGGAAATATCGATGATGAGTGCGTATTGCGTAGTACTAGACATTGGAGGTTTCATTGAATGAACATTCGTGGTTTAGAGTATTGAACATTAGCAGAATTTAGTAATCTTTAATGATTATGTTTTTCTAAAACCAAATTCTGTTATTCAGCATCCTGGAAACCTGAACTGGCCCTTGCCTTCTCCTTGGATGGTTTTGCCAAGAGATCATCTATTCAAAATGGACATAAATAAATGATTGTAAATCGAGCATAAAATCAGTACACAGAAAGCACAAACGATTACAATAGACGAATAATTATCTGAGTAAAACTCATGCCAAGATGGCTGCTGAGCTCCAGTTGTTTATCGGCTACATGAAATGATGAAATGTGGAAACATCTGCGCAAGAGAAGAAAATGAGCCTAGAAGATGCAAGCTATGCTAAAAACAGAAATGCTCATATCTCTCCACCATCATTGTCAATACTCGTCGACCCGATTATATATAATCTCTGCTTCTTTAGAAACACGCTTATATCGCATCAGCTCCCTCATGAAATCCTTTTCCCTCTTGGGGTCGAAATTGTGTATAGGCATAATGTGAATGAACCGAACTAGTGGGGCAGTGGCTAATACGAACCTCACCAGGTCCATTTCAACCTGAGCACCAAGGCTCTGCAGAATCGTGAACTCCCTAAGATGTTGAAGGCAAGCAAGGCAGTCCTCTGCTTCCAACAACCTCCGTATGCTGCTAACTTCATCATTTGCCGGCTGATAATATTCTTCGATACTGAATCTGTACAGCTACGAGAGCATTTGTGAAGGAGCCGCCAAGTCAGCCTGAATACCCCAAATTCATGCACCTCATAAGTCCTAAAACCGAAAATTCAATTTGCAACACTACCAACCTGAACTGTGAGGCTACGCAGGTTGGGGGAACTCATGATCAAACATACAAACACGCGCTCCATCTCTGAATTATCAAAGACAAGATCAGTCATGTGTAGGACTGTTAACTGGTGAAGAGTGGTAGGAAGCCTGGCAGGGACATGCTTGAGCAAGGAACTATCAGTTGTTTCACCATCCCCATGAGCAAGGAACTGAGAGAAAACCAAACACAATGCCATTATGTAGCTCATAATAGCATTAGTGAGTCAAGCAAAATATGCAACAGTGGGATATAGAATGTGATGAACTAGACTTACTCTCAGGAAATCATAGTTAACATGGAACTCCTGGAGTGCCGGAAGAGAAGCAAACAAAGGTACCATATCAGGTGTGTCGGCTTCAGACAAATGAAGTGCGACAACTGACAGAAGTGGAGCATGCTTGAAGCAGATTTCCATGAAATAAGCCTCTAAGTTGAAGGACTTGAGAAATGGAGCCGCAATCTCGAGTTTATCAGAATGTCCACTACATTCTATAACCTCCAAACATTCAAGCATCGGACACTTTGGAAGGAAATCCACGAAGAAACCATCCGGCAAAGCAGCATCTACTAATTTAAGATTAGTAAGCTTACTAAAGCCGACGAACCAAGTTGGTGGTGTAAATACACAAGAATTCAGGTTCAGGGATTTCAGGTTAAGAGCAGAAAACAAAGAAGTATGTATCTTATAACCACCTGTGCTAGGGTTAGGACTTGAACACGAAAGTTTAAGGTCTTGGACACCTTTACTAGAAAGGTAACGGACGATATGTTCAATCTCATCGCAGAACTCTAACCCAAGGACTGAAAGCTCAAACTTGGTGATCGGTCCATCATGAACAAGCAGGGTTCTGTAGACGCTCAGCATTATAAGCTTACTCCTGGCTTCGAAGTCAGATTTCAATTGGGCAAAACCATTATCAAATACAAGTTGAGGAATACTTAGCCACTGATGTCTCCATTTCCTTGACAAGATGCTAGTTTTGGCTGCATCTTTGATGGGTAAGAACACGAGAATTCGCTGTATCACATCGGCAGGAAGGTCGGTGATTCTATCAGCACTGGACTCGCACACCCGCTTCATCCTGCAGATGAATACACATTTCGACCAGCTAAATAGATACAGAAAGCGATTGGGAAACCAATTCGATTCAAGAGAAAGCTCAAAGACCAGTGGATTACCTTGCTGTGGAGGGTCGGTTACTTTGGCTAATGACTACGACCTGAAAGTGCCCAAACCCAAATCGAAACTCTGAAACACCAGAGAACGGCAAAAATGGCGCTAAATCCCAAGAGAGGACGGGCGTTGTGCAGATTTACAGTCCCGATGTGATAATGAAATGTTGCGAAGAGCGATGGACGGAAGGTTTTTCTGGTTCACCGTGAGCTAGGGCTTGGGAGAGACTGGGAAGGGAGGGGGAAGGGGAAGCGGTAATTAGTTCCTTGTGTCATTTCATTTCTATTTCAATTTTCAAATCATCTGAAAAATGGTAGGAAATTGGCGCCAATGCATTTGATTTGGCGCTCAAAAGAAAATTCAGTCCATGTGTATTTCCAGAAATACCCTCTTCTCAATTTCAAAGTTAACATGGGACGGCGGTGGGAACTAGGAATGGCAATTTCGACCTGACCCGGTTTACCCGACCTGTTTGGTCTGTTTTGGGGCAGGTTGGACCCGCCCTGTAGGCGAGGCGAGGCAGGCATGAGTATCTCTCATAGACCCGACCTGCCTTGACCCGCCCCATTCTCAACCCGTTCTTGCATAAATTACATGTAATCTTAGTAAAATAACTTAAGATTTTTCTCTTATTACATTATATTTTAGCTATAATAAAGTTGTAAATAAGTGAAAACATCAACTTCTTCAATAATTTAACTACATTTTATCATATTATGGTTTATTTTTTGGTCTTTTAGTGAAAATAACAAATAGTTCTAATATTTTTCGCATAAATTACGTACTCATTGAATCGACCTGCCCCAACCCGCGACCCATGATAAATTACCCGACCTGGACCCGACCTGTCATGGACCGGGTATGGGTATCGAGAAACCCGCCCGGACGTGCCAATTACCATTCCTAGTGGGAACCATGGGAATCTCTCGGAATTGGAGTTTTAGAAACAAAAACAAACAATAAACAAGCATTATTCTGTCCGCAGAGATTTACGGCAAGAACAATTTGGAAAACTCAAAGTTGTGGAGGTGGGATTAATCAATGAGGTCTGAAATACTAGCGGTTCAAATTTTTCTTCCTTTTTCTGATCGTGAAACTGTTCCCACTGTTTTTTCCGAGCTAAATCCATGCCTCCCAAACCCTAGCTTCAAGTCAATCAACAGTCTGCCTCTCAGTTCCCTCCGGCGCAATACAGGTACGTATCCCACTCTGTTTTTTAACAAGCTGGTTGAAGGAAATCGATTTCCTATTTGGTGGGATTGTAGGCTTTGTAGCCAGCAGCAGGATGAAGCAACTATGCCAACCCAGTACCGATAGAATTAGCAACCTTCCTCCGAATGTGATGGAGCGCATTCTCACGTTCTTGCCCATAAAAGAAGCCGGCAGAACAAGCATCTTGTCAACGAAATGGAGGTTTTCCTGGAGGAACATTCCTCGACTTGTGTTTGATGGTGATTTTGCTTCAGTGAGTTCTGGAAAATACCAGTACGTCTTATTTAAGATAGTTACCGACATTCTCGAGGCTCTGAAGCTTCATGATGGGCCAATAACCGAGTTTGTCCTTGCAATACCTGGACTACAAACATCTGCCAGGGTTGATCTTTTAATCAGACACCTTAACAAGAAAGGTGTGAAGAAACTTGACCTGCATTTCTATGACCACAACCCTTTCCATGGAAATGTCAATGCTTCCTTGTTTCATGCTATTCAACTGACTTGTCTGAAACTCCGGGGTTGTAGACTGCCAGAAGCAGGGTTAAAAGTATTTACTAGCCTGACCGTGCTTGAACTAAGCACGGCGGCGGTGCCCTTTGATTTCTTTCACACTTTCCTGCCCAAAAAGTGTCCATTCCTTCAAGAGCTGAGGGTTTCCGACTGTTTGGTCCCTCCGAAGCTTCGACTAGTTGCTCCATATCTCAAAAACGTTTCTCCTTTCTGGGTATTTTGAGAGCATCCGTTTCGAGTCTGCTCCACTTCTTTCAGTAGTTTCAATTCAACTAGATGATGTGATCGAAGACGAGGTTGAGAAGCCTAGTATGGTTGCTATGTGTGCTTCTCTTCCAGCACTCCAGCAACTTTGTGTTAGCTTTGAGTTCCTGGAGGTAAATCTGCTTCCTTATGTTGGTCCTACTTGCAATTTTGCAAACACCAGTTTAATCTCTCTACTCATTCCTGTGTGTGGTGCCCTTCTCAAGTTACTTGCTGAAGGATCAGTCCCCTACAGGCTTCCAGCCGTTCTTCACCACTTGAGAGTCGTTGAAGTGGGCTCATGTTCTTTTCCCCATTACGATGGTTTGCTCGTGGAGATTGTTCTCTTCTGCCTAATCAGGAGTTCCCCAAACTTGCATACACTAACTATGCAGGTTGGTTTGCAGGATCTCGAAACATCCTTGGCACCCATCTAGTTACGTGGATCTTGTGCATCACAGTTAAATTCATTTTTCTGCAGATGGAAGCTCAAGGACAGGCACCTGCTATTCCGAGGCAAGAAGTGTTATCGGTGTCTGCTGAATCAGAGGGCTACCCTGAAAATGAAGATGGTTGTTTCCAATGTCTTCGAGAGGTGAGGATCCTCGGCAGCCATGGCTCACAGCTTGAACTAGACGTGTTGAAATTTGTGTTAGCCAAAGCAGCGTTACTCCGCAGGGTTGTCATTAAGCCTTCAGATGAACTGGGCTGTGAATTGGGTCTTAGGTTTTTGAAGGAGGTGACACAATATAGGCGAGTATCAAAAGATGCAGAAGTAATATATGTAGTTTGATAAGACAATCTGGAGGATTGCCTGAAGGTTGGCAATTTTGTTGTAGCATTTTGTATTGCCACGCCCTCTTGTTGGGGAAAACTATGCCCTGCTTTGCTGTTGTTTGTAAAGTTAATCTGTTGCCTTGCTTTCACATTGCAACGACAGACTCTTCTGCTTGCCTGCAAACCTTTTGTCAAGGAGCCAAAATTTATGTATTTTTAACCCTCATAAATCCTGCTAGCAGGACCTTCAGCAGGCTAACACAAGTACACAACCAACCTGAACTGTGAGCCTACGCTAGTTCGGGGAACTCATGATCAAACAAACAGAAACGCGCCCCAATCCCATAGCATCACAGTCTATACGGCTCACTGCAAGGACTTCTAACAGGTGAAGAGTAGGAAGCCTGGCGGGCATATTTCTATCACCTGCAGCAAGGGACTAAGAGAAAACCAAGCACAATATATCACAGCATGAATGAACACAGCAATTGAGCAGAAGCTTTACATGAATGGCAATTTGCTTCAGGTAGGGTCAGATGTTCGGATAGAATCAGATGTTCATGAATTTGGGCAAAAACCAGCATCAAAGACAAGTTCAGGAATTTGTCCAATTTTAGTGATGCTCTTACATCCCTTCCACGTGCAGTGTTTTGGAGAATTTGGATGGAATCAAATGCACGCATATTCAGAGACGCAAAATCCACATCTTTCTCCACCACTGCTGTTCTCCAAAACATTTGCAGCAGGAACTTTGCTAACAGTATCCCTGCCACTTATGGAAAAGCTTTTCCTCTTTGCTATATGAATCGCAGTTTTCCACCCTCCATGAAACTCCCCGCAGCTAGCGTTGTCATGCCAAGCAGCTTTTCCCTTAAATTATAGTATGTTTTTCTTCAATAATTCTTCTTCTCATATCCTGACACCCATCCTTGGGAATAAGTCCTGTTTCTCCACATTATCTGACTCTAGCTAAGACATGAGTTTGTTGCTCATTACTTTGTTTACTTTCATCATGAACTTGCTGCAGGTAATATTCCCAGCAGACTTCCGATTGCTTTTCACCATTTGAAAGTTCTCGCTATACGATCTTGTTGGTTTATGCCTTACTACAATAGTTTTCTTGCGGAGGATGCTCTCTTTTGTTTGATAAGGAGTTCCCGCGAACTTGCAAACGCATACAATGGAGGTTGGTTTTCAGATCCTCCAAAAAAATTTGCATGCTCACCGACCTTAGGTATTCAGATCCTCCTTGGTCCTTGAGTAATACATTTTGTAGCTGGAATGAGAGGCAATGGTTTCTTTCACTGTCTAGAAGAGGTGAAGATTCTTGGCAGCTTCGAGAGTTCGAGTCTCAGTTTGAGCTGGACTTGGTGAAGTTTGTATTGGCCAATGCCTCACAACTCTGCAAAGTTCTCATTAAGCCTTCGGATAAGCTCGTTCGTGAAGAGGGTTTGAAGTTTTGAAAGAGGGTGACACGATGTAAATATATTTCGAAGGATGCAGAAATCATACAACTGATTTGATGAGCATCTGTATTATCGTCATTCTAGCTTAATTGATTAGGGGATCACCGATGAGCCAGAAGGAACTAGGGTCAAGCTTCACACCCAGCAGGCGTTTCTTCGTGAATGGAAAAGGTTGATGATCCAATCATAAAATAGAAAAGGTATTATCTAATTCAACTTATCATTAAATTTTGTTACAATAAAACCAGGTGCTCATATGGATAGGAGTAATTTAGTACTTCACTAACAATGCAAATTTTTTTTATATACTCTCGCATCTTAGATGGAACAAACATGCTGAAAGAAGAGAGGTGGCTAAAGCACCGGATAGTTTTGTTCCAGATAAAAGGTGGTCTCAACACTGCTGTCAAAGTTGGCTCTCTGCATAAGTAAAGGGGTCATCACGTGTATCATTGTCAAAGATAACCTTTGCTTCTTTAGAAACACGTGTATATTGCATCACCTCGCTCATGAATTTCATAATCTTCTCGGCCGCCATTGCAAATCCAGGATTAACATGGACCAACCGAAGCAGTGGGGCAGTGGCCAGGACGAACCTCACAAGGTCCAGCTCAACCTGTGTACAAAGGCTGTGCTTAATTCTGAACTTTCTCAGATGCTGAAGGCAAGCAGAAGATCCAGGGCTGTCCCCTGCTGCTTCCAACAACCTCCATAAGCTGCTGCTAACTTCATCATTTGAACGCTGATCATCTCTCGGGCTCACCTGCAAGAGCATCAATTTGTTAAAGGAGCCTAAGCCAGGCTAGCTAGATGCTCACAAGTGCTGCCAACGATGCGCGACGAAAAAGCTCAGTTGGCAAACACACAAACGCCGCTACCTCAATTCTGAGCCTGCGCAGGTTGGGAGAGCTCATGATCAAACAAACTAAAACGCGCTCCATTCCAGGGCCTTCAAAGGCGTGAGATTTCAGGTAAAGGTCTTGTAACTGGTGATGAGGAGTAGGAAGCCTGGTGGGGACATTCTTCCCATCACCAGCAGCAAGGTCCTAGGAGAAAAACAACGATACAAACGACATAGTGATATTACAACGACATGAATGAGTTGCAGCAGCAACCCAGCAGAAGGCTTCTATATATGTAAGAATTGAAAATAGCAAAGGAACTTACTTTCAGGACTGCACCGTTAGCAAAGAAATGCCGGAGAGCCGGGAGAGATGCAAATAAGGATGCTATATCAGGTACGCGACAATGATGGAAATGAAGTAACAGGTCTGACAGAAGTGGAGTATCCGCGAAGCTGATAGCAACCAGTTCAAACCCCCAAAAGTGGAAGGATTTGAGAAATGGTGCCTTGATACGAACCTCAACAGCATGGCCCCAACAACATCGAAGCCTCAAGGATTCAAGGATCGGGCACTTGGGAAGGAAACTGTCGAAGAAATCAAGGGGCAATCTAACATAGCCAAATTCGAGAAAGGTAAGCTTACTAAAGCCGACAAAGCAGGGCGGTGGTGTAAACACCAAAGCCTGGAGTTGCAGGGATTTCAGGTGAAGAGCAGAAAACAGGGAAGAATGCATTTGATATTTGTATAGGTCAACACAATCTTCGTCGTAGAGACATTCATCGGCAGAGTCAAAGTTCAAGGTGAAATGTTGGACACCTTTGTTGGAAAGGTAAAGAGGGAGGAGATCGATCTCGTGGTTGCAGGGGATGAATCCATGTATTGCGAGCACAAACTTGGTCACTGCTGCCCCATCATTAAGAAGCAGGCACCGGTAGATGTTCGTCATTGCACGCCTACTCATCTCCTCCCTTTCAGATTTAACCTTGCCAAAAATGCTGGCAAACTCCCTATCAAAAACAAGTTCAGGAATACCTCTCCAGCGATGCCTCCATTGCATCGACAAGACGCTAGTTTTGGCGGCATCTTTGATGGGTAAGAACACGAGAATGCGATGCATCACGTCGGCAGGAAGGTTGGTGATTCTATCATCAGCACAGGACTCGCGGAGCCGCTGCATCTTTCAGGCTACCTGCTTGTAGGAAGGAAGGCGGGAAATTGCAGAACAAAGCAAGCAGGAAATCAATCCGAGGCCGAAGAAAGCTCCAATGCCGTAACTTGGGAGAAAGCAGTAGAGTGTCTGTGGCAATCAATCCGAGTCTACTTGTACGAAACCACTAATACACCATGTAACAGAATTGGTTTCGTTCATCACCAAATTATATAGAGCAAGCTTGACCAACTGCAACCAGGAGACAGAATACTAATAAGGAATAAAATAACCCCTAAATTATAATAAGGACAATTCTAATCCTAAACTAGCTAGGAATTATATATAGTAATTCTAACCAACAACTAAAATTATTATTATTACTACAAAGCCATGCAAGAAAATAGACTCCTAAATATGTAATCTGACCGCACTATTTGCTCTCCTCGAATTAAAAAATTATTGCAAATGCCATTTTGGATTTCTTGTGATCGCGCTCCATTCTCTAAAGCACCATTGTCTCTACCAATTACAATGCATTTGTCTTCCTTAACAAAACTTTTATCTTCACACTAAACATTACACGCGAAGAATTTACTTCACATGAACATTTTATGACATCTATTTTTTGGCAATACTGATTAACAACCCAGCAACCAACACAAATTTGATACTCTATAGATTGAAAACTTAAAGAATAACCTTTAGGAATTGACTATTCTCCAATAGATATGTTGCTTTTTTTCCCTTATAAAACCGAATCAAAATATATTCGATCCAAATATCAATTCAGTACGATTCAGTCCAGTGCTAATGGGATCGTTATCCACCCCTACATAGGATGTTAGACTAACATAATATTTTTCTTACAAATATATCAAAATGAAGGTTGTCTTCAATGTACTCACTTTTTTGGATGCATGTAATGCACTCGCCTCATAACCGTTATTTTGAGCAGGTGATTCATGTCAAACCGATATCAATCATTACTCTTATATGATGGGCAATAAAATACATGAATTTGCACAAAAATTATTCAAGATTACTTTGATTTGAAGTATTCAGGGTTTAGGAATTTAGGATTAGGGTTCAAAATTGAAGGTTTAAAATAATGCATTGATTAGTTGTGATCATATGTTATAGTATCATATTAGATTAAGGATACCAATTAAAATTTAATGTTGTTAATTTTAGGTTTATTATTAGATTTTTCCAGTGTTTTTCAATCAATCAAGAAGAATATTACAGAAAAGTCTCTCAAATCCTAATTTTTCTATCCTCTAAATCTCGTCTATCTCTCTACTATAGACAGTCTGCCATTCTTTCCCGTTCTTCCCCAATTCTTCTCTTCAACCCTCATTCTTTCCCGTTCTTCCCCAATTCTTCTCTTCAACCCTCAATTCCTAATTCTTCCTGATCATCTATCACAATTTCTAATCATCAACCAACTCCTAATCATCAAACCTGACCCAACAAACGCTAAATCACATGGTTTCTACCATGACCGCTCATGTATAGCGATTTCTAATGAAATCGATGCTGCAAAGATGCTTACGAGATCATTAATTCGTAATGAAATGAATGTAGCAGTTGAGAATCACGTCTATTTTTCAGGTTAACTTAGGCTTATTGGACGTTTGTGTTCGCCATGTCAGCAAAAAAAATCGACGTCTTTAATGGTGACTAACAGAAAGTAACGAGAATGACCGAACATGGACTATTACCATAGAAATATCTTTGGGGACATAACACGAGTACAAAGAAAAAACCAAGTTAGGACAAATTGGCAATAAGATCTAGCAATGAGTAGAACTCATGGTCAGATGGGTTCTCCCATATGCGGCAAAACTCCAGTTGTTTTCCGGCCACATCATTTGAGGAAAGAAACCAATTCAAAGAGGAGATATCCGGCAAGTTGGAGAAGGTTAATACTTGAAAGACAGATAGGGGGTGATCAATTATTCCCTTACAACGCAGAAGGATACGGATTTCCAGAAGCTATAGGGTCAATCTACTTCCAAACATCCAAAATAGTAAGCTCCCAATCCGAACAAGATTATGGCGGGAAAACCGAACCTGGAAAATCTGAATTATGCTGCTTATATAGAAATCTTCACATCTATCCACCAACATTGCAACTCTAGAAGTGAGGAGTTGAGTGAGGGGAGACCGAATTGTCACTCCTCGTCGTCATCCCAATAGAATCTAACCTCCGCTTCTTTAGAAGCTCGCTTATACTGTATCGCCTCCTTCATGAACTTGGTAACCTTCTTGGTGCCCAATTTTTTATAAGGTGTAATGTGAATCAACTCAAGTAGTGAGGCAGTGGCTAGTACAAACCGCACAAGGTCCAGCTCGACCTGAGTACCACGGCTATCCTCGATTCTGAACTTCCTCAGATGTTGAAGGCAATCAGATCCCCTGCAGTCCCCTGCTTCCAACAAGCTTCGCAAGCAGCTAACTTCACTGCCTGCGGGCTGATCACATAGCTACAAGAGCATTTGTCAAGGAGCCAGAGTCAGTCTAGAGAACAAAAAATTTATGCACCTCGACTCCTGCAAACAGAAAATTCAGTTTGCAACACAACCGACCTGAACTGTGAGCCTATGCAAGTTGGGGGAGCTCATGATTAGAGAAACAAAAACACACTCCATCGGGGAACCATCAAAGACGAGAGTATTCATCTCGAGGACTTTTAAGCGGTGAAGAGGAATAGGAAGCCGGGTGGGAGAATTCCTTCCAGATGGAGCAAGGTACTAAGAGAAAACCGAACCAAGTGGCATGAATGAGTATGTACCTATGCAATGATAAAAATACATTGTGAAAAACTGTACTTACTTTCATGACTTCATTGTTAACATAGAGCTGCTCGAGTGCCGGGAGAGAAGCAAATAAAGATACCAAATCAGGTGTCTCGCTCTCAGTCAAATGAAGTACTACGTATGACAGAAGTGGAGTGCACTTGAAGCTGATATTCTGAAAATACCCCACAAAGATGAAGGATTTGAGAAATGGAGCCACAATTTCAAGCTGACCAGCAGGCCCGTCGGGATATATCGCCCTAAAGTATTCGAGCATCGGGCACTTGGGAAGGAAATCCCTGAAGAAATCAACGGGCGATGTAACATATTCTAATACAAGACGGGTGAGGTTAGTGAAGCCCACAAACCAAGATGGTGGCTTAAATTCACAGGACTGAAGTTTCAGGGATTTCAGGCGAGAAACAGAAAACAGGGAAGAATGCATCTGAAAATCGCCTTCTTCCTCGTCATTACCACCGGTGAACACAAACTTTAAGTGTTGGACACCTTTGGTAGAAAGGTAAAGAATGATTTGGTCAATCTCACGGCAGGCGATCAATCCAGGGACCGAAAGCACGAACTTGGTTATTCGCCCGTCATGAAGAAGCAGAGATCTGTAGATGTTCAACATCACTTGCTTATTCATAACTTTCGATTCAGATTCAGCCAAATCACTAGAGATTTGGGCAAAATCATCATCAAAGACAAGTTCAGGAATCCTTCTCCAGTGGCACCTCCATTTACGTGACAAGACACCAGTTTTGGCGGCATCTTTAATGGGTAAGTACATAAGAATGCGCTGTATCACGTCGGCAGGAAGGTCAGTGATTCTATCAGCACTGTACTCCGACTCACACACCCGCTTCATATTTCAGGCTACAATACAAATTGAAGCAACAAAGTCCATTTCAGCCAGCTAACAAATACAGATTGGGATAGCCAAAAACATAGAAATCGCAGAACAAAGCTGGAAAACATTCGAATCAAGAGAAAGCTCCAATTATGTAACTTAGGAGAAAGCGGCGGATTACCTTTCGTTGAGGAGGTTGATTTACTTTGACCAACAAGAACTGAAAGGGCTCAATCCGGCAGAGTCCCTGCAAGCTGTACTTGTTTCCAGCGTCTCAATTACACCATGAGATCCTGAAGAATTGAACGGCGGTGAGGGCGAACGAAGCTCCTTGAGAACGCCATGATTGAAGTTTCTTCCAGGAAATGGATTGGGGCTTAACGGAAGATGAAACGCGGGAACAGTACAGAGCGGCAAAAGGTGGGCTAGAAGAATGCAGGGAGTCGATGTTGAGGGTCAAGAGAAAACGAAAGAGATGTACAGATTTCAGTGGCGGAGAGAGTGGAGTTGTAGGGAGGGAGACCAAGCGCCGAGCCGAACTGAGAGAGACGGCGAGGTGCGAAGAGCGAGCGAGCGCGCGAGAGCCAGTAGTTTTGCTGGGTTCAACGTGCGTTAGGGCTTGGGATTTTTCACACTATAGACTTGTGTGCTTTAGACCGTTTATACCGGTACGGTAGTTTAGCCAGCAGTATAATTTTTTTTTTAAAGATAATCATGTATTGATTCAAATAATAGGTAGTTAGTTACATCCTCAAGTTCAATCAGGCATGAAAATCAAAGAAATGACTCATAGTCGAGTACAAAGAGAGGGCATTTCTAGCCACCAAGTGGGCTACCCTATTACTACTCCGATCTACAAATCGAACACTAAATCCGGGGTTACTGGAGAAACCCAGCACCACTTCTTCCAAAATCGCACCCAATTGGTTGTCCCTTATATCGGCCTGCCTGATCTTGTTGATGATCACCTTAGCATCCCCTTCAAATCTTACATTTGTGAATCCATGATCCAGGCACCACAGCAGACCCTCACGGAAGACAAATAGTACCACCACCATGGGGTCATCAATTATCGGAAATTGAACCCCTTTCACCAGTAGGACTTCCCGTGTGGGGGTCATAAGAACCAACCCGCCCGCCGAATGTGAATCGCTCCTAGTAGTCTCATCCCACATACAAACAACCCCAGTATGAACCATCAGACTCAGTGGTTGTTGTACCGTAGGATCAGCATCCTGAAGAGCTTTATCCACTGGCAGCCGCACCCATTCCTTATATTGCTGGGCAAACTGGCGCATCAACGCAGGGATCCCAAACTGCTTACCCTCAAAGACCATCCAGTTCCGAGACCACCAGACCCGCCAAAGGAATTTAATCGGGGTCCATTATATTTATATTAGTTTTAACAAAATATGTAGAAAAAATCAAAAATTATAAATATCAAATGAACTACACTTATATAATCTATCTCATGATGAACTCTCTAAAAGCAATAATTATGTCGTTACAATGTTGTGACTAAATAAAAATCGAAGTTTGTCCATGCTACATTTTACACTCGCCGCACATTCAAAACATATAGGGGTCATTTTGAAATAATTATGCATTTGGGAAGATGGAAGATTGTGGGCATTACGGATTTTGAGAACCCACAAGTGTGGAATTTCAAAATAGCTCATGGGAATTTACTATTTTGCAAATCCACAAGTCTCGGTACACTGTCGCTAAACAAGTTGATCCCCAACTCTTCGTCCCTATCAAGCTGGTCCCACTACCTCCGTTGGCATGTTGAAGCCCAAATTATCCCGAACAAGTGGCCCAACGTCCTTCGGGACTACTCGAGTTCTCGATGATGACCTCTCCGGTGATCGACAACTGGGTAGGGATGACAACATCTCATAGTGTGATAGTTCTCTCCCCCTCATAAAAGTGGAAGGTATGTGTCTCGGGCCTTCACCTCTCTGACATAGTTGTCACTAACTCATTATCAATGTCCATCCCTACGAATACTCACTCTATCCAATCTCGTCCTTTCTAAATAGGGCAAGAGTCCCGCATGTCATGGAGGCAAGCGTGAGGTCCTCTATGGATGGTGGGAATAAGTGATTCCTACGGGGGGGGGGGGGGGGGGGGGGGGGGGGGAATGTACGAAGTAAGTTTTTGAATGATATAAAAATATAGCAACGTTTTAAAATAATGATAAAAACATGATTTTGACGGTCAGGCGTGCCTATCGGGTTGTTCCAAATGTATGGGATTGATGAGTTGCTTGCTTGCTTGCTTAAATACTTCACATCCCTCGAGCCGAGTTGGATATACAATCTAGGATCACAAAAATCCGCTTCCATCTATTAGTATATACCAGAAAAATACATTATTTGATTTGTAAATAAATCATGAAAATACAAAATGTTCAAATACAAGGAAAACAATTTTGGGGTCGAAGGTCGGGCATAGCCGCAACTGCAGAGCATACTAAAAATTCATTTATTTGGAGTATTTTGGGCAAACATCATCTGTATTCCAAAAATAAACGAGTCAATCATGGTTAAACTACTAAGACATTATTGGTCTTATAGAGTCCGACCAATAATTCACATTGATAACTGGCAAAATTATGAAATATATGACAAATTTAGTGGACAATTAATCATAAAATGAAAAACAAGTAGGTAACTTAAGAGTCTCTTCGTCCATTTTTTGCGGAAGCCGGACATAGGTTCAACCAGGTTCTTAGAGAGAGAGGATTTTATCTCAACCCAAGGAAACTTTTTTTGTGTGGAAGGTCGGATTTGCCGCAATCACAGAGCATATTAAGAATTTATTGAGTCGTGGAAGAGAAAGAGGAAAAAAGTTGTGGCGGTGTGAATTAATGAGGAGAGGAGGGTGGGTATTTATAATAAATAGGGAGTTGTTGTGGCTGGAGGCGACGCACAGATCGTGAACGTTGAAAGCGGTCAAGGATTGATCACATGACAACTCAACGTTTCGCGGATTGCGTCTCCCAAATGCAATATGGCGGAAGGAATGGGAATGTGGCAGGTTCGGGACGGGTATCACGATACCATACCCGCCCCGTGGCAGGCCTGGTAATTTATCATGGGTCACAGGTCAGGACATGTCGACCCAATGGGTATGTAATTTATATAGAAAACATTAAAAATATTCGTTAATTTCATAATAAGACCAAGATAACAAACTGTATTATGATAAATGTAGTTAAATTATTGGAGAAATTGAGATTTTCACTAATTTATAACGTTTTTATAGCTAAAATATTGTGTAATAAAAGGAAAATGCTAAGTAATTTGACTAAGATTACATGTAATTTAGGCAAGAACGGGTCGAAAATGGTGCAGGTCAGGGAAGGTTGGGTCGACGAGAGTAAAAAATTATTGGACCCGCCACAAAATAAGTCAAACAGGGTGGGAATAAGTGATTCCTACGGGGGGGGGGGGGAATGTACGAAGTAAGTTTTTGAATGATATAAAAATATAGCAACGTTTTAAAATAATGATAAAAACATGATTTTGACGGTCAGGCGTGCCTATCGGGTTGTTCCAAATGTATGGGATTGATGAGTTGCTTGCTTGCTTGCTTAAATACTTCACATCCCTCGAGCCGAGTTGGATATACAATCTAGGATCACAAAAATCCGCTTCCATCTATTAGTATATACCAGAAAAATACATTATTTGATTTGTAAATAAATCATGAAAATACAAAATGTTCAAATACAAGGAAAACAATTTTGGGGTCGAAGGTCGGGCATAGCCGCAACTGCAGAGCATACTAAAAATTCATTTATTTGGAGTATTTTGGGCAAACATCATCTGTATTCCAAAAATAAACGAGTCAATCATGGTTAAACTACTAAGACATTATTGGTCTTATAGAGTCCGACCAATAATTCACATTGATAACTGGCAAAATTATGAAATATATGACAAATTTAGTGGACAATTAATCATAAAATGAAAAACAAGTAGGTAACTTAAGAGTCTCTTCGTCCATTTTTTGCGGAAGCCGGACATAGGTTCAACCAGGTTCTTAGAGAGAGAGGATTTTATCTCAACCCAAGGAAACTTTTTTTGTGTGGAAGGTCGGATTTGCCGCAATCACAGAGCATATTAAGAATTTATTGAGTCGTGGAAGAGAAAGAGGAAAAAAGTTGTGGCGGTGTGAATTAATGAGGAGAGGAGGGTGGGTATTTATAATAAATAGGGAGTTGTTGTGGCTGGAGGCGACGCACAGATCGTGAACGTTGAAAGCGGTCAAGGATTGATCACATGACAACTCAACGTTTCGCGGATTGCGTCTCCCAAATGCAATATGGCGGAAGGAATGGGAATGTGGCAGGTTCGGGACGGGTATCACGATACCATACCCGCCCCGTGGCAGGCCTGGTAATTTATCATGGGTCACAGGTCAGGACATGTCGACCCAATGGGTATGTAATTTATATAGAAAACATTAAAAATATTCGTTAATTTCATAATAAGACCAAGATAACAAACTGTATTATGATAAATGTAGTTAAATTATTGGAGAAATTGAGATTTTCACTAATTTATAACGTTTTTATAGCTAAAATATTGTGTAATAAAAGGAAAATGCTAAGTAATTTGACTAAGATTACATGTAATTTAGGCAAGAACGGGTCGAAAATGGTGCAGGTCAGGGAAGGTTGGGTCGACGAGAGTAAAAAATTATTGGACCCGCCACAAAATAAGTCAAACAGGGTGGGAATAAGTGATTCCTACGGGGGGGGGGGAATGTACGAAGTAAGTTTTTGAATGATATAAAAATATAGCAACGTTTTAAAATAATGATAAAAACATGATTTTGACGGTCAGGCGTGCCTATCGGGTTGTTCCAAATGTATGGGATTGATGAGTTGCTTGCTTGCTTGCTTAAATACTTCACATCCCTCGAGCCGAGTTGGATATACAATCTAGGATCACAAAAATCCGCTTCCATCTATTAGTATATACCAGAAAAATACATTATTTGATTTGTAAATAAATCATGAAAATACAAAATGTTCAAATACAAGGAAAACAATTTTGGGGTCGAAGGTCGGGCATAGCCGCAACTGCAGAGCATACTAAAAATTCATTTATTTGGAGTATTTTGGGCAAACATCATCTGTATTCCAAAAATAAACGAGTCAATCATGGTTAAACTACTAAGACATTATTGGTCTTATAGAGTCCGACCAATAATTCACATTGATAACTGGCAAAATTATGAAATATATGACAAATTTAGTGGACAATTAATCATAAAATGAAAAACAAGTAGGTAACTTAAGAGTCTCTTCGTCCATTTTTTGCGGAAGCCGGACATAGGTTCAACCAGGTTCTTAGAGAGAGAGGATTTTATCTCAACCCAAGGAAACTTTTTTTGTGTGGAAGGTCGGATTTGCCGCAATCACAGAGCATATTAAGAATTTATTGAGTCGTGGAAGAGAAAGAGGAAAAAAATTGTGGCGGTGTGAATTAATGAGGAGAGGAGGGTGGGTATTTATAATAAATAGGGAGTTGTTGTGGCTGGAGGCGACGCACAGATCGTGAACGTTGAAAGCGGTCAAGGATTGATCACATGACAACTCAACGTTTCGCGGATTGCGTCTCCCAAATGCAATATGACGGAAGGAATGGGAATGTGGCAGGTTCGGGACGGGTATCACGATACCATACCCGCCCCGTGGCAGGCCTGGTAATTTATCATGGGTCACAGGTCAGGACATGTCGACCCAATGGGTATGTAATTTATATAGAAAACATTAAAAATATTCGTTAATTTCATAATAAGACCAAGATAACAAACTGTATTATGATAAATGTAGTTAAATTATTGGAGAAATTGAGATTTTCACTAATTTATAACGTTTTTATAGCTAAAATATTGTGTAATAAAAGGAAAATGCTAAGTAATTTGACTAAGATTACATGTAATTTAGGCAAGAACGGGTCGAAAATGGTGCAGGTCAGGGAAGGTTGGGTCGACGAGAGTAAAAAATTATTGGACCCGCCACAAAATAAGTCAAACAGGTCGGGTAAAACAGAACAGGTCGAAGTTGCCATCTCTATCTAGCGGTTGATTGCGTGCTATGTACTGCGGCGATTGCGGTTCCCTAAAGCGATTAAATCTAAATCGCTTTCCTCGCCAACGATGATGATGCAGATCGCTTGTTCGTAACACCTAAATTGGTTTTATTTACCCTTCATATTAAGGTTTGTTTCGTGCCAATTCATGTGTATAATTGTTTGAACATCGTCAATTGTACCCCTATTTCGTTCCTATTTGAATTCAATTATATTCTAGGGTACTTTAGACGACACATGCGAATTAGGTACAAAATAAAGTCACAAGTGTAGTAAGGGAGGGCAAAAGACTGAAGATCGTGGCCTAGAAGTGAAGATTATGGCCGAGATCATGGACCGTGAAGTTGAGATGAAGATCGCGGCTAGGAAACCCATGATCACGGCCGCAAATTGGAGAGCTAGGGAGCGAACTTCGTAAATAAGGAGCCAAGGGGAAATAGAGAGTTTCCTCAGTTGGATCACGACCACAGTGTAAATTGAATGCGAGCAAGATCACGGTCGCGACTCGTGGATTGCGACCGCGAAGTCACCCGCGATCTCCTCGCTCAAGAAGGCCAAAAACGACTTCGTCCCAAGATCACGACCTCGCCATTGAAGATCTCGCCCGAGATATTGACCCTGTCTGGCCGCAAACTTTTTCGTCCTCTGATGCCTATAAATAGAAGACTTCTTCCCCCTCATTTAGAGAGCTGATTTTGAGATATAATTTCTGGTTTTAGAGAGAGAGAAGAGAGAGAGTTGAAGGAAGGAGAAGAGGAAAAAGAGCTAGAAGAGAGGAGGCATCTTCCTAAACCTCAAAACTTCTTCAATCTCTTTTATGTATCTTCTTACCTCCTTTATGGAGTAGTCCTCTAAGGTACTAGGGGTTCTAAACCTCAAACCCTAGCTTTAGTGTTTACTATGTATGTATGGATATTTTAGGGTTTGAATGAATAAATGTGTTTATCTAGTTGATTCTATTGCTATTCTAGCTTTGATTGTGTTTGGGTGAGTCGCCTAATCTTCTCTACTAGCCTACTTTTTGCTTCTACGCTGGGTTTGGAGTTTTAGAGTTAGACGGGTATGCGCCATCAAGCAAATCGAGGTTAGATCTATGAATAGGGACTTATGGTGGTCGAGACGACCGAACCCCTGCCATAGGTAGCCTTCCTATACATAACCCGGGGTAAAACCTCGGTGTGGACGATGGGTAGTACCCATTGAAAGGAGCTACGAGGTTAATGCCCCAGATACAGTACTCTAGATCGAGGTGACTATTTATGGGTCTAGGGGAGGCGTACTCGGAGGCGTGTGGATAACCACGAAAGCTCACGGAAAAGAGCTCACTAATCACCACATTCGATAAACTCTAAGTATTTAGACATTACTTAGTAGCGCTAGGCTAGGGTGAGGGATAGTTCCCCGAAGTAACTTCTTTTAGCTTTATCAATCTCTAGACTAGGTAATTCGCTCAAATCGTCCACACAAACTTTCAAACCGATCGACTAAATAACAACGAGGTGGGAAGTAAGCTAGGGTACCAGGATCCGAGTAGAATACAACCTTGATTGCCACTATACGACAATGTCATCTTAGGTTAAACTTGATTTAGGATGGACTAGTTGTTGACACGTGCTAACCACTGACAATAATCTACACGGATGAATATGATCACTTTTGTTAAAAACGATTTTGAGAAAACATGTGTAGATTGGGAAATATTACAAAGACTATTGTATTTTGAGATTATTTTTTTTTAGGAACTAGGAAAAAAATCCCCCAAAAACATGATGTTACAAAATAATCTCAACTTTTACCACATGATACATTTTACTCCCGTTCCATAGCCATAGTGTACGAAGTCATTGTGTGAACTACACTGTCACTAACAATAGTAAAAGCTCAGAAAGATCTCAGTCCATCGTATAATCCCAGTCATAAGTAATCTCTGCTTCTTTAGAAACATGCTTACATCGCAGCACTTCTTTCATGAATTTCGTATTCTTCTCCGTCCGCAATCCACATCTAGGCCTGACATAAACCGATCGAAGTAGCGGGGCAGTGGCTAGCACGAACCTCATGAGGTCCAACTCAGCATGTGTACCATGGACATACTCAATTCTGAACTCTCTTAGATGCTGAAGACAATCAGAAGGTCCAGGACAGTCCTCTGCTTCCAACAACCTCCATAAGCTGCTAACTTTGTTATTTATAGGTTCACAACCTAATAGGCTCTGCCAGTCCTACAAGAGCATTTATCAAGAAACCAAAGTCAAGGCTAAATACTGAAAGTTGTAAACCTCATAAATGCTGCAAACGAAAAAGTCCAGTTGGGAAACACAACGAACCCCAACTCCGACTGTGAGGCTGCGCAGGTTGGGAGAGCTCATGATCAAACAAACAAAAGCACGCTCCCTTTTGGAACCGTCAAAGACAACATCGTCGATGCAGAGGAAATTTAACTGGTGAAGAGGAGTTTGAAATCTGGTGGGCGCGTTCGTACCAATTCCAGCAAGTTTCTGCAAGAGAAACAAGCAACTATTCATATTACATGCATAGTATGAATGAGTTACAGCAACCCAGCAGGCTTTCCAGCAAGAACTGAAAGAAGGTTGTTGACAAAAAAAAATTCCTTACTTGCAGGCTTTGACAGTTAACATGGAACCGCTGGAGTCTTGAGAGAGAAGCAAGCGAGGATGCCGATGCCATATCAGGTATGCGGCCATAATGAAGTGAGAGATCTGACAGAAGTGGAGTAGACTTGAAGTAGATATCCAAAAAACCCATGTAGCTGAAGGATTTGAGAAATGGAGCCACGATCTCAAGTTTACCAGCAAGGCCCTTACAAAATGCAAGCTTCAAAAGTTCCAGCATCGGGCACTTAGGCAGGAAATTCTCGAAGAAATCATCAGGCAAAATAACCTCTGCCAGTTCAAGATGGGTAAGCTTACTAAAGCCAACAAACCAAGTTGGTGGTGCAAATTTTACAGACTTAAGCTGCAGAGATTTCAGGTGAAGTGCAGAAAACAAGGAAGAATGCATCTGATAGCGCTCTTCAGCAGCCTCTGGCTCATCAAACTCTAGGGTAAAGTCTTGGACACCTTTGTTAAAAAGGTGAAGAATGATGAGGCCACTCTCCTGGCAGGGGGCTAATCCAAGTATTGAAATCTCAAACTTGGCTATATGCCCATCATGAAGAAGCAGGCACTGGAGTATGTTCAGCATCACTTGCTTATTCATCACCTTCCATTCAGATGTAGGTTCGTCAAGAATGTTGGCAAACTCTTTATCAAAAACAAGTTGAGGAATGCTTCTCCATCGACGCCTCCATTTCCTTGACAAGACACTAGTTTTGCCGGCATCTTTAATGGGTAAGAACACGAGGATGCGATTTATCACATCGGCAGGAAGGTTGGTGATTCTGTCAGCACTGGACTTGCATCGCTTCATCTTGCAGGCTACGCAGGAAACTGCATAACAAAGCAGGAAATCAATTCGAATCATGAGAAAGCTCCAATACCATAAACTCAGGAGATGGTCGTGAATATACCTTGAGGCGGGTTGAAATTTGTTAGGGTGTTCGTCTTGGGTGTTCCTGGAATCGAATCTCTGGAACAGTAGAGTGGTAAAAAAATGATGCAGTACTAGATCGGAATCTCCGTAATAGCGAAAACCAACCCTGAATTACGACGCTACTACTTCTAAGCTACTCCTACAAATCATATTAATTTACTTGTGTGAAAATCATCGATTATAGGCCCTGAAGACTGAAGAGGAAAAATATATAGAGTACAGATTTGACCAATTACAACTAGGAAACGGAATACTAATAAGGAATAGTGGTGGTAATAATGACAATAAAAACTAATAAGCCACTTCTAATCCTAGGTACAACAATAATAATTACGATAACCGATACAGTTTTACCATAATTAATGCATACTAAGGAACAGGCACTACGCGCGCCAAGATGATTTACCCATTGTACGATAACGGGGAAAAGGTTCACTGATCAGAGACTTGACAGTCATTGTTTCATATCTAAATGTCTAAATTAGCAACAAAAAAACTAACATCATAGTTCATGATATTCAACTATATCAAGCTCACGTCTTCATTTGTCTTTCTCTTGTGTTGAGTGTGTCCCATCTCTATATGGATACTCTGGTGGTGCCGACCATAGACCCCAAAGGATTACTAGGTGGAGAAACAAAAGCAGAGCCGACGAAACAACGGTGGATGGGTAGATATTCCAACAGAGTTCGACGCCTATAAACAGCACCAAACTGCACCAAAAAACGCATGAATCGTCAAGAGTTAGAAGTAACAATGCAATGACTATTCGACATTGGATGGAGTGCAGAACTCACCGCACTAGTGTGGGAAACCTCGTCGTCCATAGTAGATGAGGAATGCTGAAGAAGTACCTGTCACCAATGATGCATACCGAAGATGAAGTTAATTGGAGGACTGAAGCTGACACTGTGAACGGCATGTTAAGACGATTGTTTCACAGCATTCGTCTGAATGAATGGTTGAAAAGGGTCCGTTTCAATCCAAAGGCAAGAACACAACTGTGTTAAATTGTCATTTTCAGATTCTTTTGTATCGACACAAAGTTTACGGACTCCCAAAAGTATGCTTACCAAGAGTAGAATTGATAATGCAATGAGCGGGCACATACAATGCCAATGAAGTTGCCAACAAACATAGTTGTCACGATGTCTGTAAAGATGCAGCAAAAACTTCAGGAAGCAAGAAGATGCTGGTGAAGGTGTATGAATAGTGAACAACTGCTGGTGATCATTGCAAAATAAAGAGATTCAGACTTACGTTCTTCCTTTATCTTCATTGGCGAACTCTTAGTACCAGAAAAAGACAAAACTCTGGAACGCAACAATCTCAGCAGTCCTCCTTCAAACCTATACGTTCAGGAAAGATAATGAATCACACCTCCATATGAATTGCAGTTTCCAGTTTCTATTGCAAGGGTTGTCACAGAGAATAAAGGAACAATTTCACTTGTCTCAAGTCTCAAGTCTCAACACCCTTCACATTCCCAGTTAAGGAATGTACGGTTCAGTTGTGAATCAACAATCAGGCACAAATCTTTTCAACTGGGAAAACTGGAATTCTACTTATTCCATTTATTGGGTGCATGAATAACAAAGTACGAAAAAGAAACTAATATACCAGACATAGCGAAAGTATAGTTCGAAAACTATGCCCGTATATAATATTATAATAAACTAAAAAGTGAAAAGGTATGTCACCTACTTGCACCATCGGTAGTGGGCAAAAACTGCGAGTAATACAAGGTGAACAATCAGCAAAGAGATTGCCAATTGCTTTGACACAAAGATCGGTTCAGGAATGAATTTGAAGTTAACAGACCTGTTGCAAGCATAATCCAAAGATTTCAATACAAGCCAACAAAAGAATGCTATTAATGAATCGAATCACAAGTGAAAACAAGAATTCCACGAATGCAAGTTCTTTGCTTGTTAGTCATAACAATCAACAGATAATTTTGTGGATTGCATGCTCTACTCTGGAAGATGATCAACAAGGAAGTACCAGAAGTGGATGAAAACGCGACCAAGATTGAAGGCCCTGGACATATAAGCAGCTGGATGTGAAAGTAAAAATGGGAGCCCCAACAGGATCTGCAGAAAGGACCATCCATCATGGATTAAGAAACCAATAAAATCGGCATGCTAGGACTGTGCCTGTTCCGGATTTTGGATGTAGAAGTAGCTCACTCACCTAAACCACATATCAAAATAAAAGAACATACGCCTTTTGTTTCAAAATGAAAAAGCTTACAGCTATTCTCACATAGAAATAATTCCTAAAATAGAGAACCATATGCAAAATTATAACCTGTAAAAATGCTGCTCCAGCTAAAGCAGATATCACCCGGCGAAAATCTATTGACTGCAAAAGGAATTTAACAACAAGAAATGCTGAGAGTAAAAATTGCAGTAAGCAACTGAAAATGAAAACTTTACTTAGCATGAGGAGTAGTGCAAGAAATTTTGAAAAGAGCCGCACACCTTTAACATAAGGAGCAGCAATGGAGGAGCATAGAGCAAAACATTCATCTTTACAGAAACAGCCCCACTGTATACAAATAAGAAGACACTTCGTTGATTTAGAAAATGCTAACATAGACAGAAAGAAAAAACTTTAATGTACCACCTGAAAAGGATCAGTCCAAGATGCCACTGTTGGTAAAGAAGTAAGGCCATAGCAGCATGCAGCAGTGTCATTGCAAAACAATCATTGAAGAGACGAAGGACGAAGATAGAGTGGATCCTTTTCGATAGAGAAAGCAAGACAAGTGCCCACCAAGGGAGCTACAAGAAATCACTTATACCATCAAAACTGAGATTCCATCAGCATGAAAGGCAACATAAAGATAAAATCTCGACACTCAGAGAAAATGAACTAACCACATCTGCCTTTACATAGATGAATAAGATGATAGCAAGGTTCACGATGTACAAGGCACCAAACAGAATCTGTAAGGCATGATACCAGAAACAGAAAGAAATATATTCAACTTGGTAAACTAAGATAAGAAAAGTTAGCTGTGAGATAAGAGATGGTGGGACATCAAGCATGAAGGACTGTACCTGAGCGGCAAAGACCTGTCCTCCAGTGACATACTGAATAGCAGAATAAACATAGAGGAACCCAGCAGGGTAAACTAGTGGCCCTGTGTCACCTTCTAGCTTGCTGTAATCCTTCTCTCCTTCAAGAAACCCGGTTACCTGCTTGTTTGTTAGTTACACTGACTTAGCATCAATCAAGTTTGTTCGAACTTCAAACTAAGACGTTCAGAATTTTTTTCCTTTGTTCTCATCATTTTCAACTTTTAACTAGGGGAAGATTTCAACTGTTTCTGATCAACACAAAGGGAGAAACTCGGTTACAATTTTTAGGCGGGAGACACATACCTGTGACATGTATGCATCCCAGTCAATCTTCGTATCTAGAATAGAGCAAATCAATCAGACATTAAGGCTTTTACTCATATCAATAGTAAACATAAGGACTGGAAAAATTGGTTTGAGCATCAAGTGAATCCTACAAGGAACATAGGTGATGATGACAGCAGTGAGCACAGCATCAAAGAGAAGCAAAGCAAGGGCAATGATGGCTTTGGGATTCTTGAAGAATGTGGCAGTAGAACATCTAGGTTCTGATAAGGGCTTGATTTCCCTCATTGAGGTAAGCACCAATGTGTGGTGACTTTATTGACTAGTGGCTCAAGAAATCAAGACTGAGAACAGCCACGCCGGACAGTCACCAAAAATTCTTTGCCTTTGCCCTTCAACTATCCTTGATCTCTTTTCTCTTCGTTTCACTCCTTAGCTTTTACACTGATTAGCAATTGCCTAGCTCAGAGGATGCGGAATGCCGGAATCCCAATTCTAGGTCCACTCCACAATCATTTAAAGATCTTGATCGGGATCTACAAAACAATATGAAAAAGAGATTATCGCCATATATTGACATTTCAAAGCTTAAGTTAGTATCTGATTCGCATAAAGAAACTAGTTGTAATTCAAATGGATTTATGGAGAGGGTCATAGGAGAACTTATATGGGGAAAACACTACAGTCCTATTTGTCGGAAAACTGTGGTAGCCAACTGAATTCCCACACAGCACAGCAGTAAAGGCAGTGCGATCAACAAAGAAGACACAATAAAAGGAATTAAGTCGAAATCCGACAGAGCTATTCACGTAGAAGCAATCAGAATGAAGCAGAAGTTCCTCTCATGACTAAGCCATCCATGAAACTTTTTGAGCAGTGATGTTCCGTCAAACATTATATGTCTTCCGTTTCATAATTTTCTAACATAAACATTCTTTTTTCAAAATCAGCGCCACCCCATCTTGAAAGATATTCAGAGAAGTTACTTCCAGAGTGAATTGGGAACCCAAAATAACAAAAAAGCATCGCTTGAAGCTTACCTTGAAGAATACTAAATGAATGCTGAACACAACAGCAATTTACAACCCTCCAATGTAAAGTGGCGCAGCTCACAGAACAGACACTGATCATAATTATGAATTTGGAACAGGGCAATTCAATTCTAAACACTCATACCCCAGAAACAGAGTAAACAGGGGAAGGGAGCGGCGGCAGAACTTGGAATCGTAAACCTAGAATTGTTCGTTGCGAGAGAAATGGAGGGAGCTGAAGACCCAAAAGGGCAAGAAAGCACCACTTACCAAATATCTGTAGCCGCAGCAGGAGGCGGCCGCGGCGAAGTGCTCTAAAGGGTCGAAAGTTCACAACTTCGTCAAAGAGCGCGGAAGCCAACTTGATCGTGGTCGTGGCACCGGACTGAAGGAAAACCGAACGAATTGGGAAACGGAATTTCGGCCGCAAGAACAAACGCCGTCTGGAGGACGATTTCACCCAAATCACGGACCAGCAGAACCCGGGGGGGGGGGGGGGGGGGGGGGGGAAAGGGAGATTAAAAGGCAATAATTGAGCTATACTTAATCGGCGGTCTTTTTCTGGAGTGAAAGCAGGCGAGAGAGAGGAAGTGTTTGCTTCAGAGTTAAGCTCGGCCGCCGTAGAAATTCCCCTCGTTCCGGCCGCCACTTCGCTGCCGTCTGTGGATCTAAATCTTCTGAGGAGACCCCGTACGATTGCCTGCATCGAAAGGGGAAAGAACATGTTTGTTGACTACATTTGACAATAACTTGTAAGTGATGACCGCAGTGTTCGAACCCGCGACCTCACGTTGCTATGCTATTAGCTGTCCATGGGAATTTAGAGGTTCGAACGTTGACACTGACGGCTGCCTAGTTCAGTGATTACCACATATAATCCGGCATCGGCTGGTTGGCGTGGTTCACGCAGGCATAAAAGGGAAAATAAAATAAGAGCATTAGAGCGTGATGTTTCAAAATCGGGTCATGTCCTGTCTTTAAAGTCCATGGTTATAAAAACCGAATTGAATGAACGGTTGGGCCACTAGAACTGTTAAACCAGTTATGATAGCGGTATGGTTTACTGTGGGCTTTTATACTCTATATTTGTTGACAATCAACTAATCAATAGCATTTTAACGAGAGCTTAATTATCATTATGAAAATGGGATCAATGATACATTTTTATATTTTATATTCTTAAATGATATTAATATTTCTTCGAATGTTCGACCTATATATTCTTTCATTATGTATCATATCGATCAAAGGATTGTCAATAAAATTAAACGGGTTGATAGAGTTAAACGTAACATAAAAATATAAATAATCGGATATTAACATTCGGACCAAACGGGCCGAATTATAAGCTAGTGGTATAAATAGTGTACTTGCGATACTTGTGAACCATTTGTCATTTTCTAATTATTGGAAAGATAGAGAAAAAGAACCTTCCTCCGCCACAATAAGTCATGAAAAACGTTTTCCTTTTAAATACCGAAATTAAACATTTTGATAACCACGGAAGTAATGACCGGAACAGCAATTTCCCGGCCGTTAAACGCTGATCAACAACAACAAAAAAAAAAAAAGGAACGGCCCAACAAAATTTACACAAATTAACTGCGTACGTCCGGCGGGCCCCACCCACCACACGCGCTCCACAGTTCAGTGCCAGACTGCCAGAAGGTCAACACGCAGACAACGATTGCCGTTTTCACCTGCCAATTGCCAACCCTAAATTCCGCTCGATCCTTTTTTCCTCCCACCGCTAAACCATCTCCTAGAAGGATTCGTTCTCCCTCCTTCCACCAGACCCTCTAAATCTAATCTATATATAACTCCATTTCTTCACCTCTCATAATTTCCTTGTACCCCAATCACCCAACCCTAACTGCCCTTTTCCCTCTCTCTCTCTTCTTCCTCTCTCGCTCGCCGCCTCCTCCTCCTGCACCGCTTGCCCGGTCGCCCTTCCCTCCTCTCGATCGGATTCCGATCTCTGGCGGCTTTTCTCGTTTCCGATTTAGGGATAAACTGCTGGGCACCTGAGTTCGTTTCTTTTTTTTTTTCCTCCTTCCTCCCCGGTGTTGCGCATCTCGGTCCACAACGACGACGCCAAGATCTCATCGTCGGTCATTGTGAATGGTGGAAATCTTAGGATTAGGTAATTACATGCTCTCCCTTTGCCAATCAAGGGCGGGCGTCGTATCTGCTGCCTCTGCTTTCGCTTTCGGCTCCTGCAAGGAAGGCTGGTACTTCCGCTGCCAAGGCGTCGACCCCTGAGATTCCCCTCCTGCTCCGCCCCGTTCGCCTCACTCCGGCGAATTGTATTGTATTCATATTTTCCTTGATTTGAATTTGAGAGGGGAGAACAAGAAGGAAGGAAGAAGAAAAACGCACACAAAAAAAATTCTTTTTGTTAGGTTTTCAAAAAATATTTCCTGGTTTCGATTTCGGATTCTGATTGTTCGAGAGAGAAGAGAAGAGAAAAGAAAAAGGAAGATTGGAAGGATGTTGCTTCACAAGACGAAGAAGAATCAGGGCGGTGCCTCCTCGAAAGGCAACCGGCTGCTGATCAGCGTGTCTGTTCTCGGCAGTGCCGGGCCAATTCGGTTCGTTGTGGGCGAGAAGGAGCTCGTGGCTGCGGTAATCGATACCGCGTTGAAGTCTTATGCTAGGGAGGGTCGGCTTCCGGTGCTCGGCTCCCATCTCAATGATTTCTTTCTCTACTGCCCCAGCGCTGGCTCTGGAGGTAAAACGAGATTTTCCCAGTTCCACAAATTTGCATACTTTTTCCTGTGCTAAGTTGCTGAATGATTGATGGGTTGGCGAGTTTTGCTGTGAATTGCTTTTATGGGTTATGTTCTTAGTCTCTGTGCTGATTGTGGGTTGTCATTGAATTTTTTATTGCAGCCCTGAGTCCATGGGAGACAATCGGGTCTATCGGTTGCAGAAACTTCATGCTGTGCAAGAAGACAGCAGGGATGAAGATCGATGACGAAGGTGGAAGGTCACCTACAACTGCAGCTGTCGCGCAGAAGAGGAGCGGGATCTGGAAGACATGGATCAATAAGTCTTTCAATCTCAAGGTTTACTCTCACTGAGCTTCCCAAATCGTCGAGTTATACTCTACACACTTTGTACCCTTTGTATGTTTTGGAATCCCAATTGCATAAACGCCAGATTGATGATTATTGGCCATACTTGTTTTCCTCCATTTGAGCTTTTGTTTGGTTTGGGGCTTACTCTGATAAAACCAGAGCAGAAAGACTACTCCCATGGAATAAAGTTCTTCAATGAAACGAACAGTAATTTTTTTTCTGAGCTACTTACTATATTCGCTTGGTCTGAAAGAGTCTTAAATCCGTATTAATTCTTCTTGCCAGTGGTTTGATATAATAATATTGCACCGTGTTGATGTGAATCATCCGCCGGCCTGTCAACCATTTAGTATTGTGCTGTTCGAGCAGAGATTTTATTTGACTAGAATACAATAGCTACGTTCTAGAATACAGCTGCAGACATAAGTTTGATGTGGACTAGTTTGGTTTCAGTTGTTTTCTTCTGGATCCTGGTCGAATCTCTTTACTTTGGAAGTAGAGTTAGGCAATTGGAACCATAGCTCGTTGGTTTCTAAGGTAAAGAAATATCAGGATTGCCAAATGTTCGTACTGAGAAAGTACCGAGGATCTATGTTGTTGTTTGTAAATACGCAATGGTGCTCTGTTTAGTGATCAACGTCAACAACAAGTTCATGTTAGAAATCGAACAGAAAAATTAGGGTTACCGATATGGCTGAGTCGCGGACTAGGTCGCTCTCTTTAAGACGTTCGCGGCACTGCCTTCATTGCGCACGGCAGACTATCAGCCGGTCGCCTCCAGGATAAAACGGCCACTCTAATTTAGTTTGCTCGGCGGTTTTGTGCGAAAACCAGAGTTCTATGAATTCACTCTCTCTCTTGCTTCTGCTCTTCTGAGGTGTGTTTAGAGGGTCTGGGGCGTCTCCTATTTATAGGAGCAGAAAACCCAGAATATTCCCTCTTTCTTTGGGAATAAGTCATATTTTAATTAGGGAGATAATTACTCCCATAATTAAAATATAATCTATTAAGATAATTATTCCTAATTATCTCCATAATATTCCTTTTATTAATTATCCATCTTATTTATGTATTATGGGAAAATACTGGATAATTAATTAGGAATTTCATTTATAGCTTTTCAAAGCTATTCATCCCAACAATCCCCCACTTGAATAGTTTTGAAACTATCTCTGAGCATCAACAGATCCATAAGATCGGGCATAAACTAAGGTATCGCGAAGATTTGAACCTTAGCGTAGTGGTTACACTTCCGATTTCATAAGGGTGACTCGTAGTCTTGAACCCTATCTCAGACAATGTAGCACACCGGATCTTTTCATTGAGTGATATTCTCTCATAGGCCGTGCGTTTATGGCCATGCACGTTATCCCGGTTTAGTGAACGCTCTAGCAACTTTGTGCCTCCAAAGTTCCATAGGGAGCGGCCCCACTCCCACATTCACATAGGTGAGTCTATCAGAAGTACCCCCAAAGTAAAGTACTCCACCCCACATAGGGTATAGATCTCATTAAGAGTTGTTAACTCAACCTCCATTGCTTTGGGATTCATGCTTCACTATGCATGAACTTTTCGCATACTACTCATGACTTGTTATTACCCATTGAACCCATTTCTTGGGATCTCCAGTCTATTGGGTCGGGTTACCATCACTTGTAGTCCGTGGTTCGGTAGGCATAAGTCCCATACCCTTCGTGGTATTTTTGGACTTTCTCTCTGGCTAGTCCTTTCGTCAAAGGACCAACTAGATTCTATTAGGATCTTTCATGATCCACCCTCATTGCTCCTATCGTTAGGAGTTCTCTTACAGTACTGTGCTTACGACACATTTGTCGTCTCTTTTCGTTCTAGAACCGGTTCCCTTCTTTTGCAATAGCTGCGGTGCTATCACAATTAATCAACTACCGGAGGGATCGGTCTTTCCCATAAGGGAATCTCTAGTAGTGACCCTCTCAATCAACTTTCCTCTTTACTAGTCATTGCTAGTTCTATCATTTTCGATTTCTTAGTTGATTGAGCCAGGATCGTTTACTTCTTAGACTTCCAAGACATAGCTTCTCTATCGATGTTTTAAAACACATCCTCTTGTTGTCTTGGAGTCCTCTATAGGGTATTCTAATCCGCATCACTATACCCTACCAATACAGCAAAACCTTTGATAACAAATACCAAGGTTTTTCTGTTCTTTTAAGGTGTCTCATGACCCCCTTTCAATAGCATTTCAATGCTTCATACTAGGACAATCAATAATCCTGCCAAGTACCCCCACTAAATCGGGTCTCATGTTTATCAGTTGCCTCTCGCAGACTATAAATGCTAGTATATTCTAACTTTCTTACACCGTCTTAGGTGTTCTTTAAATATTTATACTAGCACCATCAAACATGTATGCAGGTGTACATCTTGTATTTTCCTAGTTATTAGGATCTCTAAGAATAACATTTGTTTCAAACAGATCCTTCACATTCAAAATTCTCAACTATCATGGTTTTTCAATATTGACATCACGAGTCTTTGTACCCAAAGATCGACGTGTCATTCATAATGCAAGTGTCATTCTCAAATTTCTACTAAATGCACTTGTCACTTTCACTTTTAAAACCATGAGAGAGAATCTGATTATTCATGACACTAATTCTGAGTCTATTTCAAATCATATAATGATTTGTCTAGCCATAGACTCCAGAAGCATGTTCTAGAATAACAATCTTTAAGATTGTCCCAATGTAGATTTCTTTATTCAAATCACCATTCAAAAAAATATTTTAACGTCCATGTGATGGATGTTATTCTACATATTGGTGAATAGATATCAAAGAAATCTACAATTTATTTTCCCTTCACCTAAAGCCTTCGCTACTAGGCGATCATTATACTCATAAACTAAACCATCAGGTATCAGTTTTCCTTTTAGGAATCCATTTATTACCTTGGCATCATTGCCAAGAGGTAATTCTCAAAGATGCCAAATCTTGTTCGATTCTATCGATATATTACCCAAGGCTTTTCAACCAAGAGGTAACTCTACAAGATTAATAGGACTCCAATAATTTCATTTCGTTAATAATGGATTCTCCCACAATTCTGCATCTTTATGGAAGTTCGAACTTCTAGCAGACTTGTAGGATCTTTCTTTCTTAGGGTGTAAATAACAAATTCATAACCAAAATCCTTTCGTGATTTATGGTTCATTTGTCTCTTCTGAGTTCATACTCAGATTCATCACCCCCACTAGTTATCCATTATTTCTAATAGTAGGCAGGATATCACCCCCACTATTTCTTAATATAAATGGAATCTATTGGCATCAATGGTTTTCACAAACTAATGAGTATTTCGTTTCATAGGCTTATGTGTTTTACAATAACTTACACACTCATATGCTCTTCTAGTTATCATGTCACTGATTCTCTAATGCTACCACATGCATGCCACATATCGAATAATCAGTGCAATCATAATGCAACTAGGCATTTCAAACTATTTTGAATAACTAGTTAGACAACCAGAGCACTCTAAAGAGCAATAAATCATTTATTGTCTTTTCCATCAAGTTTACCCATATCAAAATAAATCAGATCTATCGATTCTGATTCTCTAACCACATATTTATGGGTCATTTAGCTTGAATATACAAAATTCATATTTTTCTCAAGCATCCAATAATAATATGGGAATGCGATATAAGATATTCTAATTCTTCACACAGACACACTTGGAAGAATTTATCTTATCTACTTAACCATTCCTTACATCTAGGATAGTCAATGACTTTCTAGAGGCAGGGTTCTCTTCCACTTTTCCAGAACCATCAACAATAGTGGTGAGGGTCTTGCCCAACAACACTTTCTCCTTCAATACGCGTCAATGTATGATTGAGCTTAGCTCGTTTATCACACACATATCTTGAAGCGGTCCTATCCAACAACCATTCTTCAGAGTTACCATTAAGGCTAACCTCTGTCATCACCTCAGTGAATATTATTACCAAATCCTCTTCTTTAGTCAAGTTAACACTAGGTTAAACTTGTTCTTACACTTTCGTGTCTTATGACCTAGTTTCTCACAAATTTAATAGAGAAACATAGCGTCATTCTTAGAGGATTGGGTGACAATCTTATGGTTACCACAAAGGGTACCATTCTAATTGGTGTGGCTCTGGTTCAACTTGCTGCTCTCATTCTTGAAACTTTAATGTTTTACAGCAACCTAAGTGGTTCGTGTAGTACTGATAATAGTACTTCTTATAATATCGTTATTATGGGCAATAAACCCATTCTATTCCCATATATTCTTCATATACACTAAATTACTCTATTCCATAACATGCATTCAACTTTATGCTCTAATCATTGAGAAAAGCACATCTCAATGTCAACATAATCATGCATCAATACTCAATCTCTAGCATTCTCAAAATTTATTAAATTCATGCAGAGAGTTATATGGAATAGATTCTACTTTATCATTTATTAATGACTTAGGAGGAAAGTTTTAGTTCTTACCTCTTATCGAGAAATCATTGCATTCTGATTTTGCAATGAATAACTAGTGTGTCGCTTAGCTTCCAATTGATACTCCCTTATCTGAGTTCCGCTTTCAATTAAGCTCAAACCGTCCAGTACTTGGGCCTGCATAATTCCACTTTGATTGCCCACCATGTTCATCTTTCTTTTTTCAGAGTCTAGCATCACTACTGATGCGACAGCCAATCGAATTTTTATGCCATATGGCTCGTGCATATCAAAGTGAAGAAGAGACAAAAATGGCGTCATTAATATCAATATGCATAAGCATTCCAGCTAAATTAAACTCGAGCAATAATGATTACACGGAGTTTGAGAGGAGAAGCTAGTAGCTTCTTTCACAGTCATCACAAACGCCGGAGCAGCTGAAGCCTGAAGCATTTCCTTGAGAGCCGTTCTTTCTTCCCTTGGTTTATGTCCGTTGATTATAGTTTCCCTGATCAGTTGATAACATCTGCTTCTCGAAGAAGCTTCCAAGCCTGGGCCTGGGCCTGTGCCCTCACTATTTGCTCCATAAAGGCTCAATAAATTGACATAGGTTAAGCTACACATTCACGGCAACCATTGCATATTCCACAAACATGTATAATGTATTATTTAATTAATAACCTACCCTCGAGCCAACATGTCGCTCATGGGCCCGGACCTATTACCTCTCATGGAGAGCCCAGCTGCGAAGAGTCTCAAACTCTCTCCGGCATTGAAAAATGGAAGGGCAGAAAATACAGTGCGGACCGGAGGAGGAAAGACCGACGGAAGCCACTGCCCGAAGCCTCTCCATGGCGAGCTGATGATTACGACTCCACCATTCGAACACCCTTCCACATGCTTATCGTGGGATCTGAATTCCTGTACCAACTCGAATGCAACATCTATCTCAAGCAAGCAGTTCAATTCCGTATTCTCGCACAAGGAGATCTTATCCCGATCCGGGAAAAGAAAACAACTGCGGTAGGCCTTTTTCCCGAGCGATGCGACAATAGTAATCGATCGAGCCAATATCGGCATCCTGTTCGATACAAATGACAGCAACCGAGCGTCTTAAAATTGTTAGAAATCGAACAGAAAAATTAGGGTTACCGATATGGCTGAGTCGCGGACTAGGTCGCTCTCTTTAAGACGTTCGCGGCACTGCCTTCATTGCGCACGGCAGACTATCAGCCGGTCGCCTCCAGGATAAAACGGCCACTCTAATTTAGTTTGCTCGGCGGTTTTGTGCGAAAACCAGAGTTCTATGAATTCACTCTCTCTCTTGCTTCTGCTCTTCTGAGGTGTGTTTAGAGGGTCTGGGGCGTCTCCTATTTATAGGAGCAGAAAACCCAGAATATTCCCTCTTTCTTTGGGAATAAGTCATATTTTAATTAGGGAGATAATTACTCCCATAATTAAAATATAATCTATTAAGATAATTATTCCTAATTATCTCCATAATATTCCTTTTATTAATTATCCATCTTATTTATGTATTATGGGAAAATACTGGATAATTAATTAGGAATTTCATTTATAGCTTTTCAAAGCTATTCATCCCAACAGTTCAGGTAGCTCCATCCATCTTTACAGCTGTGGAATAAGGAAAATAATTTCGCTTTCTGTGTTCAACTTGGTTTGACCTGATAGATGCTCACAAACTGGGTTTGTTGCATGGAGACGAGTTTGGTTAGAATGAACTTGAAATGTTCTTTTTGCTGAAAAAATCTTGACAACTTCATTTTAATGCCTAAAGGCATTAAAAAGTAGAGGCTAAAAAGTTAAAAAGATTAGTAAATTCCTTGTGATCTCCTTGTAATCACAATGGGCCATTGTGTTCACCGTTAAGCTCGAGGACGAGTGGAGTCTAACCTTAATCATCTTAGAAGTTGGCTTGTTAAGTAGTGCTCCACGTATCGAACAAATTCTTATTGATCCGAACTTTATCCACTAGCGAGCTGCTCTGTACATTTGCAGCTCTGGTGTAATGTGTTGTCGAAAGATACCATGTGCCTAGGGTGGAAATTTGGGTTGCGGGTTGTGGATTATCCACAAACCGTACCAACCCGCACCTATTGTGGGTAACCATACCCACAAGTTGTGGGTAGTGGGTAGTAAAATAACGATTTTTGGGGTTAGTGGTTATCCACTACTCACCGCGGTTAATCCACAATAACCACACTAATTATATTTATTTAATGAATTAACGTTATAATATAATGGTATGTGAAAGATGGATTTTTGCGGGTAACCACACCCAACCCGCACAAATCCACACTGGGTAGTGGTTACCCACTAACCACTGCGGTGCGGGTTGTGGGTAGCATAATTGTAAATTTGTGGGTGTGGGTACCCTCAAAATGTGGGCGCGGGTAACCACACCCACCCCAATTTCCACCCCTACATGTGCCTGCCAAATTTATAGTTAGCAACAATTAATCAACAAACAAGTACCCGAGTAAGTCATTTGTTACACCCCGAGAATATGTAAATGGTGACATTACACAATTATCCGTTTTCTATGGTTCATGTTGGGGCATCGGTGGCGCCACTTGTTTGTTTTTTTTTTTTTTGACGAAGTCAACTCGATTATAACACTTACTGGTAATTGCAAATGCCCGCGCGAAAGAACGATATAGTGGATCACACATGACACATTATCAAACGCTATAATCGTTGGATGGAACATGGTTGCAAGTGTACGGAGTGAGTGAGTGAGTGCTTGGCTGGTACGGTGACATAAGAATATCCACTTGGTTAAGTCCGTATCTTCTGTGACTTTATTTTACAAGTCGTCGTTGTTGTTGATGGACGATGGTGACGCCACTTATATACTATTAAATCTCGGCGGGGAAAGGGGACACGCCACATGCTTAGTATAGCGACGGAGATAAAAATATGGGCCGAATTGGCCGTCACCAAACAAAAACGAAATGGCCTTTCAGTAGGCCAAAAATGCAGCCTGGTACGTTTGATAATTGAATTCAATTTGGTGCAAAGGGTTCAATCAAATGATGATAATTGATACAACAGAAAGGCAGCAGCATGTTAAACTTAGCGACAAAAACGGGTGGTTGGAGAAGAAAAAAGAAAGGCCAATTCCATCACGGAAAATCCGCTTGTTCTTTTGTTTTGTTGTAAACGAAGATCGAATCTTGTTGTTATCCGTACATGTACGGACAATAGAGAAAAGCCGACCATTCTCCACTTGTGTGCGGTGTATGAGGTCATGACTTTTATCATATACGGATTCCAATAATTTTTTTGTTGATATTTTTGCCTGGTCCGTCCATTTTTGTTCTTTAACATTCTGCAATAATTTTGTTTTAGATGAAAGGGATGTTGTTTTTATAATTTTGTTTTAATTATTTTGATTTAAAATGCAATGATTCAAAATTAGAAAATATGGAATTTAGGGGAAATATGTAAATTTGAGTTTTTTAATATTTTATACGGTAACATGGTAAGTTGACCGTTAATCAACGATTTTAATCGTCGTCAAACATAACTGTCAATGCTTGGCTCGACCAAATAAGTAATTTTTTGTGATAGTTTAAATCATAATATTATACAGTCTAAAGATCGACAAGGATGTTAAAGAACGATAAAGTTTGAGTCTAACAAAAATATTAAAAAGGAAAAAAGACTTCATAATGTAAGTGGGTTCCAAACTTTCATTTAGGGTTGCCATGGACAAGCAAATACATATATCACGGTTCGATACTCTTCTACTCTGCTTGAATGGGAAATGGGCAGGGCCCAATCTGCTCCCTAATTCTTTTTTTGCCTCGAGCCCACGGGCCCGAGGAACTCAGTCCGGTTATTCAACTCATATTGGGTCTTCAAAACGGCGCCATTTCATCTCCCCAAAGACAAACGACATTTCATTTGTGTAATTTGCACGTAGCCCATTTTTTCTTCCTTACTTTCACTGCCAGGCCGCGAAAGAGATCGAGAGAGATGGGCAGCGGGATCATGGAAAGGCATTCAAACCGACCCAACTGACGATCTTCCACCTCCAGGCAAAGAAGAGGAAGAAGACGACGTTAAGGGAGGAGAAAGCTTCATGCATTGGATATTCCTATATTCTTGGTCTCACCTAGCTGCTTCCCACTTCCTTATCTACCATCACTTCGATTGGTTTGTTCGATTCCCAGAAATTTCTTTCTTTATTGGTGCGTCTGATAGGTCTTGCACCGCTGGTCACCGAGATTGTGTATTTATTAGGTGTTTTTTTATTGCACTAAGGGTGTCGGTATGACTCTTTCTGGGTTGAGAATGAAATTCAGTTTATCCTACCTGTCTTGCTGTTTTGCTGAGATTAGCTTGAATACAATTGCAGGCTGTAGGATTGGGATCCTTTCGGTTAGTTCAGAGCTGAAGAACATTTGGGATCTGCTTTGTTTGGGAGCCCTGAAACTGGATCAATTCTAATCCATTAGCCCATTCTGAAATTGGTTTGCCCAGAGGGTCTCAAAATGGAAGAAGGCTTCAACTTTCTTAAGCTTTGGTGGAATGGGTATCAAATAGAGATCCACATATGCTGATTTTGAATAGGGTAGTACCAGAGTTTCTTTCTTCCAATTCATTGCTAAGTTTTATAGTTGTGACGGTATCATATCAAGATGGAGGATACCGAGGTCCGGGACTTGTTAAGTGATCTTCCACACAGCATCTTGGAGAGCATTCTTTCCAGATTGCCCATAAGGGATGCTGTAAGCTCAAGTATCTTGTCAACCAAATGGAGGTACCGTTGGACTACTCTTACCCATCTAGTCTTCGATGACAACTGTGTTCAAACCTGCAATGATCGGTCGCTGCTCGAGGGCAATCTTATAAGCTTCATTACTAGGACATTGTTTCTCCACCAAGGCCCTATTCACAAGTTCCAGCTCAGTACTTCGTATTTGCAATGCTGTCCTGATATTGATCAGTGGCTGCTGTTTCTTTCAAGAAGTGACGTCAAGGAATTGGTTCTTGAACTTGGAGAGGGAGAATGGTTCAGAATACCTTCGTGTCTTTTTAACTGCAAGAAGTTGACCCGTTTGGAGCTATGTAGATGCGAATTCGACCCACCGCCGAGTTTTAAAGGCTTTCTCTATTTAAAAAGCCTCAATCTTTATCAGGTTCTTGTTGGTCCGGAGGCAATCGAAAGCCTTATCTCGAGTTGCCCGGTCTTGGAAAGTCTTTCATTATCGTATTTCGATAGTTTAGCTCTAACTGTTCGTGCTCCAAATCTTAAGTACTTGTGCTTGGAAGGTGAATTCACAGATATATGCCTTGAGAATACTCCACAATTGCTTGCAATGTCGGTTGCTATGTATATGACTGAAGACACTGCTGAGCACTTTGAGCAAAGCTCCAGTTGCAACTTCATGAAGTTTCTTGGTGGTGTTCCTCTTCTCGAGAGGCTTATTGGCCATATCTACTTTACAAAGGTAACCACTAAACCTTTTGGAAATGTATTTGGGGTGTGTTTGGTAGGGTACATATGTAGATTGGTGTTACTTGTCTCAATTGCTTGCTGTTCCTTTTGCATTATATTATTTAAGGTGTCTTTGCTAAATCATTTATTAGCTCCATTGACTTTGGTGTTTTTGAGATTGCATGTAAATGTACTGAAATGCATCCAAAGGATTAATAAAAAAACGAGACATTTGTTGAATTGCTTGGTGTAATTAAAATTAGTTTCTCAAATACACCTCAATCAAGTGAGCTGTTGATCTGTTGCGCACTTTTGACATTTGAACACTGGTGAAATCCTATTGTTTTATGCTCTTCTCTGAGAAACTTCCCATTATGTTCTTAAGTATTTGAGTGTAGGTAATCGTCCAGGAAAACTCCAAATTACATACAGCCATCTCAGAGTTATTGAACTATATCAAGTTAGTTTCGAAGATATGAAAGAGATTCTTGTTGTACTTCGCTTGATCACCAATGCTCCTAGCTTAACCGAACTCAAAATTTCTGTAAGGCTTGTTTGGTCTTCTTTCATAACAACTGGAAACTGTCTCTCAATTATCATTCTCTCATGAGAAGTGGTAATTTCCTTGGCAGGGCTCTTCACATACCTCAGCTGCTACGGAAGCCACTGACTTGGCATTCTGGGCAAAAGAATGCCCTAAAGATTGCACTTTTAAACAGCTCAAATGTGTGACGATGACTGAAATGTCCGGTGTGCCCCACGAGATGGAGTTCATCAAGTTCTTGCTTGCAACTTCGCCAGTGCTGGAGGAGATGAGCATATCGCCTTATGTGTATGTCGTGGACTGCAGATTGAACATGTTGATCGAGTTGCTCAAGTTCCGCCGTGCTTCTGGTCAAGCTAAGATCTTATTCGTCCAAGATTAACATTTACTTACATTTCATGTGAACTCTGACTTCAGTGTTAATTTCCTTTTTATTCTTTTCATTCTTGTAGATAGACGATAGTTCATGCATGCATGCAGTTGCTCTTACTCTGTACAGACAGCAATAATACGGAAATACCAGTTTCCTTTAACTTACTGAATAAGAAATGACTTATCAAAAGAAGTTTGCTGCTAGTTCATTTCTCTTTCGATACAGATCAATTTAGGTGCTAAATTATAGAGTGTGCCTGCTATCAAATTCCTTTGAACTAATTTTTTTTTCTCCCTTTGGTAGTTCCCTACATTTTCGATATTTCCTAATCAAGTCCCTAACAGCTTTTAGTAGTTGTTTGTTAAAGTGGGTCTGCAGTAAGTACATGCCTTATCAGCTTTAACTTCATCCAAATTGACCTATGCCAAATAATAGAAAACCTATGGAAAGCGACTTATTAGGAAATGTCGATAACGAGGGGATAACCATAGGTTAAGAAAGATATTATCAAGGACTTCAATAGTACCCTGTGGTCGAGGGCCTAGTTGACAACTCTTCATTGATGCTTTGTTACAATAACTCTTCATTGCTTAAAAGCTTCATGTACCAAAGTGGTGTTGGTGACTCATTCCCATACGCTTTCAGTAGCAGAAAATCATGCATTTGAGAACAAAAAGAGGAATTCGTTACAGGACTTGCAATAGAACTCCCCCAGAAAATAACTAAGCACTCAACTTGAAATTGAATGGACGCTGTCAAACACTCACTATCTATATGCGGTTTTCTTTTGAATCCAAATCCTGTACATGCATTATATGTCGGGCTAATCTTCAAACATTCTTGTCATCTGGGGCCAGAGAGCTCCATTGCCTGGACAAGCAGCGAAGAGTCATCAGTGAGATCAGAATATCGCTCTGAAGACGAGAAATCGTTGTTGCCTCTCGATCTAGTTGCTTCCGCTCTCTGAGAAGCTTCCCATTTCTCTGCAAGTCCATCTCCTTCCAACATCCGAACCACTTCGGACATCTTTGGTCTGTGACTCGGTAGGTATTGCGTGCACAACAAGGCAACTTGAACCATTTCTTCAAGCTCGATCCTGTCATAGTTGGTCTTCAGATCCTTGTCAACTATCAGCTCGAGCTTCTTCTCCTGGTGAATCTTCTTTACCTGCAAATTCACATTCAAAGGGTATTGATTCAGATTAAACAAAAAAGAGGGTCATCAATAAGATCTGAAAGCCGACACTTTCATTTTCATTAGATTGCTTACCCAATCCAGCATGGCTCCTTTCTGGTTTGAAGATTTACCGAATTCGAGAGCTCTTAACCCGGAGATCAACTCAAGCAGAAGGATACCAAAACCGAAAACATCTGTTTTCTCAGAGGATTGACCTGTGGAGAGATACTCGGGAGCAATGTGCCCCACAGTGCCTCTCACAGCTGTGGTTACGTGCGAGTCTTGGTGATCCAAAAGCTTAGCCAGCCCGAAATCTCCAACCACGGCTTCACAGTAATCATCGAGCAATATGTTTGCAGCCTTCACATCTCTGTGGATGATTTTGGGGTCACATTGCTCATGCAAGTACAGCAAACCTCTGGCAGCTCCTATTGCTATTCTCTTCCTTGTGCCCCAGTCCAGTGCTGGTTTGGCTGCAGCATTTGAGAGAGAGACATCATCAGTATAACAAAAAAATTCAGTTTCACTGGTTGACTTGGAAAGCAAGCAATAGCTAGGGGTTTACCCTTGAGTCTTGTTGCAACACTGCCATTAGACATATAAGGATACACCAGCAGCCTTTCACTATTAGTCATGCATAAACCATACAGGCGAAGGAGATTCCGGTGGACTGCCAAGCTTATCATCTCTACTTCAGTCTGGAACTGAATCTCTCCACCACTCGCATTCCCATCTTTGAGCCTCTTCACTGCTACAAGTGTCCCATCCGAGAGGTAACCTTTGTATACGTTGCCAAACCCACCTTTCCCTATGAGGTACTTGCTGCTGAAGTTGTTTGTAGCTACCTGAAGCTCTTTGAAAGGAAATCTCTTGAGGTTTCCGAGGTTGAGCTCCTCGTGTCGCTCTGGAAAAAAATAAATATAATTGCAGAGCATGTCATTCAAGTTGCCAAACCATGTTCTTGTTTCTGAGTTGTTCTTTTGGTCTTTGCTTGCTTACCATTGACATCGAAGAAGATCTGTTGGTTGTGTCTTTGCCTCAGCCAAAGTAAGAAACCAAAGGCTGAAGCCAGCAGGAACATGCAGCCGAGGGTTGAGCCAAGTGCTAAGGCGATCTTGTGTCCCTTGTGAGCTCCAGAGGGCTGGGAGGCTTAACAAGCCATCATTGTCGTAATTGAAAAAGAGGGATGAGAATTGAATTTTGAATTGAAGACAGTATGGTTTATGGGGATGGTATAAAGAGTGGATGGAAATGATGGAAACTAGATGAAAAGCCACCATCATTGGCAATGAATGATAAAGGGTATGCAATTTTGCCAACAGAAAGAGCACTTCTAAAGAGCTGAAGAAAATTCGAACTTCGAAACTCACTTACTTTGGGAGCTATTGAGGAAGAGTGACTGTGGAGTTGGTATTGTTCCAAAGCAATCCTGCTCAGCTCCACATATCAGAGGGTTTCCCACTATGCTGTTTCAATCACAAAGCAAAGGACAGCATTCTTTAAAGGGTTTTTCTTTCCATGTTTGATCAAACAAGGTAGCGAAGGAAAACTCAGAAAATTGTGACTTACTTGAATGTTTTTGTATGGAAAGTGGGTATTGGAGCACTCAAATTATTGTAAGACAAGTCCCTGGAAACATTCCACAGTGATACAAAAGGAAAAACAACCTTAATCAAGACTGTTTCGATTTTTGTATTGTTTTACCAATGAAGGAATAGTCGACAGAAATGGTTAAGGGTTGGAGGAGAATTACAGGAAAGTAAGCTGTGTCATGTTAGCCAAAGGAGGAGGAATTGCTTCAGTCAGACTGTTGTTGTTCAGCCTCCTGATGAGATTGAGAATTATGATAAGCACACAGAAGAAGAAAGGAAAAGAATAGTCTGTGGTTTAGGTAAATGTGATAGTAGAGAAAAAAGGAACATGATTGATGATCACAAAGCTTCTGAACACTCACAAGTACTGGAGGCTCTTGAGACTGGATAAGCTACTTGGAACTCCACCATTGAAGAAATTGTTCGAAAGGTCAAGAGTTTTCAGCCTTGTGAGCCTCCCTAGCTCTGCTGGAATATGTCCTGAAATGTTGTTATTCTGCAGAAGCCTGAAAAACAACAAACCAGATGGATAACATTTAGTACATTAAGAGTGGCAAAAACAGAACAGGAAAAGGTATGGCTTCGAGGAAACTGAAAACTCACACAAGCTGGAGATTTGTCAAGTTGCCTATGCTTGGTGATAGACTTCCAGACAAGCTTTGGCTTGGAGCTCCTCTGCAGCACAAAAGAGGGTACTAATATAATAAAGATTTATAATAATTGATGAACTGAAATTACCCTTTGTTTGAATAAGAGCAAAGTTAGAGCCTTTACTTACAGGCCAGTGACCAGACCATCAGCAGAACAAGTGACCATCGTCCAGCTGCATGGATCAACAGCAGTTGCATCCCAGTTGAGAACATTATGGGGATCTTTTAATGCATTCCTTATATCCATCAAAGCCACCACTGAAAAAAAGAAAAGGAAACCAAATGAAATGAAGTGGACATCAATTCAATACATGTAAACCAAACAAACAGAAAGAAAGAAAGAAAGAAAGAAAGAAAGAAAGAAAGAAAGAAAGAAAGAAAGAAGGGGGAAAAGATCACCATTATCAGAAAATCTCTACTGGGTTATATTAATTTACCTTCAAAGTTGACACCTCTGGGAGACAACATTCCATAAGCAGAACAACTCCACCAGCAGAACAACAACCAAGAGAACAAACCAAAGTTGCAGAAACCTCCATTGCTCTTTCTTCTTGCTTCCATTTCAAAACAGGAATGTCTTCTTCCCTCTTCTGTCTCTCTCTCACTCTTCTGTGAACTTTGATTCTGTTTGTTTTTTATCACATAAGTGAGGGAACCTGAAAGAACCAGGCAGCAGGGCAGCAAACCCACCTCTTCTACTATAATTGCACTCACTTTTAGTTCAGAAGTGATGTCAGAAAAACAAGAACTGGACAAAACATGATGAAATTATCAAAAGTAAAAAATTAATGGAAAAAGGTGGGGAGGGAGAAATTCTTGGAAAAGCAGTGGTCTTTGGCAAAGTAGTAAAAGAAGAGAGGAGTGGAGTGGGTAACATGGGGCTGCCAATGCCCAATGGTACTTCAACAGGGCTGAAATGAAAAAGAAAAGAATATGGATAAAGAAAGCTATTAGCCACACTAACCCAAATCTAGAGATGATATCTTAAGTCTGAAGAAGAATTGTAGATACTACTATTGTATTTAAAATGCCCAAAAAATTCCCTTCAATCATGTAGTTGTTTAGAGAGAAAAGGACTGGTGAGTTGAGTGGGATTCTCTGTCTTTTTCTATTTATCTAGTGCATTCCATCACATTACCATGGCCATGAGAATTACATGTATAAAGATTTTGCTGAAGAAGACAAAACTTCAAAGGAGAAGTGCGAAGAAAGAACAAAAGCAAATGTTCAAGTTGACTCGAACTGATTATCTCAAGTTCATTATTTTATTGTTAGTTGTTTTCGAATTCTTATTCATTTTAATGGTAAGTAGATTGATATTAATTATAACAATTCTTATTCGAAGTTTGAAATTGTGATCCAACAAGGACAAGATGAGTTGCAACTAATCTTATGCACAAAACAGTAAAGCACTAAACCTTTCTTGTTAATATTTCGTCCAACGAAAAAAGTTCAACCCAATTCAACAGATGCAGGAAGAAAGATGTAGTAGAAAGAAGAGTTGTAGCATTGGCATGGCCAATGCTAATCCATGGGTTAGGTGAAAGATTAAGTGGTAAGCATATATTGTGTGATATTTTCTCAAACCAAATAGGAAAGGAAGAGGAGTGGATGCTCCTTTTTATTTGGTGGGTCAGTAAGTGTCTTCTGGCTGTCAATTTTGTAGAGGAAAGGAAGCATAAAACAGAGCAAGTTAGAAAAGGACACACAACACAAGTGTTGGAGATTTGTACAGTGTCTTTTTGGATGTATTATCAAAATAATGTCAATCATCACTTATGATGTGATGAACAATAAAACACATGAACTCGCACAAAAACCATTCAAGATTTACTTTAATTTGAAGAATTCAGAGTTTAGAGATATAAAGTTAGAGTTTACAATTTGGGGTTTAGAGATAGAAATTGGAGGTCTATGGTTTAGGGTATTCCGCTAATTAGGAGTATCTCTTTGTACAAATGTATACAAACTTTGTACTATAGCAGTAACTTGTACAAGAGATGCTTGATGCGTGCAAGCAGTCTTCGTGCATGATGTATATTATTGTGAATGTTATAGGAATATAGTTGGCAGTGATAGTATGATAGTGTGTCACATAGCTATCTCCCTCGGTATCAAGGACTTAGAAATGCCAAAGATAGAGTGTCTCTTAGTATTTTTTTACACTAGTGTGTCTCTTAGTAGAAATAACAATTTTGTAACATTAAGTTCAATTTTAATGATTAATAACTTAGCTAACCTTAACAACAAGCAAAATATGTCATGATTTCCTAATCACAAGTTCACATATAGAAGTCATGGCTTGTGGTTGCTTTGTAGTCGACAATGGTGAAGAGTAGGGCAGAGTGTCGGGTCAATCGAAGCTAGAGAACAATTGAAGAAGTCATGGTTGTGGTTGCTTTGCGGTATACAACGTCAAAAAGTAGGAAAGAGGGCAAAAAGGATGGAGCGAATAGGAGAATTCATTGCAGTTCATGTGATCTTTGTCTTTGTCTATTGCAATTTCAAATCGAAAAAGGAAGAGTGAAGCACCGTCGAATATAGGGTTGCTAGAGATGACCTAATTTTGGGAAAATTAGCTACACATTGTTTTAATCATGGTTTGACAGTGCACTATACATCACTTTGATTAATCACATATGGCTAAAACGTAACCTAACCGAAACATTTTGTCACTGCCTAGCGCCTTGCCTAGCGCCTAGGCAAGGCGCTACTAGGCTTACTTGAAATTACACCTCATTGAACTCTAATAATTATATAAGTTATTGGAATAGATTATGCTAGAGTGTCATTTATCAATGATAAGCAAAACCTTTTCTATTAGAATTCTAATATTGAAAAATGATTGATTTATCATTTCATCACAATATAAGATGGGTATAATTGTACAAATGAAATTCACCTTCCTGTTCTTTTAAAAAATTTATGTCATGTGTGGACCCAAGACAATCGACAATAACAAGAAAGATAATGACCAATAAGAAAGTAAAGAACACAGATTTACGTGGTCACTAACACAACGTGTGTTAACTAGTCCACGAGCGGGCGGGACAGAGTCAGTTTCACTATACTTGAGGAGACTACAAATTATTAAGAAGTATTTATATTACCTTTCAATGACCTAATCTAATTTGGTAAAAAATAAAGTTACATTATCAATCTGTCACAAAAGTATAAACGAATACCAACTATATACCATGAATCTTCGTTATTTACCGTCGATGACAGTTCATCTTATTCAAGTCATATCATCCCTATGAATTTCCAACCCTTATGATTAATTCTTCTTTGTGAAAGGTTGATAATCTGGAGGGATGAAATGCTAATTGGGTCCTTCCTTATATATTGTGCCATAACCATATACTAATTATTCCCCTACATGGAGATTGGCTTCTTTTCTTCTTCTGAGGTTTTCTGTTCTGTTCTTTTTCTGGGGTTTTCTTGTTCTTTAATTGTGTTCTTAAGACTTGTCTGTGACTTTGTGCTTTATTGATTCTGAGAATACTGATCAACACTCTCCATTGTCTCCACTCCACAGTCAACAATGAACAAACTGTCCCCATAAACCATGAAAAAGCATCCATCTTTTAAAAGCAAAAGCTGTCGCCACCATCACCCAACAGCAACCTCACCCTCTTGAGTCTTGAGAGAGTCGTTTCCTGTGTGCCCCAAACTGAAAAGCAATACATTTTACCTTTCTTTCCTATGCACAAAATTAGGGTTTGAGGCTTTGAGCACCCCATGGTTTGATCTTTACTATATTATTACTTTGTTTTTTCAACTAGGAAGCTAGCTCTAAGTTAGAATTCCAGGGTGCATTACTTATCCGCTAGGTGATCATAACCTATTTCACGTAGACGAAAGTGAAGTTGTCATATCCCCAGTTTATTTGTTGACAATATTAGAATTGGTTTTACCATTTGCAACGAGCCTAGAAATTATATTATTTTTTTACCGTGTTGAGTTATACAATGAGCACATGTTTCAAAGTTAAATCATAATTATCGAATGATTGCTTAGTAAGGAGCCTAGTTAAGACTTAAGAGTATAGATAATGAATGTATTTTACTTTTCTTTCACAATATGGACGCATGTTGTGATTGCTTCTGAAAATGAAATTTGTATTAATCGGTTATTTCTTTTCAATGAATGAATTATTAGATATTCATTTTTAGCAATATTTTTTGAATTTTATGTAAAAGACACCACTTATATGATTTTCTAACTCCTCAACTAATGTTAATGAAACATTAGCTCCTTATTTTCTCGTAAGTGATATTATTGTAACATGATCGCTACCAACTATTGTTATCCATGACGACTACTCAAGTTACGACTCACTTTATTTAAGAGATAAGAGTAGATTTGTGGTTTGTATCATGGACAGCTATGAACTATGGCATAAACAAACATACACAAAACTCACTTTGCGAATAATACACAATTAAGAATGTCAATTGTTCAATCATTGACATTCTATCAACTATAAATACAAAGAGCTAGATAATAATAATTTGAGAATTTTTTTTTTTGTTCTGGAGATACAAAGAAATTATAACATTTATATCAGAGAAAGCGAAAATAAATCATTTATATTTAGAATCATTAAAACTCGAACACTAATCCGTTGAATTATCGCTCTAATGTTGCCATAATACTATTGAACTACAACTAATTTGCTCCTTGTGGCCAAAGCTAGATTAGGTGGAAACCATGCTTGTGAAGAAAGTGAGTGAAGTTAAGCTAAGATCGATAATGGATTGATGGAAGCATCTTTTATGATGGGAGGAGAGGATCTCTTGAGCACAATGGTGTTCCTATGAAAACACAAAGAAAACACCAATTATGGAATTCTCTTCGTGGTGCCTAGGTGCACGTGCAATTTGGACCCTCCTCCCCGCACCAAACCACATCATACAAATGTTCAGTTGACCTCCTCGCTTGGTCAAACATGGAAGGAAAAAAAAAACAAGACCTTTTCTTTTTCCTTTAATTCATGATGAGGATGATGAATTGATAATGATGGAAAACCCTAAAAAATTAAATATAGTTGCATTCACGTAGTCCCTTAAATATATATGATAATTTGAGAGAGTTATTGATCCATAGGATTCAGAAATTTATCATAGGTAACTTGATTAGCACCTTGGGTATGGCGAGGGAACTTGATTAGCTTCTTGAATTTCTTCTATTGCGCATGCAAAGTGTAAAGAAATTATACATCATTCATTCTCGAGTCTTTTCGATCACTCGAGATATTAGAGAGAAGTGGTTACTATAATTTTAGACGAAGAGATCTCATGTTTGTAAAAGTCAATATTTATTAACCGTTGACTTAAGTGTAAGAGTATGGTGATCAATGCAAATTTCAGGTCACTGGTGGATTTTTTTCAGTTGGAAAGACATGCAAAAGGAATGGTATAAACAAATTCTCTAACAAATACTTTGTTCGTAGCAATACGAACTCTCGTATTTTCTTATTTAGTCCATCCCGATAATTTGAGTTATTGACTCACACAGGTTTTTAAACGCAACTATCACCAACTCCTACTGCAATCCCTTTGTATAGTATTCACATGATTACGTTTACTCTTTTTCATCATCTCATTGCCTCTCCTTTTGACTCAAAAGCTTCAATCACAAAGAAAAGTAAGAGAGTGTGTCAAGAAAACAATTATATGTGGGGCTGCAATTAATTAAAGCACAGGAAGTTTGACTAATAATGGTCTCAATTAATGAAGAAAAAGATAGATTGCACTATCTAGCTAGCCAAGAAAAATGAGTAGTGAATAATTGCTAGCTCCTTTGTTGTTTGAACTTCATATCCCTTTCAAATCCAACAGAGGCTCTTGCTTTGTTTTGAATTGAACCAAGTTTAATTGGGGTTTGATCAGTGTGCTAGCTAGCTATAGAGAGTACATGATTTTGGGTCTCACCATGGGACAATGTCTGTCACTTTAAATGTTCCACAAAGAAAGATATAGTAAAGCATCCAAAATAGGTGACCAAATGAACCCCAATTCCTCTAATCAACTATCATGGTCGCCAACTTAATTATAATTGCGCATGATTTAAATCGCACACAAGCATGATTTATATGTGTCATGTGGACACACAGATACAACATAATAGTTTAAAAGTGATCAAAAGGGATTGCTAGATTGCATTTGTGTGTCACGCACACGGATAGGGGGCAATTGACATTGAGCAAGAAAGATAGACGATTACCATGAAAGTAAATAACACAGAGATTTACGTACGTTGTTCATTAGTACAACGTGTGTTAGCTACTCCATTGGCACAGAGAGAACCAACTTCATTATTACTTGAGGAGATTAATCTCTCGATGCAGATTATAGAGGAGTATGAAAAGTATTTATAGTACTTCTCCACGACCTAACTCTAATCTAATCTAATAAAAAAATAAGGTTACATACCAAATTCAGTCTGAAAGGCCAAATGTGTACAAATCCATACACTGTGTGGATCGTGGCATTGCGCTTGTTAGCATGTTAGAGTACTGTCACTATATATATAGTGACTACTTCGGTGCACTCATAAAAATGAGTGCGCTCAATGCACCCAACTCAAAAACTAGTCTTAAGGTGTCGGATTTTGAATTTTAATTTGTAGAATTAGTGTAATATGATGATATAACAAATGATAACAACTAATTAGTGGATTACCCTAAGCCCTAGACCTCCAATATTGAGTTCTATCCATAAACCCCAAATTGTAAACCCTAACCCTAATCCTAAATCTCTAAACTCTAAATACTTCAAATTAAAGTAAATCTTCAATGGTTTTTGTGCAAATTCATGTGCGTTATTGTTCATCACATCATAAGTGATGAATGACATCATTTTGACATAAATCGCATGTTTAAAATGACGGTTATGAAGTGAGTGCACTGAATGCACCCAAAAAAGTGAGTGCAGCGAAGACGCCACCATATATATTTTCCAGCCAAACCCCATACTTTGTTGAGGGTAATTCCACCTAATCCCACGTAATTAGGAATATATTCTAATCAAAACAGCAAGCACCATGCACCAAGAATTGTTTAATTAATAATTTTATTGATAATCTTTTAGTCTTTTTTTTTCTTACTGTGATGACAATAGGATCACCATGCATGCATGCATGCAGTGCCTTTGGATGCCACTCACTTCCAACCACTCAATAAACAAACAGTGTTGATTATCTTTTAAAAAAAGTGTTGTTGTAAAAGACCGTTATCAATAAATAAATACAACGAGAAACTACTATACTGGTAGTTAATGACATAGCAGGAAATTTGAGTAGAGCCAAAAGAACGAGGTTTAGCGATGAATCTCGCCAGCTGGCTGTCTATTATACAGATGGATGTAACGCGAAAACGAAAAAATAATCACTCTTGCAATATCTTGATTTGTATGGTGTAACTTACAGTGAGTGAGGTTGGTAATATCTACTCAAAAAAAAAAAATATATATTCACAAACATTTTGTCGATCATATCATATTGTTGACGGCAGATTTAATACTAACGATCAATTTCAATATTGATGAGTTACAATAACAATATTTTCCTCTCAAAAAATTCTTATGTTTTATTTGCCTTCAATTGGGGGTCACTGAAGTAAGTTCAATCAGTCACAAGAACGCTGAAAACGAATTATTGACAAAAAAAAAGCTAGAAATATGGGCATCCACTTTCTTAAAAAAAATAATTCGTTTTCGCAAGAACGCTGAAAACGAATTATTGACAAAAAAAAAAGCTAGAAATATGGGCATCCACTTTCTTAAAAAAAATAATTTAATAAATTTGTTTATGCCTTCAATTATACTTAAAGTAGAATCTTAGCCTCTTTAGAAAAGGAGATTATGGCTCAAATCTGTCCCCTGCTGCTAATCAAACCAAACCCCTCACTAATTGATCATCAGCCCCACCACCTTGAAGTGTCTCTCTCATACGGTCCACATATATTAATAGGGGTGGGTATTGGGTGAGTCGGGTGGATTTTGACAATAAAATGCACCCACCCGCGTTTAAACGGATTGATAATTTTTAACCCACCACCCATCCACATTTAGTCTCGGGTTGGGTCGGGCGGATGGTGGATGATGCGGGTGGGTTTGTGGGTTCACCCACATCATAATGTATATAATATAAAGGAGTCAACTTGACATGATAATAGGTGAAGAGAATCATCGAGGGTAACCAGAAGTTGGAATAGGGCGAAAAATGTCGAATTAGTTCTTAAATTGGATAGAAATTCTATTATGAAGAGTTTTCTACAGATTGAGACGATTATTAGGTGCAAGGAACTAAGGAAAATAATTCCACAAAGGAAAGAGCGGTGATCTAGGCACAATAATTAGAGGAAAAAGTAAAGGGAAGAAGAGGGGATCTCTATTTGGAAGGTTGGCTTTGAGGTTCAAACTCCAGGAGCAGTCCGAGTTTATATCTAACGTCTCCACTCTTCTCTCTCTAGCGCCAACGACTTTGATTTTTTTGCTGTTGGGTTGAGCGGGTCACCCGCGCACTCACCCACAACCCACCCACCACCCGGCGGATGGCTTCCAGCGCAACCCGTCACCCACCCACAGACTCACCCACTTAACGAAATTCGGGTCAAATGCGGATGGGTCGGCCCAAACCCGCGGATGATCCGCCCGCATGCCCAGCCCTATATATTAATACAGGTAAATTTCACATTTTAGTCATTGCGATTACTAAATCATGTCATGTTTAATTACTAGAAAAATTAATATCAATTTTGGTCACTCGGATTACTGAAACATGTCACATTTAGTCACTTTCCCGTTAGTTTCAGTCCAACTCCATTAACGGAGTTGGACGGAGGCTAACGGAGAGTGAGTAAATGTGACATGTTTCGGTAATTCGAGTGACATTCATAAAAAAAAAAAGTAATTCGAGTGACCGGAGTTGGACGGAGGCTAACGGGAAAGTGACTAAATGTGACCTGTTTTAGTAATTCGAGTGACCAAAATTGATATTATTTTTTTCTAATAACTAAACATAACACAATTTAGTAATCCCAGTGACCAAATCGTGGTATCTACCCATATTAATACGAAGGCCAAGAAGAACAAACATCAAACGGTAGGATTTTCTTCACCTCGAGAGCAAACTACTGAGTATTGTCCATCATTGTGTACGGCTAGCTAAAGACGGTCCACTTTGTTGGAGAAATCGATCTACAGAAATTTCAGTGCACAGAGATAGAAGGACTGTCTTTTGTTTTGTATGTTAGCTTTTGGTTTTTGTTATACCACTTTCACAATCGGTGTTTTCGAGAGATGGTAGCGCTTTGGATTTATTCCTTTTCCCTCGAGTGGTCGACAATTTAAAAAGAGCTAGCTAGGTTCATGCATGTATGTAGACTGGTTTGAATTGCATAAAGGAGGAAGGAATAAGCATATCTAGCAGTTTTGAGTGGCTCGCTCTACCATTTTCCACGCCATGTATGGATACAGACAGAGGACACTTGAAGTTTGGATGGGACTCAAAGCCTCAATTACGAAAAGGAAGATTCGGCAGTAGCACCCCACTGATCATAAAGGGAGTTTTCTTTCCCACGGAATCAAATTGGAAGAAAAAAAAAAGATATATATAAAATGTGGCTGCTGGGATTCGAGCCCAGGTCTCTACGGCCACAACGTAGAATTCTAACCACTAAACTACAGCCACTCTTGTTGTTTTGTTTTTCTATACTATCGTATCTGTTATTAATTTCTGGTCTGAAGACAGATGTTATCAGGGACGAGTTTTAGTGTCACCATGTGATCATGTTAAGACTCGAGATCCGTGTATCTCCACTCCACCGTAGCCTGATCTAATAAGCTATCAGCAAAAATCAAGACCTCGAACAATCAAATGTTGTTACAGTTTATAGAGAAACATTACAATTCACAAACCACGTAAAAGTAAATAGCAAGGCTACCAGTCCAATCACAAAAACAATCCCGTAATATTTTAAGGGTTCGTGTCTACTTAAAACTATATGACTATGCTCTTGTACGCACCCCGCTACTCGCTCGCTTAACTCGCTAATAACGAATCCAGCATTTAATATTGGGTTTGGCATATATTAACAGGGAAGGCAACACAACATTTCGCAATAATGTGGTCCAGAAGGTCTATCCTCTGCTGACAGTGATCAACGTAGGATAACTCTAATCCAAGGTTAAAGAAGAAGAAGAAGAAGAAATGTTTTTGGCTTCTGGAACGGTATACATCAAGTTCGAAGTACAAGCGGATCCACGTCTGTGATTTGCCACATGTAGGATTCATTCATACACACGCAAAGCTCCCTCCCAAAAGCAGAAAGGCCTTTGCATGGTTTACACATCCCCGTCAGTCGCTACCTTTCAGAGTCCCACACGTATAATGTATTGCTTCCGAAGATGCAAAAGACAAGAAGGAAACGCCTCACTAACTCTACCAAAACTGTGTCCCCTGCAATTACTCCTTTCAACTTCACTCATTGCCACCTGCTGTTACAGCAACTTCATCCCATTCATCACAATCCCAAAGCAACTACAGACTATCAACAAGAGGCAATTGCCATTTGGGAAAAGATCAACAATCAGAAACAAAACACAAATTTCACTTTCATAACAATAACAAATATCCATGAGGTGTCAGTAGTAACCTCACTTTATTACAGATCACATATTACCATATACCAATGACAGAAAAGAAAACACAAGCATCAACATTCGAGCAACAGACTCAAGAGACGCACAATTGCAATGTCATACAATTGACCTTTATTCCAGCGGTTGCCAAGGGACCACATATAGTTTGTACCAAAAGAAAATCAACATATAAAAGCAATGAAGAAATAGATAGATCTTCAAACTTCCTCGTCTTCCTCTTTAAAGCAGCACTTCAGAGTTGATCTAGGAGACCCAGTATCCTCAGAAGAAGCAGCATCAAACTTCTGATAGACAACAGAACCTCCCATTCCGAGCTCTTCATGGCTCCTCTCTCCGCGACAGTATCCCTTCACATCCAGGGCACACTCCTTCTCCAGTTTCCTCCCAGCCACATTAGTAGCATGCACAGCAACAGAGAACTCGCTTGGCTTGAAGCAAGCCAGCACCCTATCGACCACCTGCTTCAGACCCACTTCTTTCAGGTCGTACCCCATCATTTCAAAGCTTGCATAGCTGAACCCGTCTTCTGGGGTCACGTGAATGGTGGAAACAGCACCGCCTTCGATAGCATTCATGGAATAGCCACAAGGGTCAAAGTCAAAATCACAAATTTCAGAGTCTGGAAGGATCTTCCTTATCCCAGAATCAACAGTCATCACAGCTCCGGTAGGAGACTGGGTTTTGAAGAACACTGCAGCTTTTTCTCTGTCAAGACCAGTCATGCACATCTCCACAGTGTAAACTGGTTCATCAACCATAGCAGCATCTGCAGTAGCAGAGTAAACATGCCACTTCTGCTGGCTATCCCATCCACCCATGATATAGGCCTTGCTGCCTCCAGAACCGAGCTTCCCAAAATATCCATCGAGTACAGAGACTTCCTCGGAGAAGCTACGATGAGGATATAGCTGTGCTGAAGGGCAGATAAAACTACCACGAGTGTACCTCACTGACTTCACCTTAAGAGAAAGGGCTTCTGCCAACTCGAGGATTGGTGGGATAGATAGAAGCAGCTTTGTAGTCCCACAAGTTTTGATGACGATCTTGTATGCGAATACAAAGAGGCTGGACTCAGAGAGGACATAGGAATCCACATCAGCATTAGCAAGTGAGTCGACAATGGTGCACTGAGCCGGTCCAAGAATCTCATCCAACTGAGCCTTCGACAGAGATCGGAGACCCTTCCCTTCCGGGTCAACAAAGATACCCGGCTCGAAGAAGGCTATTTCTAGCCTCTTCTCGTATCCTTCAAATCCAATTGCAGAGACTGTCATCGTGACACTCAAGAGCAAATGTCACAACACCAGAAGATAGACCAACAGATGACAGTCGAGCAAACAACACCAAGAGGTTGTCGCGAATTCCCAGAAAGCTCACAGTTTGATCACGGTCGCAGAGAGAGTGAGGAAGAGAGGAGGAATTTGAATGAAACTGATATTTATACCTAATTATAATAGCAATAATAACTAAATGAACCACGTTATGTGGTTAGGGTGCAAGCTATTAGCAGGACTCAGGATGGCTTGCGAGCGCACTGCATATAAGAAACACACATAAAAGACAAAGTTAAAATCATGAAATGCTGAATAAAGACAGGTTAAAACCATGACAACAATAAAGGATAGGGGGAAGAACATACGTTGGAGTAAGCAGCAGATCTGAATTTCTTGATTCCACCGTTTGGGCGAACGTCTTCAATGCTGTAACCGAGGGGAGCTTCGTAGAACAAGGATTTACTACTACTGCTAGACTTCTTCTTGCCACCTTTCGACTCCATTGATCATTCAATACTGGCTGCACCAACAATGGAACATGAGTTAAATCACCCCAAGGTATAAAAACACGAGAGCTGGCTACTCAAATTAGTAAGCAATGTAAAATTTCTACACAATGTTACCCCCATATGGGACTCTCCTGCAAGATGATAACCAGAAATGAACACAAAACTCTCTGTGAATATTATAATCCCTTTATAAGATTTCAGAAGACAAAAGATAAACCATTTAACATCATCTTATCTCATATCCTGGCAGAAACATGAAACTTAAGCTAATCGACATATCATAGAGAAGATGCACCATCATCAATCCACGCCCTAAGCCTCTAACCAACAGAATCGGAGATTGTTTGGAAAATAGGAAGCTAAACGCCGAACACACCAAAATCACAATTAATCGATACATGCACATAGAAACCTAAAACCCCCTATTTTACGACTTCTAATCAAAACCCAGAAAAAATCGCGCCAAGAAAACCAAAACCCAGATCTAAACGAGCAACAAGATCAATAATTTATCCACCAAGAAAAGCCCTATGCTAGGTTGAGGAACAAATAAACCGATGGGTAACAAAGATCGGAACTTACAAATCAATATTGGAAAAAAACACAGCAGCCCTTTTTTCTCTCCCGAAAAGCCAAATTCCTTTGCAAAACTCTGGAATCAGAAATAACAAGAGCGAAAACCAACCAAAATTAACCCACGAAATGACGAAATCGGAAATCGTACCAAGGAAAACAAAAGAATTGAACATGAACAATAACCAGCGATTACAAGAGAAGAGAGCGGATGCATACCAATCAAGATTCGTCAGACGAAGAACAAGATGAACACCCAGAAATTTGTGGCTATGAGAATTCGGAAAAATAAGCAGAGACGTGCGGCGAATCTGAGATTATGATGAGGGACTTTTTCGGTTGGCTTCTTTCTAGTTTTGCGAATGGAGGAAGGCAATTTGATGATGAAAATGGGCAGAGCTGTCAATTTATAAGGAGGGACGGAATGTGTAGGGTTAAATTTAGTATATTATGTTTCTGCCCCTGGATGGGCATTGGAATTACCGGTTGTCACTTGGCACGTACGTGACGAATATGCCCCGGTAGAATTTTGGTTGCCTTGATTCGTTTTTAGTCTTTTACTTTATATACCCTATTCCTAAAAATCAAAATTAACGATGGCAGTAGGGTAATTCAGGGGTTGAATATTTGAAATCCTAACAACTCTTTACGAATGTCGTATTTTTCTCACCCTCCTATTTCTATAATTGTTGCAAGTTTCGGTTGGATTTTGAACAAAAAGATTAGGATTCGTGCAAGTGGGCTTGTGTGAAACAAAACCATGTTGAAAATAAAATTTGTTTTGGAAGACTGAAACATAAATAAAAAAAATGAAGAATGAATTTGATTATTTCATTAAGAATGAAAAACTATTTTTATTACATAGTGAAGTTCATTACCAAATTATATCACATGTAGACCTGGATTCTTAAAGCCTACCCTCCAATCTCCATGCATTTTACTGCATAGTAGCTTTGTCTTTGGGTACAAAGTAGTAAAAGTAAGACGGTAAAAACAGTCAAATAATTATCCACCTACCAAGGGGGAGGTGGTTGCGCCAATTTGAAGGCCCCCCTGCAAATTTAGAAATAAACTAACTTGGGGAGAAAGGAAATGGGCAAACAGGTAATTTCCTACGAGAAGGGCTTTTTCGTACTCTGTCTCATCTTGAGAGCATATTTACGGGACTTTTCAGTAGGGAATCCTTCTTTACTGTTTTTGACACGTCAGATAAATGGCTGGTCAAGAATTTGCATCGGGGCTGATGCTGCCGAAGAAAACAGAAGGAGAGCGAGAGAGAGGACTTGAGGGGTTCGATTCTGGCCGTGTATTTCAAACTTTGGCCCTGCTCTCTCCATTTCTGTGGCCATTGAGCACTTGCCCATTTATTCTTTCCTTTATATATTCGTTCTTTCTCTTTATTATAATTTTTTTTGGCGTGTGTCAGAAAAGTGGAATCTAAACCTAAAATAAAATATAAAACATGAAAATCTCTTCAATAACTGATTCGAATCAGATCGTTCTTATAATCTCACCTGTGTATGTATTTGATGTGGCAGATTGATACGGCTACATCCAAATTTAATAAAGAAAATGTGTCATTAGGTAATCGGTAACTTGCATTCATCAAACAGTATGGACAAAGAAGATGGCGCTTTTTCTTGTATGGACAAATAGATTTTTATCGTTTTACCAAGCAAAAATAAACAAACGTGGATAAATTCCCAATTTGTGCACTCGAATTGTTAAAATATTCCACACGTTTGTCATTTAAAAATATTTTATTCCATTCGTGTTCACTAAAATTAGTTCAATAGTTCAGGTTTAGTCACTGGTCATTACCTTTTGTTAAAAAAAACACCATCGGTTTATTGCTGATGTGGCTAACAGAAACGTCCAATCAGCCTTGAAAAAAAAATTATACCCAACCATTAGAAACCACAAAATCATATTATCCCAAGTTCCCATATACCGTATCTCTTTGGTTTTAATTTCCAGCTACGTGGTTTAATTATACCCAATTGTGATATACGGGTCGTTTGCTTCATGGATTTGAAAAATGAGGGTTTTGGTAAAACCTGGGTTTCGGAAAACCATGGATATATGATGGATTTGGTGGCATTATGGATTTGAACAAGTCTATTGTTTGCTTGATGGATTTGATTATGGACTTTCTTTGATTAGAATTGTGGATATTAAATACAAATTACCTAGTTACCCTTATTTAATTATATTTCTATATTATAATCCAAATCTTTCATTTAAAATTAATCCAAAACATAGAAAGAAATTTTAAAATCTTTACCACTATGTGGATTAATAATTCAACTACAAATATAGAAATGTATTACAATATGGCACTAATTAACAATTCATCTTGGCACTAATTAAAAATTCATCTAATAATCCTTCATAAAAAAAACAATTCATCTAATAATGTACGCAATATTATGTATCAATTGCAGCCAATTGCTCGCTTTATTGCTACAACTCATCATCTTCTTGCTAACTCACCGATGTGGAATCCGACAATCAATCAAATAATAATGTACAAGATGAGCATAAAGTGTTTCTAGGTGAATCTAACAAATCACATATACATTCATATTTAAATAAAATACGATATTACAAAATGATATGATAAATTCTCATATTTATAAAATACGAAATTATAAAATTTTACAGTTGCATGACCATTGAATTAAAGTATGACAAATTTGTAATCAAAGAAATAATTAAGGGTAGAAAGGTAATTTACCATCATGGATTTTAATCCACACCCAAATCCCACCTCAAGAGGTGGAACTTCCAAGTCCGTGGGGTCCACGGATTTGGAACCCCAAAAGTGGTGCGCCCCACAAATTCCATCTCCCTAATTCCCTAACAGCCTGTTTGGAAAGGCTAAATTTTGAGGAAATGGAATTCCAATTCCCAAACTTTCCATGATTCTCATGTTTGGAAGTAAAAAGTAAAAAGGAAATGGAATTCCAAAAGGCAAAAAGTTGGAAATTCTAATTCCTACCAAAAGTGGTCGGAATTGGTGGAGGGAGTGATGGAATTAGTGGACCCCACATTAATTTTGACTCACCTTTACAAGAAAGCCCTTACTACTTTTGGATTTGAAATCACTAATACCAAGGATATTATTGTAAAAGCACTTGTAAGAAATCATTTCCATTTTTTCCAAACATAAAAACATGAAATCATTTCCCAAACTTTTGGATTTGTTCCAAACATAAAATTTTAAAATGAATTCTCACTTGAATTCAGATTCTCACAAGAAATGGAATTCATTTTCCAACAGAATTATATCCAAACAAGCTGTATACAGTCTGTTTGGATAGACAAAAAACTCAGGAATTGGAATTCCATTTTCAATTCCAATTCCATAATTTATGTTTGGAAGGATAAGAAGGTTGAGAAATGAATTCCATTTGGACTAAGTTTTGGGAATTACAATTCCTATCAAAAGTGATAGGAATTGTGTTTATGAAGATGGAATTAGTAGGTCCCATCACTATTTATTATTATTTTATTAACCAACTATCACACTACTCTCTTTCTCTATCATTCATATTTCATTTCCCAAGATAAAATAAATATATTATATTATTAATTATTGTTAAAAGTGCAATTCCTTTCTTTAGTTGGAGGAATTATACCAAACACTAAAATTGGAAATGGAATTCTATAAAAATAGGAATTGGAAATAGAATTTCATTTCCATTTCTTCTTGAATTGTATCCAAACAGGCTGTAAGGCAAACGATGGATTTCGGTTCAAATTCATAATGGATATATTTCCATGACCAAATCCATCACCAAAGCCCTCAAGCAAACGACCCCATAATGTCGAAAGGGGGCTAAAAGGGTCATTAACCCTTCACTTTGCCCCAGTTGTGAAGTGTCCTTCCTTTTGGTGATCCAGTGCGGGTCTTGGTTTAGCGCTCGGTCTTTTCTCCGTGAAACGGCAGGCACCAGCGAGAAGCCACGAGAGCCCTACCCATCGTCACTCTGGTGGGAACCAACTCGACGTAGACTCTTTTCTCCTTTCTCCACCTTCAATCCGACACTGGAATACCTAATTCTTCGCTTCTCCCTTTCAAATTGGTAAGTTTGTCTCTCTCTCTCTCTCTCTCTCTCTCTCTCTCTCTCTCTCGCGGTGGCGAATTCACCGATTTCCCGACAAGGGTTAACGTAAAACCCTCCTTTCTAATGTGTCGATTTCTAATCTGATGGTTTGAATCAGTGTTTGGTCGTTCCGCGCTTTTCCCGCTGAAGTGGGTTTTGAATCGATTCCGCGGTTGCTCCAGTTTCGAGCTCTGATTCTGTGTGGTTGGAACTTGAACGACTCTCTCGCCGCCCTTTTGGACCTCACTCCCTTGCCCGTTGCGAAAGAGTGCTCTTGGTATCAATCTATTGGTTCCTCTCAGCCTTGGCTTCGTATGTTGGTCGGGCTGTGGAGTTGAGAGATAGATTCAGTTAATTTTTGAAACACCCGGCTAGTGCTTTTATTTTGGTTGCTACTGATTTGGGGATTCTCGGCTAGTGAACGTCAGATTGGTTATTGACTTATTGGAAAGGAATTAGTTGGAGTTTTTTTGTGTTTCCCCAGAACTGTAACTTTTGAATTTGTATGTTTAGCGATTAAATCTGAAACCTTTTGTATGAAGCTCTTAGCTTTAACTCGGTTTCGTTGGTCTGTAATTGCCAGTTCTGAAGTGATGCACTCATGTCACCTCGTATTGGTGAAGGGCCTGTTAAATTTGTATCGAATGGGATGTTTAGATTCTTCTTTTGATGTTGCTTTGTTCCAACAACAGTTATCAGTCTTCCTTTACATGTATAGGAGTTGGAAGATCTCATTTTGTTTTATGTTTTGCTGTCTTTGTAAAGGGTCTGGGTCTAATGGCTGATGAGCAAATTGATTTTGAGGACGAAGAATATGGAGGGGCTCAAAAGTTGCACTTCCAGGGAAGTGGTGCCATTCCTGCTATTACGGAAGAAGAAATGGGGGAGGATGATGAGTATGATGATCTTTATAATGATGTGAATGTTGGTGAGAATTTCCTACAGATGCATCGATCTGAACCACCTGCTCCCCCTGCTAACATGAACAACGGGGCATTCCAAACTTCTAATGCTCCCGAATCAAGAGTTGAGGCACCAGCCGGGGGTGGTGGCGTTAGTGTGCAAGGGGTAAACATACCTGGAGTTGTTGCTGAAGGGAAATACTCTAATCCTCCAACACATATTCAAGAGAAAAATGAGGTTCCTGGTATAGTTAAGGGGCCAGAAAATGGTTCAGCTGCGTACTTGGATGTATCTGCTTCACAAAAGGGTAAGGTCATGGAGATTGTACGTGATACCCAAGTTCGTAGTATGGGATTTCAAGGAGCAGCTTCAATATCACCCAGTATCGGGGTTAATCCTTCTGATACAACTAGAAAGGTTCCCATGGAGCCTCAACCTATGCCAAGTACTGGAACAGGTAGTCTGACAGGTGCTCCACAGATGCCAGCTAATCCTATGAACATGAACATGGATACCAATATCATAAGTGGAAATCAGATAAGGCCTCCTGTAGACAATGGTGCAACTATGCTGTTTGTTGGAGAATTGCATTGGTGGACGACTGATTCAGAGCTTGAAAGTGTTTGTTCTCAGTACGGGAGAGTCAAGGAGATTAAGTTCTATGACAAAAGGGCTAGTGGTAAGTCAAAGGGTTACTGCCAAGTTGAGTTCTATGAAGCAGTCTCTGCTGCTGCTTGCAAAGAGGGAATGAATGGATTTTTGTTCAATGGCCGAGCTTGTGTTGTGGCCTTTGCTTCTCCACAAACAATAAAGCAAATGGCAGCTTCCTACATGAACAAGAATGACAATCAGCCTCAGGCACAGACACAGGCAAGGAGGCCTATGAATGATGGTGCTGGAAGGGGTGGTGCAATGAATAATTATCCAGTTGGAGATGGTGGGAGAAATTTTGGAAGGGGTGGATGGGGACGTGGTGCACCAGGTGTTCTCAACAAAGCTCCGGGGGTTGGAGGACCAATTAGGGGAAGAGGCATGGGTGCTAAGAGTATGATGGGGGGTGGTGCTGGTGTTGGAGGCGGCATCAATGGGGGAGGCTATGGACCGGGGCTAGGTGGTCCTGCATTTGGTGGTCCTGGTGCTGGAATGATGCCTCCACAGGCAATGATGGGAGCTGGATTTGATCCAACATACATGGGTAGAGGGGCTGGTTATGGAGGCTTTGGAGGAGCTCCTAGCTTTCCAGGCATGCTTCCTCAATTTCCATCAGTTAACACGATGGGACTTGCTGGGGTAGCTCCTCATGTCAACCCAGCATTCTTTGGTCGCGGTATGGCTCCTAATGCTATGGGGATGATGGGTGGTACTTCAGGAATGGAAGGGCCAGGCATGGGAATGTGGTCTGAGACTGGCATGAGTGGATGGGGAGAAGAGCATGGAAGAAAGACTAGAGAATCAAGTTATGGTGCTGAAGATGGTGCTTCTGACTATGGCTATGGGGAGGCAAGTCATGAAAAGAATGGACGCTCAAGTGCTGCCCCTCGGGAGAAAGAGAGACCTTCTGGTCGTGACTGGTCGGGGACGTCTGATAGGAGGCACCGTGAGGAGAGGGAGCAGGAATGGGACAGATCTGAAAGGGATCATCGGGAGCCCCGTCACAGGGAGGAAAAAGATAGCCATAGAGATCACCGAAAGAGAGAACGTGACTCAGGTTATGATGACGACTGGGATAGGGGCAAGTCTTCTTCTAGGCATCAGAGCAGGTCACGTGCAGTGCCTGAAGAAGATCACCGGTCAAGGTCACGGGATGCTGATTATGGAAAGAGGAGACGTCAGCCATCAGAGTGACAACACCTTTGCATTTGGACCTTATTTTCTTTCCTCTTGGGTCGCTAAACCGGCGCAGCAGCCTTTGCAGTTATCTATATTGACCTGAAGCTGCAGAAAGTGATCTCTTGAGGAAAGAAGTAAGTTCTACTCGTGAGGATGAGAGAGTGTCTAAGTACCTCGTTTCTTTCTTTCTGCATTCTACTGAATATTATTAGATGAACCCAGTGTTTGTGTGTTAGAAAACAAAGTGACTCTTACTCTGCGACTTACATTGCTATGCTAGTGGGGCTGGACTCAAGTATCCCACTGTTGAACCCCTCATTGAACTTATATATGTTTTGGATAATCTGGTTGTCGGTTGGTGAACTTGATCTAGAACTGTCTCATCTCATTTATTTTTATTTTTTTATTTTTGTAGCCGCTAGGAGACTGATCTCTAATTCTCTATTGTTATTTTGGCTAAGTGAAGCTTCAGTTGATATTAGTGTAGATTCTCGTGGTAACTGCCATGACTGGTTGACTTGCACCTTGCACTCATTGACATCAGATGCCATTAATTTTGTTCACAAAAAGGATGGCAATGTCTTGGACCCTTCGTATCTGTATGACCATTTACCTAATGTTGTTTTATTTTTATAGTTGAAGGTTCATCGGGAAAGCTAGATTGGGGCTTTAACCTTCCAAACGGCTATTTGTTTCTTGTTTCATTGGCCATTTAGCGAAAGTGAATAGTGGGGTAGCTTTCTTCACTCAAGTTTACTGCTTTACTTGTTTGTTTTGTTGCTATAATTGAACAAAGTTTCGTTGGGGGAGGGTCTATGCCTGCTCCAATTGTTTCATTAGCACTTCACATGATTTTGGAAAGTGAATTAATCCGTTAGTTTCTCTGTAGTGGTTTAACTTTGATTTGTCTTGTATTGTTTTTTTTTTTTTTTTTTTGTGTCCGTTAACTTTCTTATTCTTTGATTTGTCTGTTTTGTTTTGCTGTTCACTAGTTATTTCTTCTTCTTTTCACATAGTAGCAAATTCGAACTTCCTTATGACTAGTCCCTGAGCCAAATATTATAAACTCTGAAAGGGCTGCCGCCATTTGTGATGTCCATGCATGTGAATCCTAAGTGAAAGCTTTCAATTGAAAGTTCGTAAAGGAGGTTCGCAAGACAAGACTCCCTTGGTTGCTTCCTCACTTTTCTTGTTTTGGCCGATGGTTTCTTTTTTGATGTATGTTCTCTTAGCGACTGTTAAAAAATAGAAGGCCTATGTTATCTTTGGCCTTGCCAGACTTCTGCTGGTATCTGGAAGGGTTAGACAGTGCTAAATGAAGCTATTCCAAGTGTCTAGAATTTAGAGCTCCATCATAGTTCTACCATCATAGTGTTTCGTACTTGAAACCTGACCCCCAATCTTGGAGTCCCCCCCCCCCCCCTCCCCTTCCAAGTGATTTCTTGCTCAGTCTCTAAATCTCAGCTTCATTGCAATGTTGGTTGGGTATTTCCCCTCTTGATGACTGAACCTGTTGATTTTGAGAGCATTTATTGTGTGACACAAGTCTGTAGGTGTCATGGAGGTGTGTTGTCGGTAGAATGTCATTATCAGGAAATGGTTTGCTGTTAGGGTATGAAGTTGTGGGTTTTGGGTGCTTATCTTTAAACTTGACTTCTTTGATTGTTTATTGACATGTTTTATTATCAATCCAGGGAGTAGGCTGGACACCTCCTGTATTTCAATGATTGAATGCAACTGTAATGGTTGCTTGGGGGAAGATGTGTTAGATGAGCTGCCTTCATTGTGTTCCTCCCTTTATGGTTTTCGGTTTGCCAAGGTTGCAAAAGAAGCCTCCATTGTCCTTGTTTGTATCCATTTTTCGGTTTAAATCTGTGCACTATGCTCCTACAAGAATGCTTGAAGCTGCGAAATGTTGAAGGAATGTGAGCGACTTGTTTTAGCTCATAATGACCCGATGTCTGTTTTTGTTGTTGTTATTGTTGTAAATCACCATTGTCTGTTTCAAAACGTGTAACCGGGTCCTTGGCATGTAAGTGGCCGCCTCTATGTTTTTGCCCTGTGTGTCAGCTTGTATTGCTGCAAGGTCCATGTTTGTAGTTTGTAATTTCCTTATGTAACCTGTTCTTAGAAGAGCTGCTGTTGGGGCAACAGATTGTTGCTCTTACCGACGGCGTATGGCCACTGTACTGGATCACTACTACGAGTCACAGCCGCAGACGAGGGAAGGGTTTCTGGAGTTTTGCTTCCAGTTTTGCCGTTTGCATGTAAATGATTTTTTTTGGATAGTTTAGGTCTTAGGAGAATTGAGATTAGTGCATGCTGTTCATTGCAGATGGCTGGGAGCCTGGGACTGAATAGTTGTGCCATGGTCTATGGACGCCATTTTTTCCCCATGTCCATTTGCTTTAGCTTACTGGATGTTGTAGCTTTTGTATTCACTGATTCCGGACATTCTAGGGTTTCCCATATCGTTTTTAATGGGTAGATTTTTGTACTCACAACAGATGAATGGCAAAGGGATTAAGCAGTGTGTAGTGTGAGTGTGTGACCATGGATTCCCAAGTAGTTGTTTGGGCTTGAGAGTTTGTTTACTGGTTGTCGTTGCTGGCTTTTGCTGCTATTGATTGGTTAACAAAAGAAACTGAAAGTCGATCCATCTTGTCCAACCCGACCCGCCCGCCTGTCTGTAATATAAGAGAGTAGCCAATTTTATGAGTGAGTTTAGGGTTCAATTTGAAGTTGAGGTATTGTGGTTGTGTACGGGTTTGGATGGTTACAATTCAAGAATATTTAAACTGATTTGTGCTATTATTTATGTGTCGAAATTTTAGATATTTAATATATATCTCTCCAACCATAAATCTCTTATTTTAGTTGTTACCAATGTCATTTATTTGGGACAAGTTACAGTGCTAACTCCATAAGGGGTTAGCACCATACTAACCACTCTAATCTTTATTTATTATATTTAAGTAAATTTGAGAATGGAGAATAATGAAGGTATATTTGATATTCTCAGAAATTAAATTTAATACATAAAATAACATTTATAATATTTATTTCGTCTCTCTAATAGATATACTGTTAGTAGCGGTTTTGGTGACTTGTACCCTTGTAGTAGTGTTTTTACAGGTGTAGCGTAGTTATATTAATTTAACTAGTAGTATTTCACCCATTATAAGAGTAGTAATTGCATAAGTAAGAATCACTACTAGAAAAATATTTCACCCATTATTATTCTAATATAATGGTTGTTAGAGTAGTTAGTATGATGCTAACCCCTTAAGAGATTAGTACCTAATCTCATTCCCATTTATTTACATAGTTAGTTGATAAATTGTTCAATTATTTATCAAAGTGTTTCCTTAACATGTACTTGTATTTAGATTCTCTGTTTATATTTAATTCTATAGTTTACTATATATATATATATATATATATATATATATTAATAAGTGAAATATTTTTAAATCTTGTATTTTTCTAATATGATGTTACTGCAACATTTTACTTGTTTTATAGTTTCATATTGTGTCGAATATATATTATTCGGCGTATTATATTATTAAAAGTATAAATTTTATTTTTGTATAATGAATTTGATGGTTATCCAATCCGATTCAAATCGCAACTCAAGAAACTCATAGGGTTTTGAAATTAATGTGTGCGTTTGGATCTACCATTATTTAACTCGATACTCATTGGTTGGATGATTCAAAATGATCAAAATCCACTCAAGTACACACATGTACGCCCCATGAAAGGATGTAGAACTTGCTTGTCGATTGTCAACATGATTGATCATGTAGATATCAGCGAGCTGCTTGCCCGTTGCGCCATGTCAGTTGAAATCAACAATCAACAGAAGTATGTGGGTGGATTGCGAGTCACAATTATTTCAACTCGATAGTAATTGTGATTCAAAATAACCCGTGGCGGATGGGTGCGGTTGGGTCGCCGGTCAACCTGCAAAAGCAATTCTCCAACTAGCCATTAAGAAAGTTGACTAACATTTATAATAAGTTCATAACAAAATTAGTAAGATTGTATCAATAATTTGTGATTTTGATACAATTAATAATTTATAGTTTGCATCTCAATATTTAATGGTTATTAACAATAATCTGCATACCAATATCCAATATCTAATGGATATTGCACAGCACAATGACCAATAATAGTAGCCAAAACTATTATTCATTCTTCACCTTTTGAAGTATATAGTCAGACTATAGTGCAGTTCGAAAATATGATGAATATTCGATACTATAAGAAACAATATTTTTTCATGTAAAAAATAGGATGCGGGTCATATGGGTGACCCGCAATCCACCCACCATCCACCCACATAAGTGCGCAGGGGCGGAGCTACCTTGTGCCTCGGGGGGGCCCCGGCCCCCCCGAGAATTTTGGAGATCGCGTGTAAAAATATCGGGAATTTTGAAAATTCTGAAGAAGTTAACTATTGTAGAATAACAATAACGTGCAATAATGAGCAACAATGTTTGGGTCTAGTCTAACGGAATGCAGCTGCTTGGTATTTGTGAATACCCAGTAGCATGGTTCAATCCCTGGTAGCAACATTGCTTTTTTAGTTTTCCTACTACTTATTCAAATACTTTTTAATTTCAAAGTTCAAACTAGATAATGAAATTTTGGAGCTTATAATATTTTTCTAATTTAGATAATTAAATTTTGGAGTCTAGATAATTAAATTTTGAAGCTTATGACTCACAATGTAAATATTTTCTTAATTTTTTTTACGAATATTATACAATAAAGTCCGGCCCCCCGACCACTAGATCCTAGCTCCGCCCCTGTAAGTGCGGGTGGGAGATTTACCAACCCGCAATCCACCCACCATCCACCCACATAAGTGCGGGTCGAGTTATTTACGGGTTGATCGATATTAATCCGCGGATTAACCACCCACGTGTCCACCCACTTCATTATTGAAATTAATTGCCATGTAGGATTTGCAATTGACTAACATTATTGAGTCATGTAAAAAATAAATAATTTACACGTGTGATTTTTTGGTATGCTTTTACATAATTGTCCTTGTCTGGTCTCTTTCTTCCATTCTTCGTAATTTTAATTTCCTGTACGGATCTCTGCTCGAACCCTCGGTTTTGTCCGTAGAGAGAGACGCCAGCAGACGACAAATCCATGCGTGCCCGCCTCATCGTCACTCTCGCGGGAACCAATTGGATGCCAATCTATTTCTCAACTTCAATCTGCAACAGGAAAACCTAATTTCTCACATCCGTCTTTCAAATCGGTAAATCCTCTCTCTCTGTCGCCGGCGAATTTCTGACCAGTGGGTATAGCTCTATATTCTAATGTTTCATTTCAATCTCATGTCTGAATCAGTGTTGAATGTTCCGGACTTCTCGCTGGAGTGGGGTTTGAATCAATTCAGCGATCTGCTGCGGTTTCGAGCTCGCTCTGAGTCTAGGTGGTTGGGCGACTCGCTCTCTTGGTTCTCTTCCTTCCATTTGAAGATTGCTCTTGGTATCAATCTATTGGTTTCTATTATGCTTCGTACATGCTGCTGTGGCCAATTTGTTCATTGGAGATATTCATTTCATCTTTTTTTCTGATACATTTCTGCAGCCCAACCTTTGGGAGTTTATCTATCTGCTCTCCATGTGTGCTCAATACCAGGCTGGTTTTTTTAATTTTATTTTAGGGTGCTGCTAATTTGGTAGTCCGAATTAGTGATTGTCAGATTGGTTATTGAATTATTGGAAATGAAATTAATTGAGTTTCAATTGTGTTTCCTCGAGCCTGTAACTTAATTATAAGCTCTTACAAGAGTAGGGTTCCGGTTGAAGTATCTCTATTTGTTGGTATACTTTATCTTTCTTTGGTATGGGACTGTTTTACATAATGAAAAGCATATATACCGTCTCTGCCATTCGGTAGTATAAAGTTTGGTCATTTCTACCTGAAGGAAATGGGTTTTGGGTGAATTATAAGCTTTTAATTTGTTAATTAATGATGCTGTTCTCCTTTGAATTCTTACTTGTTGTTTTACGATTGTGTCTCAGAAGTTTTAATCTTCACCTATGTTCTCTTGTGTTTTAGAAGCGTCCGGATCTTATGGCTGATGAGCGAATTGATTTTGAGGATGAAGAATATGGAGGGCCTCAGAAGTTGCAATTTCAAGGAAGTGGTACTATTCCTGCTCTTGCAGAGGAAGAGATGGGTGAAGATGATGAGTATGATGATCTTTATAATGATGTGAATGTTGGTGAGAATTTCCTACAAATGCATCGATCTGAACCACCAGCCCCACCTGCTAATGTGAGCAATGGTGGGTTCCCAACTCAGAGTGCTACTGATTCCAGAGTTGAAGTGGCTGGTGGTGCTGGTTCACAAGCGGTACACAATCCTGGAGTTGCTGCTGAAGGGAAGTACACTAATCCTACAACACATTTCCAAGAGACAAAGGAGGGTCCTTCCGTAGTCAATGGACCAGAAAAAGGATCAGCTGGCTACCCAGATGGATCTGCTTCGCTAAAAGGAAAGGCCATGGAGATGCCACATGATACTCAAGTTCGAAATATGGGATTTCAAGGAGCATCATCAATGTCATCAAATATTGCTGTTGACCCTTCTGGTTTGAATAGAAAAGTTCCTATTGAGCCATTGCCTATGCCGAGTACTGGAGCAGGTAGTCTCACAAGTGTTCCTCAGATGCCAGCTAATCAAATGGGCATAAATGCGGGTGGCAATATCATTCATGAAAATCAGATAAGGCCTCCTATAGATAATGGTGCAACTATGCTGTTTGTTGGAGAATTGCATTGGTGGACAACCGATGCAGAGCTTGAGGTTGTTTGTTCTCAATATGGAAGAGTCAAGGAGATCAAGTTCTATGACGAAAGAGCTAGTGGTAAATCTAAGGGTTATTGCCAAGTTGAATTTTATGAGTCAGCGGCTGCAGCTGCTTGCAAAGAGGGAATGAATGGGTTTATGTTTAATGGCCGAGCATGCGTTGTGGCTTTTGCTTCTCCTCAAACAATTAAGCAAATGGCGTCTTCTTACATGAACAAAAGCCAGAATCAGCCTCAGGCACAGACACAGGCTAGAAGGCCTATGAATGATGGTGCTGGGAGGGGTGCCACGATGAATAATTATCCAGTTGGGGATGGTGGGAGAAACTTCGGAAGGGGTGGGTGGGGCCGTGGTGCACCAGGTGTTCTCAATAAAGCTCCTGGAGTTGGTGGACCAATTAGAGGAAGAGGAGGCATGGGTGCTAAGGGTATGATGGGGGGTGCTGCTGGTGTTGGAGGCGGTATCAATGGGGGAGGCTATGGACCGGGGCTAGGTGGTCCTGCATTTGGTGGTCCTGGTGCTGGAATGATGCCTCCACAGGCAATGATGGGAGCTGGATTCGATCCAACGTACATGGGTAGAGGTGCTGGCTTTGGAGGATTTGGAGGAGCTCCTGGCTTTCCAGGCATGCTTCCTCAATTTCCATCCGTTAACACAATGGGACTTGCTGGGGTAGCTCCTCATGTCAACCCAGCATTCTTTGGTCGTGGTATGGCTCCTAATGCTATGGGGATGATGGGTACCTCAGGAATGGAAGGGCCAGGCATGGGAATGTGGTCTGAGACTGGCATGGGTGGATGGGGAGAAGAGCATGGAAGAAAGACTAGAGAATCAAGTTATGGTGCTGAAGATGGTGCTTCTGACTATGGTTATGGAGAGGCAAGTCATGAAAAAAATGGACGCTCAAGTGCTGCCCCTCGGGAAAAAGAGAGACCTTCTGGTCGTGACTGGTCGGGGACGTCTGATAGGAGGCACCGTGAGGAGAGGGAGCAGGAATGGGACAGATCTGAAAGGGATCATCGGGAGCCCCGTCACAGGGAGGAAAAAGATAGCCATAGAGATCACCGAAAGAGAGAACGTGACTCAGGTTATGATGATGACTGGGATAGGGGCAAGTCTTCTTCTAGGCATCAGAGTAGGTCGCGTGCAGTGCCTGAAGAAGATCACAGATCAAGGTCACGGGATGCGGATTATGGAAAGAGGAGACGTCAGCCATCAGAGTGATACAAGTTGACTATACGTTTACATGAGGACTTATTTCTGTCCTCGTGGCTCCAAAACAACATCAGCCTTTGCAGTTTCTGCATTCTACCTTAAACTGCAGAAAGTGACCTCTTGGGGGAAGAAGTAAGTTCTATCATTAGGATGAGAGAGTGCCTCAAGTCTCTCGTTTCTTTCTTACTGCATATTACCGAACATCATTAGATGAACCCTAATATCTGTGTGCTAAAAATCATAGTATCTCTTGCTTGCAAACGTATGGTTATGCTTGAGGGGCTGGATTAGAGTATCCCACGTTGATGAACTCATTGAACTTATATTTATTCTGGATAATCTGTTGGTGAACTTGTTCTAAACCTGTTGTGTCTTTTTGAATCTTATGTTCTTTTAATTGTTTAGTGAAGGTTCAGAATGATAGCTAAGCTCCATATTGGCTACCTGTTTCTTGTTTCATTAACCATTTAGTGGGAGTTAATGACAGTTAGTTTTCTTCATCAAAGTTTACTCATTTACTCATTTTACTCACTTTCAATAAATCAATAACTGTATCCAGGGTATGCTGACACACCTATCTACTCTAACCCATTCCATCGGTGCTTCTCATCATTTTGGGAAGCCCAAAATTCCTCTAGTTTTTCTATTGAGATTGAAAAAAGAAAGTTTGATCTTATGCTATGTTGCTTCTTCATTCTGTCTTTTAAGTTGGTAATTCATTGATATTTGTCTGTGTGGTTGGTTGTTCTAGTTTTTGCTTTTCTTTTTTCACATAGATGCAAAGTCTCATGTGATTTCATTCTCCATGTAGTAGCTGTCGAGCCAAACATACTGAACTTTATGCATTTCTCTTCTGGCCTCTGAAAGCAGAGTACAGCATATGTAATGTTCATGCATGCGTGGCTCTTAATTGAAATTTCTAAGTGGAGGTTTCCGAGATGATACTCTTAATTATTTGCTTTTCTTGTCTTGGCGAATGTTTTTCTTAGAGTATGTTATTTTACTCTTGTCAGTCTTCTTGAGTTGTCTGGAGGTTTAGAAAGGACTGTGTCGAACCATTCGACACGTATATAATTAGAAGTACATATGGCTATTCCATCATAGTGGCTCTTACTTTAAACCTCGTGAGTTTGGTTGAAGTGAGATGTTACTGTTGAATCACAGATTCATTTCAGTGTTTGTTAGTTATTTCTTCCGTTGGGTGGCTGAACCAGTTGACTTTGATAGCATGTGTAGTGTCACGAAAGTATGATATTGATCGCTACAGGATGTCATTATCAGGAAATGGGTAGTTATCTGTTGGATGGCTTTGCTGTTAGGATATGTAGTTGTGCTCTTTCTTGCAATTGGACACATGTCTTGTGGATTTTAGAGTTGCCTGTCGTTGAAAATTCAGTTTCTTCGATTGTCCATTGACACAGGAGTTTTCTTTTATTATCAATCCAGGGAGTGCAGTGGACTACTCCTATTTTTTCAATGATTGAATTCAACTGTTATGGTTGCCTGGAGGAAGATGTGTTAGATGGCTGTCTTCATTGGATTCCTCCCTTTGTAGTAGTTTGTTTTTCCAAAGGTTTCGAAAGAAGCCTCAATTGTCATTGGCTCATGACGACCTGGTGTCGTTTTTTGATGTAAATCACCATTGTCTGTCTCAAAATGTGTAACTGGGTCCTTGGCATGTAAGTGGCCTCCTTTTAATAGCATCTTTTTTCTTCTTCTGTATTTTGCCCTCTGAGTCAGCTTGTATTGCTGCAAGGTCCATATTTGTACATGACAAACCCCCTTGTAATTTCCTTATGTAATCTGTTATGCCCTAGAAGAGCCGGAGTAGAGGCCGCAAATAGTTCATAGTGACTGCCCTTATGTAATCTGGTCACTAGTCACTACAAGTCACAACCCAGGTGAGGAGTCTCAGATGACTTGCCATTTGCATGTAAATAATTTTTAGCATAGCTCGGACCTCGTTCTCTTTGGAGCTTTCAGTAGTGCAGGCTGTTGTTGCAGGTGGCTGGGACTGAACAAATTTTGGTTTGCTGAGGTCATATTATGCAGTTCTGTCTCTGTATCGGCACCTATACATGTATTAGTTGCATTCTATATAGCAATTTTTGTGTGCATATCACATGTTTAATCTGTGCAAGAGATTGTAGATTTCTTCCATTGACATGGGACATTGTAGAGAATCTGATTTAGTGTATGATTGATAGGTAGCTTCTTTGCAGTTTTTGTACTAATGTAGTTCCTTTCTCTTGTGTGAAAGTGCACAATTGTGCATTTTTCGGTCTGTGTCTCGGCATGGATTCCCCAAGAAGCGGTTCAGTTTTGTAGGTTTTGTTTGCCGATCAATTGTTGTTGCTACATTTGTTATTAACCCGATAGTTTGATGCTTGGATTGTGATTTGTATTTCGGAGGAAGGGGGAATTTGCAGGAGCTGAAGTTGTAGAATTGATTGGGGACTGTTGGAGTCGTTGTATAGACAAGTTCAGTGCCTTGCGCTTCTTTTCTGTTTATGCATCCATTTCACCCTAAAGCTCACTGCCTCTGCGCTTCTTTCCTTTCTTTGCCAATAGACAAGTTCTCTTCCTTTCCAAATGGGCAACGGAATTCGTGAATTGAGGGACGTGACAAAAGGCCTTTGCTCCTTCACCAAAACTTAGCACCCTTCATAGGTTCCCCAAACTTTCAGTATTCAAAGTCCAAACTGTTGTACCTTAATATTTAGGACATATAAAGTATGCAAAGGGCAATCGAAGGTTCAACTTGTTTTCGACAAAGGGCATATTAAATTTGAACCAAATCACATACATGACGTTCGGATTTTGGAGCACAAAGTTATGGCTGCCCAAAGTTTGACGAAATCGAAAAAAGGCTCGTTCGGGGTAGCAAATGACGTTTTTTCGAGACGAAGGCGGGACCTACGGCGGTTTGCGGCTTGCAAGATCTCGAAAAGTTATTCGGATTCAAAAAAAAAAAATTGCTACGATCGGATACCCGAGTGTAAAGTTTCGGCCGAAGTTAAGAGTTGATCGGGAAAAAAAATATTTGGAATAAACCGCTGGGTGGGGTGGCAGTTTTTGAAAAAGGTTGGTATTTTTGGAATTTTTTGAGGTTGGATGATACTTTTGGAATTTTTTTTAAACAGTAATTTTTCTACCATATTTGTTCGATGATCAAGTTTTCCCGCTTGAAAGGGTACATCAAGTACCGTAATCATTCGATAACTCCCGCAGATCCTCTACTGAAAAAAATGTTTCTCTCTTCCCTCTCTCTATCTTCTCTCTTTTTCTCACCAGCTGCCGCTTTCGGAGCATTCAGTTTTCAGGGCGTTGACAAGCGCAAATCTCAAAAGGGAACCGTCATAAATCGGAGAAGTCAGAAGGATGTAGAAAAGATAAAGAAAGATCGGGGGAACATTAATGGAAGGGGCGAATCCAGGGCAGATGTAGCCCCCATATTTGATACTCAATCCAAGAGGAGGAAGGCCAGAGGTCTGGCATGCCTGAGCAAATCTAAATTCTTACAGCCGAAACCACCTGATCAGTCTACCAGTAATGAAGGGGGTGGAGGGAGAAGAGTAATGGAGCCACCCGACAGAAGGAGAACTAAGAGCAAGCGGAGAGGGGGAGGAATTAATGCCCACTTGCAGGTAGAGCAACAGGAAGGGGACCCAAGTAGTAAATACTCACAGAAGCATCACCTGAAGAAGATCTGGAAGCTGGATTTGCCAATCATTACCGCTAAGGATACCTACACCCTTACAACCAGGCACGAGCTCCAGAGAATGAAGGAGTGGAGAGTAATAACTCAACGTAGCGGAGCAGAGCAGCTGACTAGTATCCTGGTTTTAACTACATCTGGCAAAAGGAGGCTACCTGGGGAGAACACCCCATACCATAAAGGGCAATTAAGAGGAATTCAGGGAATGAGACACAAAGAGGGAGGGAATCCCCAACCACCCCATTTATTACTAGAGGCAGTAGAGTCTGGCAAGAGAAGGGAGATCCAAAGGAGGCAGGCCGAGGGCCACTATAAGAAGAGAGAGCCACATGCAGAACCAGAGCAACTCACCCCCATCAACAGCACCAGATTAGCCAAAGATCCACAAACACCACAGAGATACCCAAATACCAGCAGAACCCACGACCTGTCCATACCCGCCAATAACCCGAGAATGGAACTGAATGCGACGAGCTCGAGAGGGATGAAGAGCCACCTGGTCCTGAATGTAAGACCTAGGGTGGTGGGAGCAAGAGAAAGCGGCATCCCAATGCTGCTATGCAGGTGGGTCACGGATGCAAACATCCCTCTACACAAAGCCAGAAACACTGCCTTCCACAAGTGGAGAGCCTATGGTGAGATCCAGGCTACCAAAGAGGCGGACAATCTCTTTGTCTACTCGTTCCAAACAATGAAACAGAGGGATGCAGTATGGGAGGCTAGGCCGTGGAATCTGGGCAACACCATGGTCGCTATGAGGAAATGGGACGGTGAACAAAAGGCGGAGCTGGAAGACATCAACACCATCACGCTGTGGGTGCAGATGCATGATCTACCACAATCACTGAAAGATGAAGAATCCATTCAGGCGGTATCCGAATTCATAGTCCCGCAGTACCATGGAATCGACAACTCCAACTTCGAGTTTAGAGGCTGGCTGAAATTCGTTCGAGTGAAAGTGGAGGTCCAACTGGATAAGCCTATCCCGATCGGCTTTGTATATCCACTGGGAGAGAGATCCACCTGGGTAAGTTTCAAGTACGAGAGGATCACTGACCTATGTTACTTCTGCGGCAAACTGAGTCATCTTATCCATAACTGCCTGGAAAGAGAGGATCATCGGAGAAGGAGACTCTGCACAGACCCTTCAGAGGTCTACACGGCGGCGCTTAAAGCAGGCCATGACTCACCGGAAAACATACCCGGCCTCGTTCCGAGAGAAGCAAGACAGGATCCGACAGAGCACTCAGATCGAGCAGAGGGCCCGCAATCAGCCGATATCCCGAGGAGAATCGTCCTTACTGACGCTGGTGGGCCATCCAGTTTAGTCTCTCTCCTCCTGCCCGCCAGGCTTTGTGGCCCTGCCGATCGACAACCATGGACTCAACAGAGGGGGAGAATGGATGCTCAGAGGAGAAGGAAGCTGCCCCACCAACCTTTCGCAAGTGGCGATGCTGCAGGTGGACCTAGCGGCAGCGGCGATGCAATGAGGTATGGACCTGTCGGGGAAAAAGAAGGAGACGAAGGAGAAACAGGCCGGGCTTCTGGAGATGGGCCAGTCTCTCTCCCTCGCCAGCCCAACCTTACCTTTTCATGAGTTGTCCCAGGCCCAAGACTTAGAAGCCCAGGAGCCAGAAGCGGGAGCCCATTCAGCCCAGTTCAACCACCAGCAGCCTCCAGCTAGCCCGTTCCAATTGACCCAGCTCACCCAACAGGACCCAGGGCCCCAGAACATAACCGATCCAGAGGAGATCACGACCAGACTAGAGAAAAAGAGGAAACCAGACCACCGAGTCGCACAGGGCGAATCGGCCCCACTGCAAGCTTATGCTAACAATCTGTCTGTTGAGTCTCTGTCTTTTACAACAGGGGGAGATATCAGGAGGTATGTGAGGAAGAAACACTCCATCAAGAGGAGGAGCATTAGGGAGATAAACGCGGATGGGAACCAGTCTGGCGAAGGAGAATCTAGCTTCCCGATGGCGACGGCGGCAGGCCATAAGCCGCCTTCCCAACCATGAGAATCATCAGTTGGAGTTGTAGGGGGTTTGGCCAGCCCCTTACAAGAGGCTACTGTGGCAGACTCTGCCGAAAATTTGGCCCCTCAGTGGTGTTCCTCATGGAAACAAAGAAAGAAGATCAGTTTATGGAAGGGAAGAAGAGAGCACTGAGGATGGATCACTCGAGATACGTCAGCCCGTCGACAGAAGGAAGCAGATTGGCTCTATGGTGGAAAGAAGGAATTGACTTGTGTGTTCTTGATGTTTGTAAGTCCTACATGGACACTAGGATTTGTAGGGACGGTGTCACGTTCTTTTGTACTTTCATTCATGCTCCAACCACGGCGGTGGAGAGGAGAAGCCTTTGGGATCGACTTACGAACCTAAGGGAAGATCGGGATGAGAAGTGGTTAATTCTGGGTGACCTGAATGTTGCTCTGTTTCCGGTTGAAAAGCAGGGGCGTTGCCCACTTAGAAATGAAAATGTGGCTCCGTTTAAATATTTCATTGAGCAAAATGCTCTCATGGATCTTGGTTTCTCTGGCCAGATTTTTACTTGGACTAACAAGCAACAATGGGACAATCTCATCCGCGAAAGGCTTGATCGGGCTCTCTGCTCGACTTCGTGGAGGATGAGCTTTGGGTCGGCTGTGGTGTATCACGAAGATTTTGTCGAGTCAGATCACTGCCCTATCAGAATTGATCTCCACCCTAAGCACCAAGCCAGAAACACCCCGTTCAGATTTGATAAGAGGTGGAGAGACAATGATGAATGCTGTCAAATTATTACAAACAGATGGAATAGAGAGGGGCAGATTGGTGACAAAATGAAAGACTGTCAAGTGGAACTCCAAAACTGGGCACGAAGAGACCACAACAACAAGATAAGAAGAGAATCTGAGATCAAAGCTAAAATTCAGGAGCTACAAGGCCCTATCAGAACCAGCGAAATGATCAATGAGGAGAAAAATCTCCAAATGGAACTAGCTGCAATCTGGAACACTGAGGAGGAATTCTGGGCACAGACTTCGAGGAATAGCTGGTTACAAGAGGGAGACCAAAACACAGGTTTCTTCCACGCAAGCACCATTAAGAGAAAAAACAGAAACATAATTTTGAAGCTGAAAAATGATGAAGCCATCTGGCTGGAAGATTCCCATGAACTGGACCAACATGTCAATGCCTTCTACCGGAATTTGTTCACAAGCAAGGATATCTTGTTCGATCACTCCCTCTTGTCCGGATTCCCTCAGCTGGTTTCCCCACAGATTAATGCAGATATCACGTCAGAGATAAGTGCAGCCGAAATCCGCAAGGCGGTCTTCCAACTGGGAGCAAGTAAGGCACCCGGACCTGATGGGTTCCAGGGCCTTTTCTTCAGAAAATTCTGGAGCCTGGTGGGTGAACAATTGTGTGAAGAGATCATCGGTTTCTTCAGGAGTAATGTGATGCCAGATGCTTGGAACGACACTTTCATAATCATCATCCCCAAAGTGGAGACCCCTGAGACGATTGGGCAATTTCACCCTATAAGCTGCTGCAATTTTAAATACAAAGTTATCACAAAAATCATGACGAACAGGTTGCAAAGATGGCTTCCGGGATTAGTGAACGAGCTACAAGCAGCCTTTACCGGAGGAAGACAAATTCAAGACAACATCATCATTGTCCATGAAGTGTTAAACCATTTCAAAAAAAAAAAAACAGAGCAGGCAGCCGTAAAGACATGATGCTGAAACTGGATATGCGAAAAGCTTATGACCTTGTCGAATGGGACTTCCTGTTGCATCTACTAAGAGCTTATGGCTTCTCTCAGGTCTTGTGCTCATGGGTCAGAGCCTGTATCACAACGGTTAAGTTCCGCCTTCTTTTGAATGGGGAACCTTCTTCAGAGTTTATCCCTTCGAGAGGATTGCGACAAGGGGACCCGCTGTCCCCCCTGCTCTTCATTCTCATGTCAAATTCGCTTTCTTTCCTCATCGATAAGGCGGTTCAGCAGCTGGAAATCCGAGGCCTCAAACTGAACAGATTCTGCCCCATGTTGACACATTGTCTCTTTGCGGATGATACACTAATCTTCGGTGAGGCTTCATCATTGGAGGCTCAAGCTATTCTGAAAATACTGGATTCTTACGGAGCAATTACAGGACAGGAGGTCAACCGGGAAAAATCATCTGTCTTCTTTAGTCAGAATGTGACGGAAGAGGAGAAGGGAAGTATTACCCGATCCATTGATTTTGAGTGCTCCAACGCGCATTCAAAGTATCTGGGAGTACCAACAGAGTGGGGCAGATCGAAGAAAGAAACCTTCCACTTCCTGATCCAAAGACTGGAAGCTAAAGGTGAAGCGTGGAAGAGCCTGTTGCTCTCTCCAGGAGGGTAGGAAACACTCCTCAAAGCGGTCTTCCAGGTCGTTCCGTCTTATATTATGTGCCTGTTCCTCCTCCCTCGATCAATGACCACCAGAATGGATGCTTTACTCAAAAGATTCTTTTGGAGTGGGTCCTTGTCAAAAATGTCCATCCACTGGAGAGCAGGCAGAGTGCTTTACGCCCATAAATCCGAAGGAGGGCTGGGGTTTCGACCATTCCACATCTTCAATCTTGCTTTGCTAGCAAAGCAAGCATGGCGCATTCTCACGAACCCCGAGGCACTGTGGGTCAAAGTCTTAAAGGCTCTGTATTTCCCCAGGGTGGATTTTACGAAAGCTAAGAAAGGAAGCAAGGCCTCATGGATCTGGTCAGGGATCTGGGAAGCAAGGAAATGGATGGAAAAAGGGATCATCAAGGTTATCAACAGTGGAAGAGACACTAGCCTTTTGCACGACCCGTGGCTGTTCGTGCGAGCAGGGCCCATGAGACAGGATAGTAGTGGTTCAAACAAGACAGTCGCTGACTTCATTGACCCCATATCCCGGGAGTGGAGGTTTGATGTTCTGCAAGAGTTCCTCAGTCAGTCGGAAGTTCAGGAGGTGGCTAGAACACCAGTTGGCCCCATCTCCATGAAGGACTACTGGGCATGGCGGTACGACGATAAGGGAGCCTTCACTGTCAAGTCGGCGTTCCACCTCTTCCACCACCAGTGGAGGAGAGATCGAGGAGAAGTTTTGAACCTTCCGGACATATCAAAAGAAAGGTGGAAATGGCTCTGGGGGCTCCATCTGCCCCCGAAGATGAAGTTCTTTATCTGGAGAGCCTCAAGAGGAGCCTTGGCCACAAAACACAATCTCTATGCCCGCCGCTGCTCCACCTCCTCGGCCTGTCCGGTGTGTGATGATCCGACAGAGACTATACACCACTGCCTTTTCCAATGCCCTCACGCACAGTATGGCTGGAATCTGATCTACCCGAATCTGGGTACTCCTCCCCCTCTCACTAATGTGCTTGATTGGCTCTTTGCCATGTCGAACTATGCGCCTGCCGAGCTCTTTCAGAATTGTATTTACCTGCTCTGGCAAACTTGGAAAACAAGGAACGACAAAGTTTTCAAGGATAAAGCCCCGGGGGCTTTTGCTACGGTTTCTCGCGCAATGGAGGAAGCCCACCGATGGAGATCCTGCCCCAAGATCAGAACCACATCTTCTCACCCTCAGCCTGAATCATCCCCTGAATCAGCCTTACCACCGCCAGGTACCCAAATGTTGGAGGTACACTGTGATGGATCATTTTTCCACGATTCCCAGGAGGCGGCATATGGCGTCGTTATTACGAACGGCCATGGTCAAGTTGTGGACGGGAAGGCTGAGCATCTGCACTGCTACTCATCAATAGAGACGGAAGCGTTAGCTCTTCTTAATGGGGCCTTGTTCGCGGTGAACCTCAATGTCCCGTGCCGAGTCTACTCGGACTGCCTGACCTTAATAAAGGCTCTTCGAGGACAGCCAAGGGAGTGGCCTTGGCGGGCCGCTGCCTGCCTGGGAAGAATTCTCAACATCACCTGCAGTTTTCCCAACATCAGAATTGATTGGATTAATAGGAAGCGTAATTCCAAGGCAGACTGGGTTGCTAGATCCTGTGCTAGAAACCAACTGCTAGCGAAATGGATCACTATTCTTGATGTTATTTCCCCCTTTTGTAAGATCGGGCTTTTGCCTCTATTAATGAAATGTGTGTGCCCTTGTAAAAAAAAAAAAGTACCGTACATGGGCTTATGTATGCGTGTGCCAAGCGAAGCCAAAACCCTTCGATTTGGCTCCTGATCTGACGCGGCCAGCAGTCATCTAGTCTCGTAAAGCTCTAATATGGCTGGTAACAGTGCTTCCTCACTGAATACTCTTGTCTCTGTTGATGGATGACGAGCGGCGACGAGGACGGAAGTCGGCGAGACTGGAATTCAGAAGCTCGGCCTGGGCGTCGTCATCGTTGTCCTCCAGCTAAATCATTGGCCGCCTTCAGGAGATTAGGAGATGTTTCAACCTGAAAACTGCAATACGGATAGTTGTTAGTACTAGTTCTCTGCAATTTTCCAACTGTTCTGGGTGCTACATGCGAGGGTTCTGTTTGAAAAGCTTGAAATTCGGCGCTTCAAGAATCTCGATTGTTGTTGGCGTTAATGTTAATCTTCTTCGATTCTTCGGCTCCCAACCTGTATTATCCACTAGCCGGTATCCGACTTTCACGACCAGTGGTTACCAACTGCTTCGATGCCTCTCCAAACACAGGATATACGACGCACGCAACCTGCTCGACGAAATGCTCCCAGGAGGAACCTCCCGCAGCCGTACGGTTTACTGCACTTCTCTGGTTACCAAGTTTTCCAGGAGTGGGTTCGTGGATGAAGCTCGCTTGCTGTTCGATATCATGCCAGCGGAGAGGAACGTTGTTACGTATAACGCAATGTTGTCCGGTTATGTCCAGTGTGGGAGATTGAAGGAGGCGATGGCTCTTTTTCGAGAGATGCCTGAAAGGAATGTTATTTCTTGGACATCGATGCTTTCGGGGTTGGCTGATGCGGGAAGAATCGACGAGGCTAAGTTGCTGTTCGTGAATATGCCTGAGAAGAACGTGGTTTCGTGGAATGCCATGGTTGTTGGGTTGATTAGGAATGCGGATTTGGAGAATGCGAGGTTGGTTTTTGACAAGATGCCTGTTAAGAATGTGGCGTCTTGGAATGCCATGATTGCAGGGTACGCAGATATTGGTCGAATAGAAGAAGCGAGGACCCTGTTTGATATGATGCCTGATCCAAATGCACTGACTTGGACTAGTATGGTTTCTGGTTATTGCCGGGTTGGAGAAGTGGCCGAGGGATATAATATGTTTCAGAGAATCCGTGACCGGAATGTCATTTCTTGGACATCCATGATTAGCGGATTCACATGGAATGGCTTCTATGAAGAAGCGTTGTTGCTTTTCCTAGAGATGAATAGAACATCTGGTGTAGCACCAAACTGTGAGACCTTGATTTCCCTTGCTTATGCATGTGCTGGCTTAAGATTTTCTGAACTTGGCCGGCAGGTTCATGCTCAGATGCTGATTCAGGCAATGCAATGTGACGATTATGATGGCAGAATAGCTAAGAGCCTTATTTACATGTACTCTTCATTTGGTACCATGCCCTCTGCACAATACTTATTCGACAACTTCTCCGACGATTCTGTTCTTCAGTCTCGCAATTGCTTGATTAATGGCTATGTAAGGGTTGGAGACTTAGAGAAGGCTCGAATTTTATTCGATGCAGCTCCTTCCCGTGACAAGATCACGTGGACTTCGATCATTAGCGGTTACTTCAGTGTTGGACTCGTGTTGCAGGCTTGCCATCTATTTCACGACATGCCTTTCAAGGATGCAATTGCATGGACAACAATGATCACAGGGCATATACAAAATGAGCACTTTTATGAAGCTATGCATTTCTTTTTGGAAATGAGGACTTTTGGTGTTATTCCTCTAAGTACCACATACACCGTTCTTTTTGGTGCTGTTGGTGCAATGGCATATCTTGATCACGGAAGATCGCTGCATGGGATGATTATCAAGACACAACCTGGCTTTGACTTGATCCTTGAGAATTCTGTAGTCTCCATGTATGCAAAATGTGGGGAGCTCCGTGATGCCTGTAAAATTTTCTTACGGATGACTTCACGCGACGATATCTCTTGGAATTCTATGATTATGGGGTTCGCTCATCATGGTCTGGCCAATGAAGCCTTACAAGTTTTTGAAGCCATGATGGAATCAAGAACACGCCCCAACTCCCTCACCTTTTTGGCTGTCTTATCAGCATGTAGTCATGCTGGCTTGCTTGACAAAGGGTTGGAGTTATTCACTCTGATGACTGATGTTCATGGAATCCAACCAGGTTTGGAACATTGCATCTCTGTCGTCAACATACTGGGCCGAGCAGGAAAACTTGAAGAAGCAGAGAAATTCATTGCAGGACTACCATTCCATAGACACCCTGCTATGTTGGGAGCAATACTCGGTGTAAGTGGACCAGACAAGAGAAGTCTTGGAATTGCCGAACGGTCAGGGAAGCTACTCCTTGAACTCGACCCGATGAATGCAGCTGCTCATGTCCACCTCTGCAACTTGTATGCGTCAAACCATCATCACCTGAAGGAATATAAGCTGAGGCGGGAGATGCTTGTGAAGGGGGTTAAGAAGGTTCCAGGGTGCAGCTGGATCGTCCTGAGCGGGAAAGTTCACATGTTCTTATGCGGAGATTCGTTGAACCCAGAAGCTGAAGAGTTGTTAATCTCCATGTCCAATTCCTGTTGCGGCTGAAACAGCAGTTATCCAAGATGCTCCCATCCTAGTAAATGGTAATTCTTGCAGACTTTTCATTGTATCAGCAAATTATTATGTGTCCACTTTTAGAAACAAATTGCCTAATGCCAACTATGTGTGAATCAAATCACCACCTTACAAGAAAATTCAAAATTTACTGTATCAATGTACCTCGAGATTTAAATTATTTTCACTATCCATCGAACTAAATACGTTTTTTGCACTCGTTCATTACCTACTACATACCTAGTAGATAATAAGAGTTAGGAGTTTCCTATTTGGCCTCGTCGATACAGAAGCAGGATAAATAGACAATTAAAATGTAGCACATGTAAGATTAATTTTACAATTTGGAAGAGATTTTTCCACTTCTCTATCTGAATGTCCTTTTCTCTTATTTCAGATTCTTCGTCGGAGATTTTATTATATTCCACCGGCGTCGATCATAGAAAGCAAAAGGATAGCATGCAATCCTAAGACACGCCGTTTTGATGTCAAGCGTCCTTCCGTTCAGAAACTGAAAAAAACTAAAAGTGGAAAGAAGAGAAGAATTCGAAGCGCCCCGACCCTTCAGCGGGAAACTGCACTGCCGTTTGCCGCCGCTGCCGGCCAATATAATAATATAAAAAACCACCGCCATTGACGAAAATCCAGAAGCTTAGCTTGCAAGCCAAGTTTCGCATTCCGCCCCCGCTGTATTATTATAAAGAGGTGCGCACATACGAGTTGCAGACAACTCACGGAGAATCGCTTCAGCTTCTGTTTACATATATCTTTCATCGTCTTCCATTTTCCTAACAGATTGATTCTGCAACTGGGTTCTTCTATCTGCAGGTTCCGTCGATCAATAATTTAAGGGAAAAGATAGAAGAGCCTTAATAAAAGTTGAGAATAAACATGATTAATTACAATCTTATGCTGTTCTTCCTAGTTTTGGTTTCATTTTCTCCAAATTGCCAGTCATGGGGATGGTTCTCTTCATCATCTTCTTCTTCTTCGTCCTCTTCGGCTTCTGCCGCCGAGGATGGAGGAGGAGGGGTGGTGGTGGCCGAGTTCTCCATGGATGGTCCTGCAAATGCGAAAGCAATGGAACTGGTTGAAAAGGCTAGGAGTAAATTGGTTGGTTCGAATTCTTGCTGGCAGAATGCTTACCAACACGTCTTTGCTGGGTGCACCCAAATTCTCGCCAATGACGAGAAACGCTCTAGATTCGCCTGGCATCTCAGCGATTGCTTTCAGAAGGACTCTGGGAGGAAACCTTTCCCTCACTGTGGCGAGAATTCGGCCATGGTTCATTGCTTGAAGAAGTTGGATGACCATGAACAAAAAATTTATCTCGAGTTCTTGCTGGAAACCAATTCCATATGCTATCAATTACAGTTGAGTACTGTGAAATATTACCATCTTCTATTCTGCATGCATGACTCTGTTGCAGATTTCTGAACCCAGAAACTGAAATTGGACTCATTGTTGTTGTTTTATGGTTTGGTTTGCAGGGTACACGCCTTCAAGCTCGAAACCGAGAGGTTGGTTAATGAACTAACAAGTTCAGCGCTGTATACAGAGCAGAAACTGGACGCAATAAAACATATAACGTCCTCTCTACTACTGAGATCGAACCAGATTCATGATTCGTTGAATTCAATGGATCTCCAAGTTCAGCATGTCATCCAAACAACAAAGGGCGTGGAGAATCAGATGGACACATTGTCGAAGCACTCGGAAGCTGTTTACAGACGGTCGGAAGAAATCGCAGAGTCACAATCAGAGCTGCGAGCAGGGCAAGAAAAGATGAATGATGTCTTGAAAGAGGGAGTGACAATGCTCCACGATGCTTACAACAGTTTGGGCGAGGAAGTAGGCAAGCTGAGGAATGAGGCTATAGAGATCGTGAAGCAGGTTGACAGTGTAGGAGAAACAATGTCATCCAAGTTTCAGACTCTACAGAGCAAAGCTGATGACATCGAGAACATGGCTGGAAGCTCCTTGAGCAAGCAGCAAGAGCTTTTAGATGGACAATCCACTGCACTCAAAGGTCTTCAGATCCTCACGGAATCCCAATCTGCAGCGCTAGAAGAAAGCAGGAATGCCGCGCAACATTTGGTTGATCTGAGTCGTAAACAGCAGGAAGAGCTTCTTCATAGGCAGGAGCAACTTCACCAAGTTCATGATCACTTGGTTGAGAATTCACAGTCGATATTGGCAGCACAGGTTTGATTTTCTTCAGCAAACCATCATTCCTAAATCTCCCTAATTACAACTGAACTTGAAGCTTAAATAACTCGTTTTGACAGGAAGCTTTTGAGAAGAAGCAAGCAAGCATGTTCGTTGCTCTCGACAAGTTGTTTGATCTGCATAACGCAATGCTGCTCGAATCACGAGCAATCAAAGCTTTCTTCGTCTACGTTATGTCGACTTTCATCATCTACATGCTCACGAGCACGAAGCAGACATATCCAGTGAGGGCAAACCTCTATATTGGTGCGTTATATCTCCTTCCTGTCCTGCAAACCTCTATATTGGTGCGTTATATCTCCTTACTTGTAGAAGGACTAGAACACGATATACATGAATGGCTTCTCACCATTGCAGGTCTATGCATAACTTTCATCATGGAAGTGGCAATCATTCGAATCACACCAGGTGACATCGAGCAACAAACTTGGATAATCAATCTGATGAGGTCCTTGTATGCGGTGTTAGCTATTCTTCAGCTTCTACACGCCATTTACACATACAGGTTCGTAAAAGGGAAGACGCTTCCAAGAGCTGTGATACACCCATATAGTTAGTTGCATTTGAAATTGGACCTAATGATTCATGATATTTTTGCAGGGACTATGAAGCGATAAATCATAAAATGATCGCGTCGTTGGTAGAGATGGTAAACTGCTTGCAAAGAAACAAGGAGGATTCATGGGAAGAAGACAGCGATGTGGATTGGCCGTCGTGGATCGAAGATGAGTTGCCAGAAGAAGTTGCCAGTTTAGAAGATCCTGATTACGTACCTCCCAATGACATGACAGACAAGTCAATCATATGTGTTCCCAAGACGAGAAACTATGATCTCCGCAAGAGACACCATCAACTGTTATCTTGATGGACATTTTACATTTTAGTCCCCAATTTTTAATGTACTAGCAAATTAGTTAGCACGATCAACATTTTCTATTTAATATTATACGTTCCATTTATATTTTTAATGTTTAACATCTAGCTAATAGTCGTGATCTTTTGACTGCATAGGCCTTCGTAACTAAGAGTTGAATGTCTTATTTATAAACATGCATTGCTTATGTCAATTGCTTATGGTTATTGACAACTTATTGGGTGTTTGATTGAGACATTAGTATATGGTTGATCAACCTGTCTCGTAGATATATATACATTCGGGTCGTGAAATAATATGAATATTGATTATTGATAAAAAAAAAGATGTATTAAGTTGCTTTTTAATTATAAAAAAGTAGAATGAAAAAGGTACCAAACAATGTATTCCTCAAATACATTAATTTGAACAATACATATAATTACAATACACACATTCATTGAATTCATCAATTTAGATAATCAAACCTCCAAACAAGCCTTAAATGTATGTATTATGTTGCAAAATGAAACAAAAAAAAAAAAAAAAGAGGAGAAATTCTTGTGATTGCATATATTGTCCATATACAACACCTTAAATACCAACCTCCAACCGACACCTAAAATATCCAACTAATCCAAATCCAACTGGAGTGGTGGATTGGGGGATTGTTGAAAAATTAATGTTTAATATGTTTATATCATATTTTATAATTTGATATCTAAATTTTATTTTTAAAGTGCCATTTTAGTATCTAAATTATCATATTTGTCAAATATTTAGTGTCACTTGGATCCATGAATATGATACACCAATTCATTTGATCAACCCCATTTGGCACCTCTCATATATATATATATGGTGCCTTCTATCTTATCTTGAGTAAAATCTAGAATACGACAGACGCTTAGTAAGAAACACTATCTAGACCTCGAATTAACCGGATTTCGGGACATTATACTATATCTAACCCTTTCATGAGTGAACTTTTAAGTCTTAATTATCCAAATTATAGATTCTAAATCCTAAAATTTTGCATGTAATTTATTGCATTTATTTCGACGAATCATGACCATCGATTATTGTTTCTAATTAAATTGATCTTACTATATGAGATTTCTAGAATTAAGATGTAGATTTTGTTGGGAATGAATAGCTTTGAAAGCTATATTGAATTAATTATCCAGTATTCTTTCTAGATACAAAAATAAGAAGGATAATTAATAACAAGAATATTATGGAGATAATTAGTATTAATTATCTTAATATAATATATCTTAATTATGGGAGTAATTATCTTCCTAATTAAAATGTGACTTATTCCCAAAGAAAGAGGGAATATTCTAGGTTTTCTGCTCCTATAAATAGCAGACCCCTAGACCCTCTAAATACACCTCAGAGAGCAGAAACACGAGATAGAGAGTGAGTTCATAGAGCTCCGGTTTTCGCACAAAACCGATGAGCAATAAATTTAGAGTGGCTGTTTTATCCTGGAGGCGACCGGCTGATAGTCTGCCGTGCGCAACGAAGGCAGTGCCGCGAACGTCTTAAAGAGAGCGACCTAGTCCGCGACTCAGCCAGATCGGTAACCCTGATTTTTACTGTTCGATTTCTAACAATTTTAAGACGTTCGGTGCTGTTTTGACTAACAGGGGAATCGATTATGGCTGAAACGAATTTGATCGCCATCGAGCTTTCTTTACGTTCGCTCGATCGGGCCAAAAGTATGATATGCCCGGTTGCCCCCAATACTGCTTCGGAGATAATTATATCCTTTCGAGCATAGCTGCTCGCCTGCTACAATCACTACAAATAACACTCTGCGAATTTTGAAGATTGGTTTTTGAGGGAGCTGAGAGAGTTGGCAGTAGAGGGAAGATTTGTTTCTGGACCATGTAAATAAAAGAAT